GTCGTGACGCCAATATAAAAAAAGAGAGAAACAAAACTACTTTCTTATGATTTAAGCAAATGCATGCTCTTTCAAAGCGTTCCGATCGTCAAAAAAATATAATCGCTCGCTAATTCGATTAATCAACTCAATTCACACAGTGTGCGTATGCGCGTGTCTGTAATTCGCGACATTAGAATAAAGATCCAATTTATATGACACGCACGTGACGATTGTTATTTTTTTCATCGTAAAAGGCCTGAAGCTCCGAAACTAGACGTCCTTCTCTCTAACAAGAAGAAACATTTCATTCATCTGTCATTATACTTATAAAAATATTTTATCACCATTATACCAATATATATTATATCCTCCATGTATTCCAGTGTCGTGCAATTGATTCATTTGTATAAACGACACTTGAAAAAATCTGAAGGTTCTCAGTTGTTAGTTTACCACATGCATCTTCAAAAACAAATGCCTTACGACATGCAGGGATATAGAAAAAAAAAAAGAAAAAAAAACGGAAGCTCGTGCGAGCAGTGCCCAGCCACCGTGTATAGGTTATAGGTATTCGCGCGACAGACTTGTTTACTAGAACGCGCTCTCGCCTTGCTGCTGCTTGCTCCGCACCCTCCCCCCTCACCCTCCACCGCACTATACCGCCGGCAACCGACGACGCAGTCTCTTTTACGCTAAGCCTTGTTTTGATTGCGCGGCCTCCTTTTTTTCATACTCGACGAATAATTCTTTTTTCTTCTAAGCTTTGAATATCAAGTGTATTGTTTTGTTTTTGTTTATGTTTAAATGTCTGCTAATTAATTTGTACATGCAAGTAAATGTCGGAAGAATTTATTTGTTGACGAGATAAGCGTTTCAAATGTTTCGTTATTGTCAGCTCGCATCGGAAAAACATGCCTGATAATGTCAATATACACATGAAAGAGGTAACGTTTATCTGCGAAAGTAGAACGCAGCTCTAATGTAGGTTAGGAATGTGGGGGAAGCGCATGATCATCAGTCTATTGTCGCCGTACACACACAAATGGAATATTATGTACATCGTTGCGACTTCGAATCTATATCTGGCAGAGTACATACGCAACCATGTTGCGACTTATTATTTCCAATATATAGATGCGAATTGATGACGTCGGCCAACGTAGGCTTGTAAAAAAGCCGAATAAATGAATGTACAAATAACTTTTTAATACATTCTATTCTCGCCTGTCTCTCGTGCATAAATAATTTTTTTTTCGCACTGCGCTCTCGCTCTTATCTACGTCGCAAAGTTATACGACAGATGGGAGCTGAATGACTACAACGACGGCGGCGGCCTATAGCCGCACCGATGAATAACCAGACACTAATGAATGGCCCCGCACGGCTGTTCTCTACACACAGCGAGAAACCGCAACTCGCCTTTTTCAATGGAGCCCCGAAATTTTCAAGCGTGTACTTTATAGACACGTTCTCTTGGTTTCTTTCTTTATCGGCGAAAATAAATATACAGAAACATGCGATAAATCTTTGCAAAATAAAGTAAAGAAAAGCACAAATCAAAAGATGTATATGAAAACGTGTAACGCTTGCTATCAATATCGCAAGCCTTTTATCTGGCCGAGTAAGCAATGTCATTCATTCATGCCTTGCTCTGCTCCGATATATGTTTGTGTGCGTGTGCATGCATGCGTATATCTCGATAATTTTTAAAACTTATTTCCGAGAGAAAAGCACCATCAACCGACTAGTTTTGTCTTATGTTTCCACCAAAAAACACGAGTTTCAAAATAATTTTCTGTTTTGCTGTTTATTTGTTCGGTACCATACATACATATATTACAACGAAATTCCTATGTGTTGCGTACAAAAAATACCTTCCACGTACGTCTCGAAGAACCAAAATAAACAGTCGCCTCATTAATTTACAATTGCCCCCCCCTCCCCCGGAGTAGTAAGTATATGCAAATCTGTTACCCAAGCACGCAAAGCGTAGAAGGGTCTGACAGCGGCATACCCGCCTGGCTCTCCACTCTCTCTGTCGCGAGCAAAACAAGAGTCTGCGCACTGGCCAACTGCGCATCTTCCGGGCCATGTTTTTCCCACGTACGCGCGCGCGGAGAGAGAGCGTCCTCGGCTCTAGACACACACACACGTATGTATACTCACTCAGTGTACAAATATATGACACAGGCGTTTCGTCTAATCATATAGGAATCTTATGTAAACAGGAATCCTTCAAGCTTCGTCAGTCACTTTTTTTCATCTCGCAGTCGTGTAATAATGGAATGGAGCGAACGAGAAAGTTAATTGACCGGTCAATGTTTATACGTCGAGTAGTACGCCCTGCCTGGCGCATGGCGCGACGTAGGCAATGTAGGCAAAGCTCGAGCGCGCGCGGCGCGGCGTGGTGCATTTGTTTACATAAACACGCGACACACACGGGGTTCGCGTTCGCGAGCGCTAGGAGCCGCCGTCGAAGGTCAACGACCCCCCGGCGGCAGTGGCGGCGGCAAGATGAAAAATGTGCGCGCGTCGATTTCCCCTCTCCCGGTCGTGGAAAACCGCGCGTCCGCGCCCTTCGCGTGCTTGATACGCTAACTGCGTACTACTCTTACTACTACTACTACTACTACTGTATGTTACTACTCACTTTTTTCGTCTTTCGCTTTGCGACTGGGATTGACATACACACAGATCTCGCGTCCCCTTGGAGGTTATGCGGCGACGAATCGCCTCATCCACTCTCTCTTTCTCTTTCGGGGTATACAGCAATGTTTTCTACGAGCGAGTCACCGACAACACTTTGTTTCCTGTGAGTATATATAATCTACGTCGCAAACGCTACAACGGCAATAGACCAACTCTTGGAACACAATTTATTTGATCATTTCGCGAGAGGGTTTGAGATGTGTGTATTTTTTGGCCGCACCTGAACAATAACGAGAAATCGAAGAAATTCTCTGCACACTCACTGGAGTAATAGCACACATGCGCGAGCACACGAGTAACACAAACACGATGTGTATATAGAGATATGTGTGTGTAAATTTTTTTTGTTAGTTTCGTTAATATATATTTACTTATATATTTACACACGCGTTCGTGTGTGCATGACGATGAGATAGGTAGAGGGGTGGGGAAGGAAAAAAAATGTAAAAGCGAAGAAAAACGTTGCGATCGCTTAATTTCAAAAGAGAAGCACACGGCGACGTCGCGCGCAAGAGACTGACGTGCCGCGCCGCAGATATAACGTAGCGCGTTGTTGTGGTGCGCCGCGCGCGCAATACACGGAAAATTCCGGCTTTTCACACTAGCGACATCTTACGGTGTAAAGGTTGGTCGGTACTAGAGAACACCACGGTGTTTATTCCACTGCGAGGCTCGCAGGAGGGGTTCCGTGCTACATGGAAGTGAAAGAGTTCAAACGCCCTCCGAGTAGAGAACGCGAATCGATTGCCTTCGCGTCTTAGACACGCAGCAAACGAGTGGAATGCCGTCGTTCTGTGCCGCTGCCGCCGCCACCGGCGTGCTCTGCGCGTGCGTTTGTTTACTACGACGCAAGAGGGAGACCGACGCTATGCTATATATACATATATATTTATTCGTACTTTTTTTCCATGTAAACTTTCGCGAGAAATGGCTTTTTGTTACTACCTTTGAGACCGATCAGATGTTATGTAACTTTATATCTGTTCGAATAATGTAGTGGCAGCTCTGTGTGCATACATATTTTTACTAAACATCTGATACAACTGAGTATATACATATATAGTTGTGCAAGTCTTCTGCGCACAAATATACGTGCACTTTCACACAAAATAAATAATTCCAAGGCGTTTCTGTCTTAACAGTTACGACAATAACAATATAGCAACAAAATGACTCTCCCTGCTTAGCGTAGTACTTTTTCTTCGAGACGGGAGCACGTAAGCATGCCAGAACGACAGACAGTGAAAAAAGAACACGAGGAAGCGTGCATATAAGCATAGGTACTACCATCCCAGAAAAATGAATAATAGTTGTTTACCTGCGTTGCACCGCGAGGACGTACCAGCAACGTAATTCACAACACAGAGAGTGCTGATATGCGCGTATAAAGGAGAAAAAGAGAGAGAAAAGCGTTTTACGACGTTGTAAACAAGAGCACGCGCTGCGCACGCTGCTCGATAGTTTGTTGTGATGGCCTTTACTATAGCATGCATCAGTCGCGCGCGCGGCGCCCGTAACAATCAATACTTTACTCTCTCACTCTCTGCCTCGTCGTCGTAGTTGTAAGCAATATATAGGTATATTCGCAAACCCGCAAGTGTGAGTTGCTAGGAGTTAGGAATCGCCCTTATCGACATGGCCTGAGTGTTGTTCCAATGGCACTCGAACGGTGCTTGGTTAATTAAACATACATTTTCATCATGCGTGGATGTAAAGTAGTGTTTGGTGATTTTACATGAGCGCTTTTGCTTTTTCCTTTGATCGAGTTGTTGTTTTAGCGAATAATGTACTGTTAAATGAATTTGATAAATATTGGAGATATCATGTTTGCGGTATCAATGTTCAAATGATAAAATATGCATTTAAACAACCACCGAGTTTAAAATAACAAATTTATACAGTATATAGCATTGAAGTCAGTAAAATAAAGAAATTTTTGTGATTTATTAGTTATGCATTGTATAAAGGTTCCACCTAATTCTTCTTTAAATGTTTAAATATCAAATTCACTTACGTAAAGATAAACAAAATATTGTTAAATTCGATGACAGATGATGGATTAATGTGCAATTTAATTATTACAGTCAAAATATCAAAGTATAAAATAGAATCAGTCTTGAAGATAGCAGTTTGAACCGTTGAGCAGTTAATCAAATAATATGGCAATTCTACTGGTGAAGAAAACTTAAAAAATCTATTTTAAGAGACAAAATTTTAATTCAAAAGTTCTACATTAAAAACAGATTATAAAATCCAAATAAATATAGATTGAGACAGGTGTCTCTTTATAAGTTAATTTGACAGCTTGATTTACTACTTTATTATATTCATCAATAGTACAAAGTAGTTTTGATTTTATAAACTTCATTACAAATTAATAAGTGAAGAAATATATATGTTATTTCTCTTTAGCGATATGCTCCCGAATATTGAATTTTGATAAGGAGAGAATTTAAACTCGAAGCGTCCAATAAAAGCACACAAGGAATGAGGAAATAAATTTTTTTGCGTGCTTTTATTGGATATGCAAGGTATAATCTTTCTCGTGTTTTATCAAAATTCAGTAATATGTCAAATCGTTATATGTCATACAATAAAAGGCACTAGTGGAATGCAACTATTAAAAACAGTGTATGTATCGTAAAAGATTATAAAATCGAAGGAGCAAGGATAAAATCAAGTTTGTATCGTATTGAAATTAATTCTACTAGTTGAGGCACACGAGTATTGGGAGATTGTTTTGACGCGTTGATTTTGTTTTTAAATCAAATAAACACGCAATAAAACACAAGTCTAACCGCGCTTTGATCTAAAAATTGAGTTTCTCCAGAAGCGCTATGTATAAAAAAAGTAGGTAGGCAGACTAATATATTAGCCACCCACAAGAGTCTACCTTAAATTTAGCGTTAGATTAAAAACAGAAAAATATAGAATACAACCTCTAAAAAATTGGCACAAAAATGTGAATTGACCTTCTATTTATGAAGAGACTATCATTGGCTTTTGAATGATGTGCAATCTTCAGGTTAAATATGAAAAAATTTGTCGCTCGCTTCGATTATCCACGAAAGCTTTCTTTTTCATTGTGTTATAAGAATGACATAAAAAATTGGTCCGCTCCCGGTGCCGAAAGTGTTGATCGAAAAAAAGAGAAAAGAAAAAGAGAAGTACTGCGACGTGGAAAATAACACGCGGTTTATTATGCGAGCACGGAATGAGATTGCAGAGAATTGGACGGTCAATTGTTGATGCATCGCGACACCATTGCCAGAGTGATGAGGCCGAGTGCCATCGAGGTTGCGCACACCGCCGCCAGCGTGTCTCGGTTGTAATTTGGACAAAGCTCCTTATCCCGGCATCTCCTGCAATGCAAATAGTATTTGTCTTACACCGCCTTGAGCGTTCGCACGTATCGACGGATTATATCGCGCGTGCTCCTCTTGAAATTACAATACGAGCGAGAAATGCTGTGTTTCAACAGAAGAAAAGTATGCGGAACGAACGCTAAAGGTGAATTCTTAAATATAGCGACGACATTTCCCCATACTGTAAAATCTTCATTAGAAATTATTAAGAAACAACGTTTGTATCTTAGCTTATGAATTGTTTCTTCGGAATATCAACTTGGAAGCACGTGAGAATGTCTTCCACGTGAGAATACTCGCAAGTCAACGCTTCGGGTGCCGCAGTCTTGCGAACCGAAAATTGTATGTAAGAACTTATTTAGTTGAGCAATGAAAAAAAAAATGTAGTTAAAATTCGTACTTTCGAGCCCGGATACATAAGCGGAGTCTGAATTTCTTTGTGAAAAGACAACGTACTTTTCGTTACGACAAAAACGAGAGATTATAATTTTCTTAGAAAAGTAATTGCAACAGAGCATCATTGCGGCAAATGACAATTAGAAATAAGTAATAGCGAGACGATTAAATCTTGATATTTGTATAAACTCCATAAAAATGAAGCAATTTAAGGATGAATAATTCAAAAACGGCGCGCGGTAGAAATTGCAGAAAATTACATAATTCTTGGCGCGCGAGCTCGCGTTCCAGTAAATATCATTCGTATAAATATTAAATGACTCGCGCGTGCTCCCTTCCGTTTCCCAAGCGGCGGCGGCGACGGTGGCGGCGGCCGCGGCGGCGAGCGTGTGTGCACGCAGCTGCAAAGTGGAAAAAAAAATAATAAATCATAAGGAGCGAGAAGCACGTACAATCTCTCGATGATAATGACGACAAGCCCGGTGATGACTTTGTCAAGGAAAGTGACGACGGAGTAGACGAGCGCACTGTTCTCGGTTCTAGGGCCAATCAGCTCGGCGGTGATACTCAACGCGGTGACCATGGTGATGGAACTACCGGCGCCGACGAGGACGCCCACGGAGTAAAGTACCGCCTCGCTACTTCCGGCGAACTCGGCGACGAGAGCCGCCGTCACGCCGATCAAACCACCTAGTAGGTAGCACACCTGCAATAGAAGCAAAAATAACAACAACGGACCATTACGAGAGAGCCAACCTTCTTTTCTTTCTTATCGTTACTGTTGTTGTCTTGTTAGCGTTTGTATATATAACTGTAGTTTCAGGCGCGGAAACTTCATCGAGCTTACGACATGTCATTTGAACTTTTCACTTGCTGGCTTATTTCGTTGGTTCGTACATGCTCCAACGATGTTAATGCACGTCAATTACAAACACGAGTCTCGCTTTCGGCGCTTCCTTGTTCAACATTTACCTTTGTTTCGATCGTCTTTGGAATTTTTTTCATTTTTGTTCATTTCATTGGAATTTCGATGAAAAAAATATTGTAACATGAAATCCGTGACTTTGCGCAGCTTAACTTCTTCATTTCATTTGCATAATTTTCGCATTTGAAGATCCAAGAAAATATGCAAAACCAGCAGGTTATTCTTAAAGGGCTATTTATGAAAATCTCCGGGATGTAATTTTTAGTGAATAGTAAACTTGAAAAGTAATTTGTCGATGTTACGCATATTTGGTTGAACTTCAAAGACATATAAGTTGGCAAATGCACTTGAGCGAATAGCCACGGTAATCTCTAGCGGGTAAATGAAAATAAAGAAAATAAAAAATAATACTTCAGAACATGAATTAAGTCAGCCAAAAATAATTTCTCAGGCACATAAAAAACGTCCAACAAAATGAGAGAACCCAAAAAGAAGAGACACGCGAGTGAAGGTCGCTCGTGTCTTTCTTTCTCCGCGGCCTCATAAAAAACTACACATTTAGCCTCTCGCGTCGTCTTCAATGGAAACATCATCGTGAAGTAAGTTGTTTATCGCTCGGTCGACGCGATACGTAGCGAACGAGATAACGACGGTTGAAAATCGAGTTTCCTAAGAATAGCCCCCCTAACGAAGATGCGCGTCGTCCGCGTCGACTTCCCAAAAAACTTTGCCCTCCTCTATTTTCGCGCCGCGCGCACGCAAGCTCGCGGTCGACCCGAATTATAAACGCCGTCGGGGCAAGTAACTTCAGACACGGGCAAAGCGACACTTTCAGACAAATAACGGATAAAATACCCCGAGCATAGACCCGATTTGGTGCGAAGTAATTTGACGCAAGTCGCACGAGTGAAGTTTCAACGGGGAAAAAGATGAGTCGTTACGATCGTCACGGACATTCATTTTTACGTTTCTTTTGATTTAATTATACACTCTTCATAAAGGTGATGACTGCGGTTCGTGGTTGATGCGCGTTAAATGTCGTATTAATCGCGATAAAAGCTCGCGGCCCGTTTTCAACTTCAATCAAAGTCAGATACGTGCGTATTAGTTTTAATCATAGCCTTCTCTCCCCGTGTGTTTGTGCGTTCGCGTGAAGGCTTATCTCGAGGCGCAAAAAAATAATCGCGCGCGGGTATCGCTGACGGCCATGGTGAGTTTCGGCCGCGAGCGTCTTGAAGCAAAGACCGAGGAGATCGATTATCGTCGACGAGCAAACGCGAAACGTGGAAAAGATTGCAGGCGCTTCCGAAATCGGAAGTGGCAATAACTCTCCCGCGGAGCCTATTTGCACACTCGGGCCGGCGCGCAGCGAGCGAGCAGAGGCGCTTCTTCAAAGTTCAAATCTAGCCTGGAGCGGCGTGTCTTCATATACCGTGGCTGCTTCAATCGTGCCAACACAACGCGACATTAATTGCGTAGTGCGCGCACGCGGTTCTATAAGTAACGCCGGCAGCAGCGTTGAGGATCTAATTGGGCGCCGCTCGCGTCGCTGCCGAGATGCCGTGTGCGTGAATATGCAATGATATTGTGTATGCCCCGAGGCGTCGCCGCTCGTGCCTGCTAATGTTTGTTGCGTGCATCGTCTTCAAACCGAGGTATTCGCTCGCCTGGCGGCTTCTTGTTTTTCTGCTTTCGTTCTTTTTTCTTTTCCTTCTTCCAGCGTTATGCAGCGACGGCGTTTCGCGATGGCGAAACGTGACTGCTTCGTGATTTCCTTTAATTTGATCAAATGTTTTGAAAACCGACTAACGGACGGCGGATCGCATTGCATGTGTAAAATCATCGTGCGGAATACCGTTCTTCTACGAACCCCAACTGAAGTATCTTTAGGGAGATTTCAACTGTGAACAACATTGTAGTTAGAGCTATTATGCGCCCCAATCAGCGTTAAATCACCACTCGGCTGCTTAATGCAGAAAAAGAGGTAGCGCGCGCACATAACGTTTTTCCATTGGGCGTTGCAAGTTCCGATGAAAGAAAAGCAGCCACCGTCCTGACTAAATTATATTCATCATATTAAATGGCGAACTTCATACATCGTTTGCTACGGTCGAAAGATTTTTCGGAAAGGAAGTTTCATTACACACGCGCGCGCGCGTGTTGTGTGCGTGTTGTGTGCGTGTGTATGTATCTAAAAGTCACTGAACTGAAATTTCCGTTGGTGCAATCTAGCTCAGTGAGCGTGAGAAGTTTCCGCCAGCTGTGAAGATAAACTTCTTGCAAATTTTCATTGGAATATCACATTTCAATTAAGGGGGCAAAGCGAAAATACAGTTGAAATGTTTACCTTTTTGCACCCTTTCCCGTTGCGTTTCCTGCGCCTGCCCTTCTACACGTATACGCACGTTGAAGTTGCGCTCGCGAGCTTCAATTAATTGCACGCGATGGCTGACAGTCGTTGAACTAAGAATTTTGCCGGGGTCGTAAACAGCCGTAATGCGCCAGATAATCGATCTTGCGAGGCATCAAAAACTACGCGCGAAGTTAGAACGAGGAACGGACGATCGTACCTTACTGCCGCAGGATCGATTGATGTACTTGAGCATGAGTGCGCTGACGAATGACGCCAGATAAGACACAAGCGGTACGGTAGCAAGTGCCTGTCTGCCGCCAACACCAGTTTCCTCGATGTAAAGCGGCAGGTAGACCGTTGCCAAGGTTATGAACAGTCGACTGGCGACGTACAGCATGGCGACTTTGGTTAACAGACTGGTCACCAGCGGACGTCCGCTACTCTCGGGACTCGTGACTTTACTTTCATAGGGCGCCGCATCGGGCTGCTGTTGCTGTGGCTGCGTTTGCTGTGACTCCACGGCGCTCGGTGCCGACGGTTTGAACAGCGGCGCACGGACCACTTCTAATAGCCGTGCGTTTAAGAATGCGTGGAAGAGGATCGTCGCTATCACGCCGAAGAGCGTCAATACTACGGCGATGTTCTGTGAAGGACACGGCGACGATTAATTGTATTGATTATTTGAGCGAGACATTCTATCATACGCACTCGGAATCTGTAAGCATCGAATGGATTGAGACGCATGACGAAGCCGTTGTTTGGCAGCACCATCCAAGTGACGAAGAACACGAAGATTGCTGCGCCCACTTGAGCTGAATATCTGCGCAACGATAAACCACGAGATTATTTCGCGCTCGATGCGACTACAGTTAATTTTAATCTGCGGCGATCACCTTATGGCAGTTAACTCCGAGCGCAAGACGTTTGATCCGGTCAGCGCGGGTATCATCGACAGATGTGAGATTTGTACAGCGGCCCAGCCAGTTTGAAAGACGATGATGCTGAACACGTAGACGAACATGGTGCCAACACTGAATGGATTCCTCACGAAGCTGCCAAATATCACGGGAAACGAGAAAGTAACCAAAGCCGAGCCGACCACGTGCCATGCTTTCTTGTTGGCATAGCGATCAACTAATACACCGAATACCGGTGTCATCAGTGCGTCGACTACTTGACCTGTATAATATCACATTCACGGCTGGATTTTTCAACTATACTTTGCTCGAGGAAAGTCTAATACTGTTTACAGCCAAGTTTGCGAACAAATTCATCTATACGCGGTCTTTCTGTGATTGCATATTTTCGGATATTCAAGAGAAAAAATCGCCGTCTTTCGTTGGCTTTCGAAAACAATGTTTTTTATGAATTATTTATCCAGAGGTCGATAAATAATTCATCGAACTTCGTTCCGACTTCAACTTTCGTTTTCGACAAAAACAACAATATCGAAGGAAAACAAATAAGTTAGCTTACGAGTTGTCCCTTAATTAATCAAGATTCGTCAATTTTTATAAGTTTTTTATTAGAAAATACATGCACGAATATCATTATTACATTTTATAAAATAAACGTATGTATATATATTTAAAAAATCTGTAAACTATTTTACAAGATTTATGTAAATAATGAAAACTGTTACATTCTAATACGAGGTGCTTTATTACCAAGTCTTTTCGATGTCGAAAAAAAAATGTAAAGAGTAATAATAGTCCTATAAGAGCTTACTTCAAAATGTAAAGATTTTGACGGAGATCTGTGGCAAATATTTTTAATAAGCTTTTTTGAATTTTAAGAATACGTATTTATATTTCAACCGCAATAATAAGGTCCATTTATGTGATTTCTAATAAAAAACTTGATTAAAGTTGGTGGATTCAAGCCAATGAAACGTCGCTAACACCAAATTGATTTTTTTTTCCTTCATTGTGAAAATCTAAACGTTCATTAATTCATTTATTTATTGATTGGACTTTGAAAACTAAGGCGATTCTCAATTTGATAAAAGAATACTTGTTTGTAGCAAACAAATCCTAATTATTAAATCGATCTACAACAGCAAATCCATACCTAAAAGTAACAAAGATCCAGCGGTGATCGGCTCAAAGTTAGCGATCCGTTGCAAGAATATGAGGGTATAAGAGAACCACATGGCGGCGGCAAGGTCATTGAACACATGGCCGAGGGCATAGGCTGCGCGCGTTGTCAAACTGACCGGCCTATCCACCAGTGGAGTTCTCTCGCTGCTGCTACCGTTGGCCAGCATTGTTCTGGCCGTGAAGTTAGCGAACCAGCTTCTACATCGGATTCTGTCGAAAAAAATTGATTTGTATTCGTGTTTCCGTATATTCAGCACTCGAATAACACCTGCTGACTGTCTAATGAGTCGTCCAACCCTCGCATTAAAAAAAAACGGTACGTGTAATGAGTTTGCGAGCACTTACTCGAAACGAGAAATAAACTCTGTCATAATTTGAAAGTGACTTCGCACGCGGAATACAACTAAAAAACACAACAACTCCATTAATGATAATAGAAGAATTATATTTCTTACTTCTTTTTCAATTAAAAAGTACCCGTACGTAATAAATCATGCGACTGTTCGCGTAGTGTGCGTTAGAGCGCCAAGCGACGTGAAAGCGAGCGTCGAAAGCTCGCGAACGCGTAATTACCGCGTATTATGCATACGTTTGTATGTACGTTCTCGCCGATGAATAATGTGCGAGGAGAATCCACAAATATTATGCGGGCTTCTCTTTACACTTCCTCTCGTCCTTTTTTTTGTCATCACCTGCGTCTGCACAGTTTTCTCTATATCGATGTGACGGATGTTAGCTTTGTGCTCAAGTTCATTTATACATTTTCTTTCCTATCGCGGGAACTCCGAAGCAGTGACGACGGCATAAGTGGACAGAAAAAAGAAGTCGATGATTTATTTCGATTGAATATTGAGTAGCGTAGTAACAATATGGTAAGGTTTGCAATTGTTTTATCATTGACTATTTTTAATCGTCAACCTTGATGGATTTTAAACAGATAAGTTTTAGCTACTACTAAGAAAACATTACTTCAGCTTGGAGAGAAAGAACCGTTTTTCAATTTATGTTTTCGCATAAATAGTTACGTAAAGTACTTTAGCTCATCTCCACAACAATAAATTAAGGATGGATGCACGTTTGAAGAGGGAATAAATTATTTTCTTATAACTTGGTGATTTTGTTATCTGTGTGGACGGCTATCGCTGTCGTTTAGCACGGTTATATAAAAACACGGCAAGATGCACGTGTCGATGAAATGACTAATGTTCGCCACCTCTTTTTAAAATTTATCGTTCCTCGTCGGATCGACATCTCACTACAATGCAAAACTTACGACAGAATTCGGAATTTCCTAAACGACATATCGACGATTTTTGCCGTTTCCGTCGATTACAGTCTCAAGTGCGTGGCCCCATCATATCAACTGAAAAATTCTCAATTGAACTCTCTGACGGCGCGCAATCAGCTGTGCTTGCAAAGGCGTAATAGTCGTCGTCTTATGCGGCTACGCTGTCGTTGCCAACTCGCACCTTTTAAATTCTCTTCTCGCACGTGTGCGAGCGTGTGCGCTTTAATACAATTATTCGCTCGTCGCGATTCAGCACTTGTATATTGACGCTCGTTCGCACACGCAGTGCGCTCGTGTCGATGTGATTTGCATTTCCGTTGTTTCGGCTTTGTTTAAAGTGGGCTATCCGTCCAGATTGATTTTTCTTCGTTGCTGGTCTTCATTGTTTTCCTTGGCTTGTCAAATTTCTGCTCTGCTTTTTGTGTGACAATGTCATCCGAATTGGGTCTGTTGTTAATTAACACATTAAGCACAGTCTTTCTTAACGCTTCTTATTAAGTGATTCTACATTCACATTACTCTTTGCCCACATCATCGTAACAATAAAACATTCTATACTAAAATAATCACTACTTTGACTTTAGAAACTCGATATAATATTTTCAATTTTACCGTAATTCATCCCTCACGGTGCCGACACAATTCAAGTTGTTTTGACAATATACGTAATTTCACGTCATTTTCAAAACTGCAATTTTCCAGATTTTCTTCTAATTGTTAACATTCGGCGGTGGCAATTCGTGCGCATAATCAGTATCTCTCACGCGACACAAAGCCGAAACAAAATGAAGGTCTGGGAAAAACAAGTAGCCGACTTTCCACTCTCCGACGACGACACGGCTCCTCCCAAAGCGATTATCGTCGCGCGAAAATCAGAAACGAAGTAATAGCGTGCGGCGGCACCGGATAAACAAGCGTAAAGCCACGTGGACACTTGCGAGATCGGCACCATCGACTGCTGTTGCCGCTGTCGCTGCTGCTGCCGAGAGAGGAAAATAGGTCGCGCAAAGCTCGTCCTTTCACCGTTTGACCGCGCACTACGTCGCAATCGTCGCCGTAAATGGACGACTAACTTGTTCTCGCCGGTGGTTGCTCGGCCGGGAGATTCTTGTTTGTTCCGCGATGAATCACGCGTTCGATCATTTCTTCATCGCGCGATTGTTTTGCGATCAAAGCTTATCTATAAGATTTGATGATTCAACGCGATTGTCATATGTGCGCACGCGCGCAGAGCGTCAACAAATGAGAGAAAGTTATTCGACGGCCTTTAGGTTTTTGAACTTTCTGAAATTTGAACGAAAACCAGCTTTTCCTCAAGATTGCAAGATTCGCGTGCATTGCGATAAGTGGAATTTTTTATTTTTTATTTATTGCTCAACCAATATAGATGCGGGCTTTAACGCTCACCACTGCAATTATATTCGTGCGAGAGTTTTCGTTATAAATCAATTTGAATCGAGAAATTTCTTCGTGATTCCATTGGATTCTCATCTAAAACAATGAGAAATATCTCAATCGAAAGATAATTTTAAACATTCATTTTGAAGCGCTGTGTATAAAGCTCAAAGAATACTTTCAGTGACAAACATCACTGAATGTTGCAGATCATTGTCGAGTATAACAATCCATTGTTCTTTAATTATAAATAATTTTTTTCCTTATTTCTTTGCAACGAGTTATTTATAACGTTGTATTATTAGGTAATACATATAATGTAAATTTTTCATTATTTTAACATTTTTTTGAAATAAAGAATTTTCGCAAAAGCTTCCTGACGAAATATATTGTCGTTGCTATAACACTGCTTTTTCCGTTATATTATCGCCAATTAAAAAAATTATAATATATCTATGTAGTTTTTATTTATACAATCGACAGTAAATTACGTAAAAGAAATGACACCCACATATTTTAAAAGCTGCTAACAAAAACAAACTTGTTGATCAGATTAGTAAGAAAGGAAGTTGATAAAAATCTTGTACCGAAGGATAGTGAACACAAGTATAGGGTTTCTATAGTGTAAGAAAAACCTCGGTTATACCTATACTCTCGATATGGACAGTAAAGAAAACGTGACATTTATCTATGATAGAAAACCGCTATTGATATTAATGAAATAACAACGTGTGCATTTTCTTACGATGTTTTCCATAAAACATTTCTGCATAAAACTTATCAATCAAAAAGTGCATTGATTATTCAGGGACTGTTGGTAATGTGAATCACACTGTAAAACAAACGCAGCAATGATAGAGTCTCACGTTGGGTTTAATTTAGATCATCTAAGCCAGCAGCTTCGTGAAGCATGAAAGAAATCGAGACGAAAACCGCATCCACATTTCTTCAATATCAAGTATGCTTATAATACAAAATATTGCAATATTAAAAAAAAACATTTCTTAAATTATTATAATTAACACATGGGATCTGTGTAAAATAGGCCTGCTTGTAATTTCAAATTCGATACAGTCATTTCACAGCTACGACTGTTATTACGTTTCACACGTTACAATTCAATCACATTTGGTTTTCAAAGAGTTCTTCGTTTACACTTTCATTGAGCTTTACAGATATCAATGAATAATTAGCATCGGAAGTCCTTCTAGAATGCTCGTTCGCATTAGGTTTTTGAATAAAGGCATTAAATTTTGTCTGGTGAATAAGTCTTCTTTTTAGTTGTTTCGCGTTTATTATTTCTAGTGTTGCTTTAAAACCATCTTTTGAAATGCGAATCGGTATTTTAATTCCAAGTAAAAATTAAGTGTATTTGATAAAATTACATTTTCCAACTTTGCTTATCCATTGCTGCAACTGAAGAGGTACTGATTTATTATATTTCTATATAAGCCCATCACAGAAACCCTTCACACAACTCTCTCGCATGCAAATCATCTCTCGTTGAAGCAAATAAGTAAAAGTTACTTGAGTACGTGAAAACTCACCACATCACATTCCACACAAAAACTTCACGCCTCACTCGACTTATCCCGGTAAATCTAATGGAATATCGGTGGTAACGTTGACGAAGAGACTAAAAGCGCGACTAGAATCACATCGACGACACTGACAAGTCGAAGGACCCCTCTTTTTCTCTGTACAGTGCTTCGGTAACCTGATATCGCACGGGGAAACGCGAGTGCGTGGCCGGCAATCGATACCAAGTGCCTCGACGTACCGTTCTTGTACGGTCTCTGCACTTTTCTCTGTCTCTCTTTTGCTTTTGCAAGTGTTAGCTGGACTGTGAACTCTCGTGGTTTATCGACGCATAGGTCTAGTGTGACTGACCTTTGTCTATAATTATTTATGCCTTACTAATTGCCACTTGTACTGATCTTCAATATAATTTTTGAAATATGAGTTTACCTTTATAATTAGATAGAACATTTATCCATCCTAAGGGCTTTCATTTAATTCCATTAAAAGGTTGATAATAATATATACGATTTTAGAAAAAAATATAAAGTTTTATTTAGAACAACTTTTGTCCCATAATTGATTACATATACTTTGTTGTTCTGTGCGAGATGTAGTCAAACTCACGCGTTTCAATCAAGACATATCTAATAGAAAATAGAGTGCAGTTAAGTAACTGATAGAATATAATTTGGACCCTGGCACAATTGATGAAATTTATTGATACTTAACTAAATAATTATTTTACGTTATTTTCGACAATAGTGTAAAAGTCCTATAACATATCGCAAGAATATTATAATTCGAAAAGATATACAAATTGATATGTGAAAACAAAAAATGTAAATAAAAAACATTGTAAATTCGTAAAGATACTAGATTAAGATTACTTTTAAAGTCTTTGACGATATTTCTTAGATTAACTTTTTTTACAAGTTATTATTCTATTGCACAAATTCAGTATTGACTAATTTCATTAGAGCATAATTCTATCCGTTCAAATATAATATTTTAAAAACTTATATATTAATATTTGACTTGAGTGAAAAACTGTATCATTATTGAAATAGTATGGATTGTAAAATATAAGTTCTTAGTCACGAGATTTTCGCTTTTCGAGCTATTTAGATTCATGTTTGTGATGTAGTAATGACTTGTATCATACGAGTGTCAAAGTACACTTTGAGAATAGATCACAATCCTGTTTAAGATGAATCTTGCTGTTCTTGTTCTTCAGCAAAAGGAACTCTCTTTGAGGCAGCGTATTCCGTCCCATCAAATTGCCTTAAATGAATCTACAATAAAATAAAGAATATAAGTTTTTTTAGAAAGCAATATGCGTAAACGTTTGCTCAGATTCCATTCCATATTTACTTATAGTTTAACTTTAGCTACATCATGAATAATTTACCTGCAAATGCAGATTAACTTCTGCAGATCTACTTAGATATGGAAAGTTACCACCACTTTTCAAGTGTGCTAGTTTTGCTTTTGGATAACATTTGTACATCTGTTCTCTGACATCATTTGATAAAGCGTATTCATCAAAAACGTCCATTATTGTTATTGGTAAGTTACACATTTTTTGCGGTTGAACGTAACAATTTACACAATTCATAGTAAGTCTAGATGCTAATTCTGGTTGAGTAAGACTCTCCAACTGGAAAAATTAAAAAGTTAAATATTTCCAAGTAGAGTATCAATATAATTTGTTTTACAATCAGTTAATTTACCCTTTCAACCATAAAGTCAATAGCATCAATCATTTCATTGTCAACCTTGTTTGTTTCAAAGTTTCCCATAACCATTTTCTTCAATACCAGTGAAGGAAGTACCCAGAAGCTAGGAATATAAAAAAATGAATATTAAATCTATATAAATTAACAAAGTTTGTAATATATCTAAAGTTAATAAAAATTTACTAGAAATTTTAGCAAAGAAATCAGAGAAGTGATTAATTTAATTAAAAATTAGTAATAGATATTATTCTACTATTATTCAACATTTTCAACATACACAGCAGCAGATTCATTGTAACTGAATATGGTAGTGTCGGTAAAAGTATTACATAGAATTAATGAAACTATTCTAGGACAATGTGCATTGACTTCAGCAAATTTTTGAGCAAGAAAACCTCCTGCAAAAAGTATTAGAAAAATTTAATTTTTTTCATCGCTTATATAATTATTTATGTAAAACATTATGTTTTAGGTGTACCCAATGAGGCTCCAAACAAATGAACTTTATCTAACTCCAGGTAATCCAGTAATTTCTTAAATCCATCGCACCACTCTTTTACACTCCAATATACAGGTGGTTCAGCCTGGAATATTGTAAATCAATATTGTAAATACAAGGAAATAAATGTAAATACAAATATTTATCAATGCTATAGTCAACCAATTGATTTGCTTCAACTTGTAGTTTGTTTAAGTGTTTTGTTTGGATAAGATAATATATGTAGATACACATTCAGATCAAATAATGATCAATTACTTACAGATATTATTCTGTATCCTTTTGCTGACAATGCCAAGAGTTGTTTAAAGTAAATATCAGCAGTTCCACTAACTGGAGGTAGACACACCAGAGGACATTTGATAGTTTTTGGATTTGAATCATACACTTTCCATCCCTACAAAGAAAATTGTTCAAAAATGATTTATGTTTAACTATTTAATTCTATTATGAATCTTCAATTGCATTATCTGCTGTGATAATTTTTTACCAATAAATATGTATGCAAACTCATTACGTTTTCTAAATGATTATACAATAACTGAACAAGAATAAAAAATTGAATGTATTCACAGAGACTACAAGTGATATTAATTATGGATTATAAAAAAACTTTCATAATGCAAATTAGTGGTGGGTACTTGTTCTTCATGAATATGTATGATCGTTACATACTTCGATTGCGCCGATTTAGTTTATAATATATTTTTGTATTTAATTATATTCAAAGCTCATTTATAATAGTTGTCAGGCAAAGATAAAATTTTACACGAGAGCATGATTAACTTGAAAATATCCTGGATTTTGCCTTTATCAAGTTGCGTACTAAAATTATAAAACAATAAAAATAGTCAGAGAAAAAGCACTTGATAACTAACCTTGGTTCCATCAGAATCGACAACAATTTTGCGAAGTGGTATAGAGCTTCGAAAACTTTGATACTCAGGTGATTTAGAAAGTTCACTGGTGCAAGACATTTTATATCCAAATAATTTGTATCTTAACGTCAGAAGAGTCAATTTTATAGGTTATGTATGTATTCAGAATGTGTTCAGTTGCGACGAAGCTGAAAAGAACTTGCCATTCAGAACGAAAGCAAAACAATACTCAAAACGAGCGAATGACCGCTTGCGATTTTTTTACGAACTATTTTACAATTGCAGTCTTTGACATGCGAGTGATGCATCGCGGCTTACTTATGTGTTGAAACTTTTTTGATTAAAAGACCTATAGGTAGCACATGTACAATTGTAGCTGAAACTTTTTTGTGAGACGTGTACTATCGCACCACTGTAATTCTTGTGTCGTTTCAATTGCAATAAATAGTCATTAAAAAATGATAGCAATTCTTCGATAACACACAAGAGAAATGTATATTTATACTAAGTGATTTAACTTGTGATGTTGACAACAAGGAATGGTAGTGAGCGACACATGCGCACTACGCGATTAAATGCCTCATTGGGTCGGCAGGAATTCTTCTTTTCCTACCATGTTTTTATTTCATTTATTATAAATTTATTATAAATTACTAAAAATCTTTTGACAACTAACACTTAATGTAACCATTTGTAGCGAAATATTTATTGAATTCTATACCAAAAAAATTAGTAGCTTCTATTAGTGTGGACGGTATAAAGATGAAAATATGAAAAAATGACTGTGTAACTATAAATATTAAAACTTATTGCTTTCGATATGATATTTTATATATTTATATATACACGTACACACTTGAAAATACTTTTAATTTATACATTTACACAGCAAAATAATCTTAGTCTTACATATAGTAGAAATTGTACCAATCTACAAAGCTGGAGATAGAACGTTACCAACTAATTATTGTCAATATCAAATATTACAAAAAATTTTCAAAAAATAATTTATTGTAGATTGTATAAATTTTTATAAAAGTAAAATAAGATAGAAAACATGAAGATTAAAAGAGTAAATTCATATAAATATTTATATATAATTGTAGATAGTAAACTAAAATGGGAAACCCATAATTACCCTCATAGTAAAAAATAAGAAATATCTTATATATATATATATATATATATATATATATATATATATATATATATATATATATATATTCAGACGGTTTTCAAAAGTTGGAAATACTAAAGCAGTATTACCAATGCATTATTTCAAAGAACCACTCTGCTATGTATTAATAAAATAATTAAACAATGAAACCATAAAACCATAGCACTAAAGATTTTCAGTAAATTAAATTATAATATAACACTGAATTAAAAAAATATATACTCAACAAAAAGTTAAGAAAATGGATACAGGACAATACTGAACTACTAAAATATCTTATCATAATGTGTGATTAATAATGTTAATCTATCATTGTTTTTTGAAATTTTTAAAACTTGTAGAATGTATATACTGAACAAATTAATAACACTTATTTATATTGTAATATTGTCAAGAGAAGGTACTAGTTTCTTATTATTATTATTATTTAAATTATTATCATTCTGCATTATAATTGTCATATTATTAATTTCGGTTTTTAAACTATTATATATCCAGAAACTGTTATTCAAAGATAATTTTAGAATTTTTAAAAGATTACAAGAAATATGAATCACTTGGAAGCAATCATAATTTGTTTAAAAAAAAACTATACTTTTTGCATAAATTTAGATCTACAATTTTTGGGAATATGTACACAATAAAGCTTGAAGTTTCCAATAACTTCCAAATTAGATTTCTAAAAGCAATAATGTTATTTGTTATTTGTGAATCTTGATGACTAATTTTTCCAGCCAAAAATAAAATAAAATATATTTTTCGCGATCCAGATGATTTAAAGTATTTCGGAATTCTTTGAGTTTCAATTTACAGATATTTAATATTGATGAATGATCAATTAGTCATTATATTAATAATTATTTTACTACCTGAAGCCACGTCAAAACTCTGGATATTTCCTTTTCTTTTTGATTTCAGATTGATGCACGTCAATAATATTCATAATCACAATTTTATGCAACAATCTTAAAAGTCGAGTTCGTCAATATTCCATTATCAACCATATCAAAAGTAGCGCACGGTCGGAATCGTAATTTTTTTCTTACAGCCTTGCATGGACACTCGTCCGAAACATTATCAAGTGAGAACTGACTCACGAAAGAACGGCCGCAGCACACTATAAAAGTAAAGATTTATCCGCAGACAGGCATACGTAAAAGCGGCAAGATCTCGCAAATCGGCAAACTCAGCGTCGAAAATAGCGACAGGTAAGATTATAAAATTCTACAAAAATAGGCGCGCTGACGTCACACCGTCTCTCGAGATTTTACAACAAATATAAAAAAACAGAAAGCGTTCGCGCTAATTGAACAATCGCAGACGGTCAGTCATTTCCAATCGTTCACACTCGAAACTGATCTTGCTTCTCATCAGGAATGTCGTCTTCACGCTTTCTCATTTCGATCGTGCTGCTGGCATCGTTACTAGCGATAGCATTAGCAGCAATGAGAAGTCGAAGTATAATAATTGGCGCACGTCTCAAAGGCGATCACTTGATCCAACGCGAGACACTAAAAGTACCGTCGAAGCTTCTGCGCGTGGTCAAGGATAGAAGAACTTACTCTGGTGACAAACGCAGTCGCATTACTCAAGTGCGTCTACTCGATCAAAATAAAAAGGGTAGTGGTGCCGTTGCTACCGTTGCTGCAGGTGGACCCGGACAAAAATACGTTACGGTAGATTTCAAGAGTGTCTCTGGGCACAGCATTGATTACATTATCGAACTTTACGGCAGACAGTGAGAGTAGCAAGTTCGCGAGTGTCGATGGATATAATAATGCAATGTAATGGCGAAGAAAGAGTATTATTTTGTATATTCAAAATCTGCATATGTTTTTATTCTGATATAATTTTTGTAATGCTCATAACTTTATAAATTCTTCTATATTTAAGCTATCATATTTTACAATAAAAGATTTATGTGGAAAAGACAAAGCTATTCGTATATTTTTTTACGCCTAATGTTTGTGTTTATCAATGGCAAATAGACTGTGCTGAGGAAGGAAAGAAAGGAAAAATTTTAACAGAAAAGTGTTGTAGATAAAAACAGAACAATGGAGAAAATGGCTACAGAAATTTAAGGTTAAATTGTAACGTTTTTACGAGCTAATTTTTTGACAATCGAATGCTCGGAATGATCTACGGCAGATTAATTTAATGCTTGTTATTTGTGATCGTTTATTAATACCGGGAGTAATAAGCGTAAAATGTTCAATCTGAAATCGAATGAACGTTTTCAAACAAATAAGTTTTGTTATTAGTTTTTGATTATGAGAATGAAAAAAGCTTTCTAAATTTTTGGTACAATTATTGTATCAATAAAGTAGCAAGCTCTTTTTATTTGAAAAATTCTACATAATTATAAATAAATTGCATTTAGAATGAGATATAAGTCTGATATTTCTAAATATGTAATACAACTATTTCAAAGTTTATGGCAATACAAAATTTGGTGCTCTTTTTTCATATCAACTATATAATCACAACGCTGATGCTGAATGTGCGGCAGTTCTCTTTTTTAGAGAGGTATAGAAGGAGACAGAGGATCCTATATATATGTGTGTATCAGCAAACCATATTACAGGCAGTAGATAATGCAGGAATTTGATGTATCCATCTAAAAAAAGTAAGAACATTTTTAAGATTCTTTTGGTTTTATCTATCTTCCTAAAATTGATGGTATGTATCAATTTTAACTATTAAAGTCATAAATATTTGTGATTCATGTGTTTCACCTAAACTTAATAGAAGTTTTACTTTACACATTTTTGGACATTTCATAAAATTAAAATAGAACAATGGTTCTTCCCATATACTTCATGGTCTGCAAGTTTACCTTGCAATTTTTGTACGTAAGTCTTCAAACACATTATCGTGAGGAAATTCTTTGAAGGGAAAAAATTTTAAATATTAAAACCGCAAGTTGTTTATCGGCGTACAGAAACCATTCCCATAAAAATAATTCTATACCTCCAATTTATCCTCGTCCGCAAATTATGTTTAAATAAAAACAAGAAAAACGTTCGCGCGACAACGAGCATCGGACAGTAATTAGTAAGAAGGCGTCGCTAATCTCGTTGCCTCGGGGGGAGATACAGATAATAGCGCTTGGGCGTGCAAAAGTGGCGCATCGTCGCAGTCTTTTGAAGTTTGCGAGCACTGATCGACCCTTAAAATACAAGCTCTCTCCCTTTGACGAGTCGGCTTATTACGCTAGGTTTCATCGCTCGAAGACAATCGCTACTGTCTTCGAGTAAGGAGTGGCCAACCCGCAAAGCCGATTATCAAGCTTCGCATGAAAAACGGCTTTTCTGCGTATAGTCGTTAGAATTGCCTTGAAGTTTAGTTGGATAGTTTGATATCACAACAATATACTTTTATACGATTGGAATGTGGTGGGACTGTACGTAAGTCGTAAATTTCTTCTTTTGACATTGTTCTTGCAAAGAAAAAGAGATTAACTCAGGGTACAAAGATTCATAAAATTACAACAGGTTGTAAAGTAGATTACTCTCAATCTTTAATTTTCGCCATCAAAGTCCATGCACTGTCCCCAGGAAACAATTGTTGCAAGTAGTGAACTTGGTGCGCCAAGCTATTTTTAGAAAACTCGAGATGTATTCAACACTTTATCTTTTATTTCAATTCAACGTGGATTTACGGCCTATTATCCTCATTGAAGTAGATTATACGGAAAATGGAAACTGTTGCAAGTAGTGGTATGCAAGTTCGGAGCCACAATACAATTTTCGAAAAAAAGGCATCCTTAAGCATTCTTATCCTTGTGATACATCCCCACACATATTTTCAACAAATAAAAAAAATTAAATATTCAAAAAGAAAATCTAACTCGCGGAGAAACGTTATCTACATTGCATATGTACGATCGCTACATGTCTGTGTCTGTGTGCGTGGTGGAGCAAAGAGGTCTTTTCGGTATCGAGAGAGACGAGGAAAGAGGGACGCTGGCCGATGCCCGGCGTGATGACGCTGTATCTATTGATTTTTGGGGCAGAGGGGAGCGAGAAACCGAGGAGGGATAGAGCGAGGGAGCAGCAGCCATGCCGAGGGAAAATCTGCAAGCGTGCTTTAGATGTGTGCGTATGTTTCTATACGCGCCAGCGTCCACATCCTGCTCCTGACCGCTCTCTCTCTCTCTCTCTCTCTCTCTCTCTCTCTCTCTCTCTCACCCTCCCTGTTTTTTTCACTCTGCGACCCCCCGTGACTGGTTCGAAAAACAACTATGCCTGTGATGTTCATTCTATTTTAAGGCTCTTATTCGATTGCACAGCTTTCTATAATCAGTGATGATATTTTTCTTTCGATTTTTATTGTTGGCTGCCATTGAAGTCGACAAGAAAAACTCTTGACTGAACGAAAGTAAATAAGGTACCACCGAGAGGGAGGAAAAATAACCCTCCGCGTATGAAGATGAAAATAAAAAGAGAAGAAAAAAGCCTCTCTCGTAAATCCCAGAGCGGCACTCGCTTAGCATTTATCGAGTTGCGCGCTGACCAGTTTAGCCTAGTGGAAGGCAAAGGGAAAGAGAAAGATCTCGTTGAGAATACAAAACGCGTTGGGAATGAAGTGTAGGATCCCCTAAAAATCCGGCCCCGGCTACGTGAGTCGAGAGACTGATTTCTCAAACGTCAGCGGGCCGAGTTGAAAAATTTCTCCAGCTTTCCAACCTGTTTATGTATAATGGACTGCAAGCTCAGGCAGGGAGAGAAAGGCCTTTTATCAATTCACTCTGCCTTACGACACGTGTGAGTTGACTTTTTTTGCTTATTTTAGCTGAGTGTTAATTAGGTGAGAAATGGAATTTTATTTAGATTATGACGTGGCTTTCGCTCAGTACTCTTCAGCGTCTGACAAGATGCGAAAAAGTGCCATACGCTTAATAAAATGTAAGGTGCGATTGTAGTCATCGACGAGCAAGTATATGTACATCATTAAAGAAAAACAATGAAAAAATCTGTTTGACAAACCCTCACTCGAATGTGGAATGAAGCCGAGATGCATTGCGCATCCGTCATTAATGCGTTTGAGCTGTTCTCGAAAGCTTCGATATGTTCAAATACTTGTTGTTCGTCGACATCATTAAATAGCACCCTACTACAACCAATCGCACAGCACGTTGCGTATATGCCCAACAATCGACTGATCGGCAAATCCGTCCGCACCAGCGCTATACGAGCACCATCGTTAATTTCCAACTCGTTTGTTATCGTAATAATCGCGCGAGTGTCGCGAGCATAACGTCACCGCGGCCGAACGGCGTGTAACAATAGGATATAGGCGGATCGATCGGCGCAACGCACCCGGCGCAAAGCGTTTCCCTGAATATCCCGAATTTCGCGTGAATTAACGCGCTCGCTGATGATCAAAGCTTTGATAGCTTTGACGGGGCTCTCTGCTTCTCTCAAATATGACTCGCGCGCAGCTTAATGCGATTACGCGCAGCGTCAACTTTGTGACCTCAAAAGGATTATTTATCTTCGAATGACGATTTCGATTACTTTCTCCGTGCGCCGGTTTCGCTCGCTCATTAATTTATTTATTCTTTTCGTCTCCGTCCTGTTCGATGCGCGCCCGTAGACGGCTTTGTCTATCGTTTTGGGCTCTCGGAATCGGGAAAAGAAGCTGCGTGTAACGACGAGAGCTACGATATATTCTTTTCGCTTTGCGGATCGATTTTTCTGCGATCGAAGCCATCTCTTCTTGACGCGACATCGAAATGGACGCGTCTGCATGGTTCACATTGAAAAAGTCTGTTCGCGAAAATCGCCAAACAATCGGAGTACGTTTCGAAGGCAGCCGACAGAATCACAAGTACGAAACCGTATACGTATACGCGGCAGACTTGGGAAACGACTCTCGACGCGACGGAAATCCGGATTTGCATTTTACGAGAGACGGAGCGAAACAACGAGGAATCGGTAATCAAAAGCAAGATTCTCAAAGCGATTTGAGAACCGTCGCTTTGAAGCCCCTACTTATCGAGCGCCTCTCTCCCTCTCTCGTTGCTATGATAATGTAATAAAATAAGTGGAGAGAAAACTCCTACCAACGTACTCCCTACCTACTTCTCTCTTTTTACTCTACGGCATCGAGGAGAAGAGAAGCTTTTACACTTTGGCTCTCTCGTTCTAATTAACGTTAATTTACTCAGTCACATTCTTTCACTCTGTATACATTCCCGTTCCGAAGGCTTTTAAACTTTCGCTCCACTCTTTTCGATCCGCGCTTCTTTTTTTCTCCTTTTTTCTTTTATACGAATTGCTGTCGCACGCACGAGTCGCGTAATTCCAGCTGTATAAAAGTCCCCATTGTTACATATACGAGTAACGCAATCGAATTATCGTCAGAGAGGAAGAGAGACGCGACTGGTTATTATCGTCCAATCCGCTAGCGCGCAAGCTTGAAAATTCGCAGTTCACTTTGTCGCCTATGCTCTCGGAGAGGAGGGGAAGTTAGCAGCAGCAGCGCGAAAGGCGAAATACAACAAGTCCCGGCGCCATTGCTAGCTCGCTCGACGTTTTGTTGCCGGGGCTAAAACTCCGCCCCCGAGTCGATATCTCGACCTCCGCCCCGGATAGCTCCCCGCGACCTACTACCTACCCCCCCCCCCCCTCCCTTTCATGTAACCTCGACGATAGCAAAGTCCGAGCAACATCATCTATATAAGGCCGTGCTTGGTGGCTATGTGTGTGACGCGTCAGACTTTTATTATTATTATTATTATTATTATGTTTGCTACGTTATTACTCATTGATTTTTACGTTTAGCTGAGAAAATTCAAAGCTTAAAGACAAGTATGTCGAAAGGTTTGGAGTATTTTTCTATTTGTGTTCTTCAGATTTTCAAACTAGTATGCGAAAAATAGGGCACCCGACAACATCTGACACAAGTACAGCTACTTGTATTTCGATTTATCCCATGGTATTACAAAAATCAAACACAAGAAATGACAAGGCAAATCTAGGCGCTTAAGGCTAACGAAAATAGAAAAAATCGGTGCTCAGATAATAATGAATATGCGCATATTTAGGATCAGTCGGGAAATGAATCAAGGCTCGCAGCTCGCGCGCAAGTGCCGCGTAACGAGGGGGCGGGAGAAAAGGGGGTGGGGAGGGGAGAAAGAGAGATCCTCGACAAACGGGGATCGTAATTGAAAAGGCATTAGCTCGCACGGCAGATGCGCCACTCAAAGCGATCGCGCTTATCTCATGGTGGAGAGGAGAAAGCTCATCCTCGTGTATCTTATCAGCTTTTGCTCAACTGATTTCTGCGGCCAGTACACGAACGAACGATCTATTGGCATTTCACATGTTGCCTTGCTTAATTGAATTATAATTTCTGTCGCTTACTTATGGCTATGTGCGTGTGTGCGTATAGAAAGTATGCCAGTTTTTATTCATTTACATCGCTATTGAATTTTATCCCAAGAAACAAATTATTTACCTGAAAGACAAATATACTTATTATTAGTTGGTTTACGAAATTACGCTTGAGGACACATCTGTTACGAAACCGAAAAAATATTATTTATCGATAAATTGTAATTGATCATACTAAAAAACTACATGCGAGAAACTCCATTAGGGATTTATCAAGTTAAGAATAAAAAAAAATTAAAAAATCGAATAAAAAATAGTCAGTTGGTCTTCTAAATGTCGCCCCGTAATTTTGCCACACAAATTGCTGTGTGTACACATTGACTGGTAGATCGATTTAAAAGGGTGAACGCTGCTGTTGGTCTTTCTTCTTCGGCGTGACGGCTTTGACAACTTAAGCAGGCCCTTAAACCTCGGCTGCGCTGTAATTTATAAGCGACGCCGTCAAACTGCAATGTGGCAGAAACTTGCAACGCAAGCCAGAAAGTCAGGGATTAAGCGAGTGATAAATAAACATCCCTCGCGCCCCGCGCTTACTTTGCCATCGTCGATTCTAATATGTTTTTGTCATTGAAACTCATTATTTACTGAAGGATTTTAAATTTGGTTATGTGAAAGATATCGAAGTAACAATGACGTAATTCAAAGGCTGGTGTTCCATTTAGATAAATATTAATCGGAGGAATTTAAAAGTTGTAATCTTGAAATTTGTAAATATATTAGAAATTGAAAGATTTGTAAATATATTAGAAATTATATTAACAAATAATTATTCTTTACGTATTTAACGACAGTATTAACATAAAAATCAAAATATCTAATAAAATCTTTAAAATATATTACCGTCAGGAAAAAAATATAAATAAAGCTAACATTTTTTATTGTAGTTTGTTATTTATTTTTATTACAATAAATGTTACATAATTCTTATACAATCATTTTCTTGAACTTGATCATTATTAATACAGCGTTTTTTTTTAATTATTACGATGACAGTCATTTATCCGAACAACATGGAATATACAATAGGCGCGCAAAGAATTTTCGGCCGATACTTTTTTTATTTTACAGCGTGTTGACACTACTGTTTCATGGACTAGTACAATTCTATTTGATAGTTTTTTGTTGTAAACTGACCATTCACAAAATTCTGTTTTTTGACTATATATCTTGTGATTGAACTGAACCGCGCTGTCCATAGAGGATGAGATGAACATTATCTGATAGGAAGGCGGGTTTTTTTTTAATCGATTTACATTGAAGACGTATATAACTGACTCTGACATGTAGTACAAAATATGAATATTTATGTTTCTTCAACGGATACCGAGTATAATCAGACAAAAAGTATATCAAATAATTGGCAAATTTTAACTGAGAAGAATATAATTTTCTTGTATAGAATTTAGAAGGAAATGATATTAGATTAATACTTTTCCGACATTTTGCATTTAGGCCTTCATCATAACATATTGTTTGTTTCGTTGCCACCACGTCACATTTCTATCGATCTTTGTCTAGGTCACAGCCTATCTTCATTATCTATTATCATCCTTACTCTTAATAATTAACTTTTTTATTATTTACCTGTTCAAAATTATCTATAACAATCTCTTTTTTTTAGCATAAGATTAATATTATAACAAAAGAATTTCATTTGATTTGTCCAAGATCTCAATAATACTCACAGGACTACATAAGTTACGTGATTATCATTTATTTCACTCTCCTTAATAATAAAATTAATAAAATTTTGATTACACGAGTAGTAATACTTTCGTTAAAATACTATTAATACTCGCATATTTTCAATAATTTATTGCGCATAGGAATTGCCCATTAACAACAAACTTGATTGTCGTGATTAATATAGAGCATCAGAAGAACTTACCAAATACAAATGATATCTCGAATAAACAAGTACTAATTTATCCAACCAAGTATTTTATCCTTTTATCAATAAAATAACAATGTAAATACAAAGTACCTGTAGTACCGAAGTACCAAAGTAGTATTGCGTAAATCTCTAATAAGTATCTGTTGTGATAATAAATTTCCTAATCGAACTTCAGCCCTAATCTATAAGATTTAGACATAGTATTAAATAGACGTATATACAAATAAACAATCAACACTGTCGATATTATATATCGAATCGATCATCAATTCAATTCTTGTACATGTCGCAGAGAACTTTTTCCATTGGTGTATTGCCAATAGTACGTTGGAAATAGATTTGCTCGATTCTCATAGCCGGTACGTTTCTCAACAATGGTAAAAGCAGTAAAAGTCGACCGAAACGTGCTGGATTGCTCGGCTGTTGGCTCCGTGTATGTTGACCTAACATTACTTGGGCTTGGTTTTGAAGATTCTCGATTTGGCTTGAGTCTTTTAGACCTCGTGTTTCTGAAAGTATTTGGGCTCTGTGTGACGTTGCAATACGAAGACTTGGAAAAATTTAATTTTCATAAGATTTCGATAAACTTAAAACATTTTGCACCAAGAATTCAGTTCAAAATTACCATACAGATTATTTGTAATTGAAATGTACTAAATAGAAACAATAAATATATATTTCGATGTATACCATTAAAACGTCTGACTACTTCGCCTTATACTATTGAAATATCTTCAAAACTGATCTTGCTTTAAAACTCAATTTGCCATATAATACTTTGCCGAATAAGTATCGTACCTCATGAAACAAATAACTACGTTTGATGCGACAGGAATTGAAGGAAAGGAAAACTTGTCAATCATGGGTTAAGAAATACTTACCAGGGCGAAACAGCACAATAGCCTTCATGCAGGCGAACTCTGCAGGATCAACCATAACGGTCTTGTATCTCTGCAACATATCGTGTAAATAGCGTACATCTGAGGCGATTTGATTGGATTTGGTTGGCGAGGGAAAATGAAGACCAGTGTGCGAATGAACTGGGTGTGGCGGTAGCGACAATACCGTCAACTCTGCTGCGCTAAATAGAGCCGATGACTCCAAAGGTAGGCACCATTGCACGGCGTTCAGTAAAAATAATTCTGACCATGACTCTTCCAGCAGGATTACCTTCATTTTTTAAAGAAGATTTTTTTTATATTATTGGTATTATTTATAGTAACGTTCGATGTTTTAAAGCGTATTTAATTATTATTTAATTTATTCAATTTTATGAATGCATTTTTTTAATAAAATGATTCAATATGTACGTAATTTTATTTCATATACAATTTTTTCCTTCAGTTCTTCAATTTATTGTAAATACTTTACACAGCTTTATTGTATATACAAATTCGACTAATTTCGTAAGTTTATATATTGAAAAGTTAATAAAAGTGATTGTTTGTTGTAAAAACAAAAGATATTTAAAAAAACCGATAAAAGAATTGGAATTATAAATAAATGGAAAAAAATTCTTAAATAACTTTTAAAGTTTAATTACAAGTATTTATGATATAAAATTACTAAATACTCTGTATACGTTAACATAGTTTGATAATAATTTAATTAATGAATGTTTATGTGGACAAAAATAACACGATCTTTTTAGACAAAACATGAAGTAAAATGGGCGTGTGTATTAATACTTTAATCTATTTTGGATCAACGAAGAATAGTCGCTCTAAAGAGTATATTTCTAGGCACAGTAAGCAATACAGTTAAGATAAATTTTAATATCAGAATTGTTACGGATATCTTCAGTATCCAATAAAAAGTTTACCAAATTTCAATAGTTCACTATGCAAACCTATATCAGCTTGCTCGACTCCTTTGACGTCAATTTTATTTTTCAAAACAAATATCGACAATAGTTTTTCTGTTATTTTCTGCTAGAAAAATGACTTTCACATAATTGCGCTTACTTACAATAAAAAAAAAAAAGAAAAAGGAGTACTACAAATATATACCTGGTCGCGAAATGGCAAACTGGCAAAAGATGGTAAATTCTTGGCCCACTTAACGGCCATGAATAAAAGTCTTGCCGAGCTCTCATAGACCGTCTCCGTCGGTGAATAGATGATTGGCGTCACGGGTGGAATCTGGCTGTGGTTGCTTGCGTTCACCTCGCGCGGCTGTGGAGTCAACGGCTCCTCGTTCGTAACGTCTATACTGTCCTCTGACGCGTTGCCTATTACGGGAATTCACATTTTCTTTTGCTAATCGCCTTTTTCCGTCTACTTTTTTCGCCAATCAACGATTTAGAATAATTACCGTTCTCGTCATTATCATGACGCGGAGGCGACGGAGCATTTTGTGGATTTGACGATGGCGCAACAGTGGGTAACGGCAGCGGTGCAGCATACCTCGCCATCGCTAGTGATACTGGTGGTCTGTAAACAAAGCACCGAATCCGATTACAAAGTGCAATCGCGGGTACATTCGAAATTTCACATAAAGCCTAAAACGCTAGATAATTGCGCAGCGCTATTAGAGGATAGGTATAATTAGTGCTCGTCACGTCGGTCAGTGCTTTCGATTCCAATTAGCTAATTTTGCAGTTTGTGCGATTACTTCAACGATGTGGCAAGTAATTGCTCATGTGAAACTAACGCGTTTTGCGAATGACGCGTTTACGAATCGAAAAAATGCCTTCATTGCCGAGCTAAATGATTTATCATTCGTAGAACGAATCTGCAGACCGACTTGAGCGACAAACTTCAGACCTCACACCTCTGCGGCTTTGTTTTCATATTCCTTTCGCCGTTCGTCTCATCAGTTTTTTTTTGCTTCCCCAATCAAGATCTTTTCAATTTTATCAATGTTGCACAACCCTTCAGCGGCTCTCCCCTTGCTCGTCGCCGTCGCTGCCGTCGTTGCCGCCGTAGGGTGAGTTGACTTGTCGACGAAAAACACGCGCTTACATCTGACGATACACACGCGGCAGCTATTTCAGGTGTCACTAGCGCAGATGACGCCTAGAAAAGGAATTCCAGTCGTTCGGATAGTTCGTAGATATCGTAAATCCAGAATAACGCTGTCTCGTACTTGGTACACTTAAAGTATAAAATTTGTTAGATTGCGATCAAGGTATGCGAGTGTTTATGTATAATTAACCTTCAAAAACACTATATTGTAGTACACAACTTTTTTGGTATGCATTTTAACTTGAATGGTTTTCGAAAGGTGGACAATCAAACACTATTAGGATTAAAGAAAACTTGGAGTATTTTCGATAAGTTTGCAAAGTTTTAATTTACTTATGCGAAATCCATTTTCCAATAAACTTTTCCATCAAGAAGTGCTCTTGGTAACTTTTAATGCTAATATCAAAGCCCATACATAAAATAATTTGTGATTCAGTTTGACTTTGATATGCATCAAAATGAAAATCTTCATCAACCACTTAACTTTCAGCTAAATCAGAGTTAGCACATCGCTTGTATAAAATAATGACGCAGACGCAGTGATAACATCGAAAGCTACACGATAAGTAACGAAACTTTTACAACAATATTTAGGTTAACTGAAACTCAAAGAAGCATCATGACGAACACAAGCGATCACAATTTCGCCACTTGTTATTTGGAGCTGTGCAGGCAGCAGCGATTAAGGCCATTACCAATGATATGCGTTATGCTGCCGCACTCGCTTGACTTCACCACCGACCGCGTCAAAATGGACGACTGGACGCCTATTCTAAATTCCTTGTCTCTCGATCGTTCGCTCAGGTTTATACTTTCCCCAATAATTTGCAACATCCGAGATTCGCGTTGTAGAATCTATCTCTAAATTTGAAAAGATCAGTTGTAACGTCAAGCTTTTCAAATGCGCAGATCGATAAGTGTGCGCAGTAAGTACCAAGCGGTCGAGCAATATCGCCATCAGTATCGCAAGCTACTCGAAGAAGCGAACTGCGAGTCGAAGGCTCGAGCAATAGGCAAAGCACCCGTCGTGTTGACTCGCTTCCTGGTCGAGTGGTTGTCTCACAGTATAGGCCAATGTGTGCGTTATTCCACATCTTTAACGACCTTAGAACTCGAAGGTATTCCCGTGCCAGTCGATTGTCTAGCAGTTCTGTGCGTCGGATTGGCGAGCACAAAAACACTGCAGCACTTGTCTCTTCAACGGTGTTACATCGGCGATGCTGGCTGCAAGCTACTCTGTCGAAAAGTCGCCGATGTGCACAGTGTTCGATCGTTGAATTTGTCGCAATGCGAGTTGACGAGCGAGGCTGGACAGTCGCTCGCCTCGGCGTTATCCAGGCAGAAATTGTCGTTGTATCACGACGCTTGGAAGCAATCATTGAGATATCGCGAGCCAAAGTTGGATAGTATGCCTGGTTTGAGACGACTCACCCTCAATGGCAATTCCAAGCTTGGCAACGAGGCTGTGATGGGTAAACGTCGATTATTCTATTGCTCGATCGTTGATACTCGACTGATGATCGATAAACAAGCAACGGAATACTTCTCAATCCACAGGGATAATCGAAGCAATACGGGACAGCCTGTGGTTCAAGGCCCTCGACCTACAGCAGTGCGGCCTCGTCGAGCCAATAACCCACGACATTCTCGAATTACTCAAACACAACAAAACCCTGGCCATCGTGGACGTGCGATTGAATTCAGCGCTGCGCGAGGAGAATGTCGCCGAGATTTCAAGACAACTGGATCGCAACGACTTGCGTACCAAGAGCGAGTATCGCTGGCTGAGTGTGAATCAGACCAAAGATTCGGCTACGGCGAGCAAGCGAATCTCGTCCGCCGACAATTTGCGCAAACAGCGAAGCGACGAGGAAACTAAAACTGTGACGAGGCCGAGAAGTGCGATTATCAGGCAAGTTAAGAGGCCGCCACCGCCAGTCGCGTATAGGAAGCCATTATTGCCGATGGCGCAGATTGCTAAGAGGATGAAGACTAAACCACCCGTGCCGGTGTTCGAGAGGAGACCGAGGCAACCGGTGAAACCGCCCGAGAATGCGAGATTATCGGTGGTGCGACATACTCGTTTTTTCTAAGCGCGTTTTCGCGAGATTGCTGAATTATTTCAACTGTTGCAGGTCAGAAAGGCTGAGCCACCGCCGAAGCCCTCGTTGCATCTGGATTTACAATCTCAAATCCAATTGTTCGCTAATCCAATGCAAAAGGACGTGTCGGTGACAACCAAGCTCGAAGAGCCGGCGGCGATGCTCGACAAGCCGCAAACAGAAGGAGAACAGAGCCAGCAGCAAGTCGAGAAGCTGCAAGAAATCTTAAACGAACTGTTGGAGGTGAGAAAAGAGCGCGATAGACTTTGGGAAGAAACTCGTCACAACGAGCAGCTATTGGCGGAAGAGCGCGCACGACGTGAATTCGCCGAAGCCAAATTACGCTCCGCCAAGAGTGACTTGTGCGACATGGAAGACTTGATGCGTCAACGCGATCGTGACTCTCGCGGCTATCTGCTCATCAGTCAGAAGTCAATGCAAGAATTATGCCTGTCGTTCCATCGACTGTTAGAGATGCTCGACGACTCGTCGGCATCGTCACCCGATCTCGAGAGATTAGAATCTTCGGAGGAGATTAAGCGACGCGTCGCCATAATCATTCGCAAAACCAAATCGGAGAATCTGAAACGCGGCTATCTGATGAGCGATGACAGGAGACGTGCGTCCGAGGGTGATATTCGCACGAACGTGCAGTCACTCGAGCCGCCAATTCGTGTGGAACAACCGACCGGTGATACCGGCGGACCGACGGTTAATTTACCAAGACTAGTGGCGAATTTCCGTGATGAGAGTCAAGATGTTAAGAGCAGTGGCGATGGAGACTCGCCTGGACGTCGTGCTCGTGCAATTTTTGCAAGTATTATCAATGGTGAGATTTCGTTGAGTTTCGGTTCGGCTATGAGGTAAACTCGTGCCCTTTACCAATTCGACTTGGAATCGCGTGTAGTAGGTTACAGCGAAAATTGTCGACATTGAAAAATTAGCAAACTAGTGGTTGATGAAAAAGTTGTCGCGTTTTGACTCGGTCATTCATTCAGATTTTATAATAATTTCAAAGTTGACTCATGTCAGGGTGCGGAAAGTGTGCGACTGACTGCATCAGAAATTAACCGAGTAACTGTTGAAATGCTTACGAGTGTTACCATTTGTTAGTATATCAGAGAAACGATTGTGCAGGTGTGTTGGTTTTTATTCTGTATTAGTATACAATATTTATATAATAAACAGTATTATTTACTTATTAACCATTCGTTTATCGAATTGGCAAAGTCGATTGGCATTGAAAATAAGCAACCGCGGAAGAGATATAACCGCAGGAAACTTGAGCGTACGTATCCCGGCAGCGCGGCAAACGGGCGCATCGTCGTTGTCGCGCGCGTTCGATATGGATTTTCCGTTGTTAACAGTTCGCCGAGGACGTGTGGAGCGTGTGTCGGTCAAAGGTAATTTTTCATGATAGAAGTCACGCTCGACGTGGCACACGGCCTCAAGATCAAACAACGTTGCCTCAACTCTCCTCTCTTCTGGCGCACATCGATTTCTGGCTCGGTTAGCCGCGGATCGGATTAAAAATTGCCAATAGAGCCTTCGCCGCGAGCAAGCAGCTTTCTGTACGTACGGCCACACAAAGTTATTTTAAGGTCTCACACCGAGTGGGAAACGTTGTTGCTTTCTTTTCGAAGCGGACTACGACGAGCCGTGGAGAAAGGTTTTGCTTTGTCTCTCATATGTCTCTCGTCGACGCTTTGTTTTTTAATTTTTGGGTCAGAAGCTGTCGCTCGGATGATTATCATAGCTCGTGGAAAAATTGGAAAACCTCTTTTTCCGCCTTTTCTTGAGCCTTTCGCGCTTTGTTGGCTGCAGACAAGGGAATGGCTCGGCTATGTTCATCGAGTCGATCGAGGCATACCTCTACTCAACGGAGCGTCCAAGCGAACAAGTAGTAAATGTCGTTTTGGTCGGACATTTTTCAATACGGGTTCGCAGTGAACTGAATCAGCAGTCACGCGATGCTTTGCACGAGCTACTCACCCAAACACACCAACGGCAACTGCAGCTTCACGGAGCGCTCGTTCCTGATCCATTTCGACGAGAGCTTCCGGCCTGATGGTTGCCGTATTACGTGGCTGCCTTTCGTTTTGCACCGCTGTAACAAATGTTTCGATACCATTGGTCAGATTGTGTCTCGCCGAATGTTTCGTAACAGACAAACAGCGTTATGTGAATTTCGCTCGTAACAAACGATTTGATCACTTGACTACTGTTCAAAGCCAGCTTGAATTAATACAATGATTCATTTCATCACAAATTTCCTGGCACGTCGGCAGGCAAAACGAGGGAAAAAGGGAAGCGCACGACAAGCTGATAATTAAAGTCAATCCAATTTCCGCGGCACGTCGTCGTCAAGCCTTCGGGGCACTTTGACTCGTCGTGAGAGAGCAACTTCCCGACTCGCTTACGTCGCCTCCGGCCATTCTCGCGCTACGGGGTGGTTTCTCTCTCGCTCTTTCTCTCACACTTTTCAACGAAACTACAAGCTTTTAGCTTTGATTTTGAAGTTAAGTTTGGGACTCAGCTTAGAATTCTGTATTTGATAAACGGATTGTCACTGTCATTTTGATTTTCGTAAAAATAAGCAATGATAAAAAAGAAAATTTAAACGACCGCAAACACGAACGTCAACATTACAAGCAATCCGAAAGCATTGGTGAAGAAACTAATCAGAAACAAAAATGTTTGCGCTCTCATCACTCATGACGTCGCGCCGGGCGCGCTCACGTAACCGACGCTGATTATGTCACGCGGCACGGGCGCCATGGGTTTGCTCGCCTGCGTCTGACACGAGGGAAACGGGGCTTCGCGCAGAAATCAGATGCATTGTCTGTCCGCAAGCGCGGAGAGTTAGGTAAGCGAGCGCGCGGACGCGTCACTGTCATCGCAGATAATATCGCAGCACGGGACCCGCACTTTTTCCGCGAATTGTGAACTGCACGGCTGTGTCCTAATGTGCGCCCTTGCGGGAGCCTCGACTTGTCAGGGTACTTGCGATTGCGATGTCGTCGTTCTATCCTTCGACGATGGCAATTATACCTATTGTCGAATCGGCCCAAGTCACGCGAAAGTTCATCGAAGCTCGCGAATCAATGGCACAACTGGAACTGAATATACGCGGCGGCGTGCGCAAATACGCGTCCTCCACTTTTTCCGAGCTGTTATTCGCGACTAACGACGACGAGGACGGGGGAAAAAAAATTGCGTATTATATATTTCGCGCGCACGGACAGCATAATGGGGCTGCTCTTCTCAGCCCTTTGACGTCGCCGTCGTAGTTACAGTTTTTTTTTCTCTCTCTTTCTCTCTCTCTCTCTCTCTGCGTGCGCGCACACGCGAGATAAACGCTTCTCTTTTCTCTAATTTGCATGGCTGCGCTACGGGCGGTCCTCTCGGTAACTAAATGAAAGAAGTTGAGAGCTATGTGAAGGATGGCCTGGTTTTGCCTGTTAACGCGCCTTGCGGGATTAGCTTTTTCAACAGACTGCCGATTAATAGAAGTAATTGATTTGTCGTGGGATTCTGCATTGTTTATTTGTTACGCTTTTATTCATTTCGACTTCATTTTTGACATTGACAAAAACAAAAATCTACGAAAAGGAGATCTCGATGAAACTATCGATATCTATCAATATTTACAATTTTTGCAATTTTTCTTTATAGAAACATTAATTTATTTGATACTCTACAATATGCTTTCCTTGTTAAATACTCAATAAACAATCAAAAATCGTTTCATTTGAAAACATAAATTCGCAAGTGAAATAAGCCCAATATATGTACATAAACCTCGCCAGTCATATTACAATGCCAAACGAATTTACTGAATGAAGAACAAAGACGAGGTTGTAAAACAAAAAGAAGCGCGCAAAGTGAGTGTGCGCAAGTGAGAATCGTGACGTGGACGAAAGCACAGCCCTTTAACTATATCGTCACTCGCGCATCCCTCGCACGTTTATTTCCTCCAATTAACCCTTCGGGGGTCTCTCTCTCTCTCGCTCTACACGTGACCGTCGCTCGTGCGCTAACGACCTCTCCGCGTGTTTACCGAGCATGCGGTGGCCCACCACCCGGAGTAATTACGTCATAGCCGCACCTACCCTTTTCTTTTTCGCGCGCGCGTCGTGTATGTATTATTACATAATCGTGTGACGTGTGCGTCAAGACATTTCTCTTTGATTGTCACCGAGGATTTTAGATTTCAAATCACGCTTTCGGTGCTGCTAATGATACGGATGCCGAAACATTGAATACTGATCCACGAGTTTTTTGCGCGCGACAAAAAAAATATTCCGACTTTGCCACGATAAAAATAAATTTCACGACTAGACTTTTATCAAGCGCGACGAATTAGACAGTAAAGTTGATCGCGATAGAAATAATTTTTGAACTTATTAAGAGACGAACGAAAGGGGAGAAAACTTAAAAATTTGTTATCTGGCGCGCAAGATACGAGTATATATCACTTATCGAAAAGTCTCGAAGAATCGTCAACTTTCATCACTAATACTTCAATCATGAGATTACAAAATAAAATCAACGTCGCGCGAAGCGATAAAATAAGAATAAAGGTAATCAATGTACTCGGTTCAAGGAGTAGAAGAAGAAAAGAGAAAAAAGATTCCATTAGAAGCGAAGCAGCGGCAGCGTCCCGCCGCAAAATCACGCGCGTGCGGGCGGCAATCCCGCAATTCGTTTCAGCGACGGCGACGAATCAAAAGCGCGACGAGCAGCAGCAGCAGCAGCAGCAGCAGCGTACAAAAAAGGAAAAAAGAAGAAGAAGAAGAAGCCAGATCCAATTCCTCTTTACGAGCACGAGTTCGGCAATAAGAAAGTTTTCCCCTCCCTGCCCGTTGAAGATACGAAGGGGAAAAAGTATAATGGCAGGTGCGCTTCTCTTTGCCTAAAGCTTCTCTTCCTCTCTCTCTTCTCATTCCTCTCTTGTCTGATTGATTTCTGCGTTAGTACGTATCCGATTGTTTTATTTTCCTTTTGTCTTTCTGATATTTCATATATCTCATACTGCTTGGTTTTCACTTCTTTGGTAGAGTCAATGCGCCCTATAGATTATACGTTTTACAAGTTACGTGAATATCAAATTAAGTCACATATCCATTGACTCAATAGCAGCCGCCCTAACCATAGCCTATCATTATGACTAATTGATCACTTCATCATTCAATTCATCCATTGTAAGAAGTCTAATCAATCTTTCCCTGAACAATGCGTACATATATACATATCGCGGTGGATAATAATTCCATTGTAATTTAGTCGCACGCAATGACATAACTGACTTACACATTCATTGAGAGCATGAGAGAGAGAGAGAGAGAGAGAGAGAGAGAGAGAGAGAGAGAGAGAGAGAGAGAGAGAGAGAGAGAGGTACAGGAAAATTAAAATGGCTACGCTGCACGATTTAATCTAATTTTTGTTTCGCTATACACTCACCGTCTTTGTTCATTCCCATCTCCATGCACTTTTTCAGTCGACACGCCTGGCACTGATTGCGGTGCGGCTTGTCCACGATGCAACGACCTGTACCTGCTTGGCATCTGTAACAATTGCAATAACAAAGGCGGGTTGGTGTGTACTGCATCGTGATCTTACTGAAGAAATAATTCGAAGATTTCTGTATTCATACATCAGGTATCGGCAGCATTCTACAAGGGTCACTAGAAAACTAAGCAGTTCAGTATATATTTTCGAATGCAAGCCCGTTGAACACAAAATTCATTTGAGAAAAAAACCTATAAGACAGTAGATGAAATGAAAGCACTCGTGCGCGCTTTCCATGACAGCAGCGGGAGAGCATCAGTAAGAAGAGATAGAAAAATCGAACAACCCAGGATTTCTCGAGGATTAGGATGGATAAGAAGGGAATACGTGATCCTATGCCCTATCTCAAAGGATATAGTAGTGGTAGCTGTAGTATAACGCTCGATGTATGTCGGAGTTATAGTTTGCCAGGGCGCCACACAATGAAAGTAATCGAATTTATATCAGGGCGTCTAGCTATGGACGACGGCGTCGCCCGACACACACCAACTTGACAAGTGCGCACAGAAATTTACTTTCATTTCCAGATATACACACTGTGCATTGATTTGACAAATTTGTCTTGCATGATTTGAGCCTTTAGTTGACGTGTACACTTCTGATTGTATGCAAGAACGTCGGTGTGAATCGCGATGATTTGTTTTTAAGAGGAAATGCCAATCTTGGCATTCAAAAACCAATTGTACTATTGTTTTAAGAGATGAAATTTGTTTGATTAGCGAAAGATGTTTTGGTTTTATTATGTTACCTTACGATTATACAGAATGATGTATCAAAATGATGTAAATTATTCGATCTACAACATTACTTGTTTCGTGCAATTGAAGGGATTTACTATTTGAAAAACTAGATGTTTGTATACGATATAAGCATTTTACTTCTCGTCTAAACATTGTCGAGAAATATCAATATCATATTTTTCAAAGTTTTTCGAAACAACTAATAAGTCAATACATTGCTTATTTTCATTTGTAACGAATTAATACGATTTTTTTAATTAATAGTTTTTTGTTCAGCGAAAGGTTGCTTTTAGCTCCGATGAGGAAGGTTCTCGATATTCTTGAAACGTCGATGAATATTATGATTAAAGATTAACTGCTCAGACAGCCCAGTACGTGGCTGACCGTTGATTTTCCCAACTGATTTCCATCGCTTTCTTTCATTTATATGGTTAGGTATAGACATCTCCTGATATTTATGACTTGTTAGTTATATAAAAAATGAATCACAAAAAAAAGAATCATATTTCTATCGTTCCCTTTAAATCAAATTGCACTCATTGCGTCAAATATATCGATAAAATCGAAGACACGTACACGCCTATGCAACGAAAGAGGAAAAAAAACAAAATCTCTTCCACATGATTACGGCATTGTTCGCGCGCCGCTGGCGAAAGGGCGCGCCTCGCACGTATGTAAACGACATGGAAAAGTGACGCGCGCAGGGATTCGCTCGGGTGGGTGCACATAAAATCTTCTCCCGTCTTGTCCCGCGGGGCATCTCTCTCTCTCTCTCTCTCTCTCGCTCTGCTTACGAGTCAATGCCGAATGAGATGTTTTATTTATTTTACTTTTGATTTTGTTTATCTATTAATTTCGTCAGTTAAGAATGATTTTCATTACAGTAACAAAATGTGAACTTAATGATTCACACGCTCGTTTTATTTCACAGCAATTGATGTCTTATTCAAGAAATATACCAATCAACTTGGCTAAACATGCGAGGATCCAAATATTCGAAATTGGAAATGTCATCTCACAATTAATCCGACCTCGAATGAATACCCACAATAGCGTCCTCTCTTCAATTTGTTAATCATCTTTTAAAATAGAGCGGCAATATACACACACACACACACACACACACGTACACACGCATATATATATATATATACAAATATATATCCCCATTAAACACAACCATATCAAACCGATCCTGAAATCACGCAAGCCAAAGCCATGCAGATCGCGTTTATTAAAAGGCATTACATAATTTCATAACTCAGCTCTTATTCACCCCCTCGTCTCTTCAAAAGATGTACACGCGTCTGTGCAGGGGGTCCGACACAGTGGGGAAAATGCCTCTGTCTCTCTCTCTTGTTGCAAATTGATTTGCCTTCACGCCCTGGCGGCGGTGGCGGTGGCGGCGGGAACCCCCTTCCCTCGTTTCGAATATTTTTTGGCGGCTCTATCGAGTCACGCCTCGGCAAACCGAGAGCATGTGCTGCTGGTTAATATCGAGCAGAGATGCGATACATATTTGCCACGTTAACGCGCCGATGAGCTCGCGCGTTCAGTTGATTTTGATGGCTATGGGTTGGGTTGGGATGCGTGTTTGCTGCTTTTGACGGGGTTTTGACAGGTTACGCCCGCGCATGTCCGTTTTCGTCCGTTTTCGTCCGTTTTCGTCCGTGGATGAAAATGATCTGTTGTGATGTTTTCTTCTTCGAGGTTAATTCCACGAGGACTGTCTTCCCAAGGCAATCTCACAGCGAGTTTCCTCGAGCGATGTTACGGGATTCGTCGCGGCCGACTGGCTTTTATTTTCGTTGCTCGGAGCAAACGACTGGAGAAGTAAGGATTCATCGGCATGCAAACGATCAGAGAGTGTTCGAAGATCGCAAGGCATTACTCGTGTGCATCGAAACGAGAAATTTTAATGGATACTTACGGGGCGTGCGGATGTTGCGGCGGTTAGAGTTAAACTGCGATTCAGGATTTGCTTTTGCATGCAGAGCTAAATTCAACGCTACATTATGTTTCTTTGATAAAGCTTCGGGAAGTTCGCGCGTACCTATTCGTCGCTCACTTAGAGCGAGCCACAAAGCAAGTATTGTTTCGAGCATCGATTGTGATCCTTCTCCCGTAAATAAAAAAAAAACGCGTCCGATCCCAGTCTAGAAAACAATAACTACGAGCACCAAAAAAAGAAAAGAAAATTCAATAACCTTTCGAGCGCATGTGCGAAGAGGCGCGTAATCCCTGGCTTCGAATACTGCGGCCGGAATCGGGACGCATCTGTCGTGCGTAGCGTTCTAGCGTTCGACGCGATCGACGTAATTGGTTATCTGTGCGAAGGCTGTGAAGAGGCTCTCTAGTTGCATTACCAGCCATCTGACAACGGCGACTACTATGACGTCGCGACTTGTGAAAATAATAAAACTGTAGCCTCCGAATGGTTTTTCCACTGCTGGTGGTGTGGGCGGGGTTTTGGCGATGTTTAAGTAGTTTTTGGAATGACTGGCAACTTGTGGCATTTTTTATTCTTGACGCTCTCGGGCAAACGCTCCTTGATGGGAATTTCACAAACAGAAGAGACTAGAATGAATAATTCACAATACGACTGCAATCGATAGTTCAGTCTGTTGCCCAATATAGCAATGACTTCTGATTTTCAAAAATTCGACAAATTTTGACGATTTTTCGCGTGGTATTTATTATTCGAATAACCTTTGAATTTTCTAATTTCTAAAGAAATGTAGTTTTCTCGAGCCAGCGAACCGAATACGGAAAATAACGAATCAACATCCACTGAACGATAGCATCTTTCAAAGGAGAAAGATATCACGACGTGGTCATGATAAATCGGTCCTTTGTGGCGCGGCAATTCATCCCGATCAAACAAGACATCGACACGTCACTTTTTGTGTTTACTCGTGGGAGCTCTAAACGTCCGGCAAAACAACTTATAAATAGGCCGCTCATTGAGACTGCAGGGGGATACATATTCGCTCTCCAAGGAATTCTTTGCGCGAGTCACGTGTGCGAACCTTTCTATTTTTTGCTACCATCCCATCTGTCTGCATATGTGAGTAACAGGTGTCGCTTCTAATTCTCGGTGGCGAACTATAATTGGATTCAAAATGTTCCTTGTCCGTGCGTGAAATTGAAGAGACGGCGCGAGCGCGCCTCGTGATGATGGGTGCAATGCTTGATGGCGAACGATGAACTGTTGATCGGGACGCGTACTTGTATCTCTTCTGCCTCGAGTGATTTACAGAATGAACGATAACGAGATTTCACAATGAGACGTGTGACCATGTGATTGGAAAATATTTGCATCTGCATGTTGATTTCAAAATAAAAATAAGTCAATTTATCAATAATTTTTTAATTAATTTCATCGCTATGCATTGGAAAAACAACGTTTTTACTTCTAAAACTGAAAACGCATTTCCTATTTGTTTGTCTCACAACAAAATTTACTATGTAAACAGATACAGAATCCTTATATTGACTTACATTGATTTGTAAACCTGATTTGTTTTCCGAGGGATAATCATTTGACTATTTCTCAAAGAAAACAAACAGACAAATTCGAATTCCCCCTATACCGAAGGGTCAGTTCCTATTTGAAAAGGGGGTTAATAGTTTGCAGATCGACTGATTCTCAATGACTTTTTCATCCTTTGGGGGATCCGAAGAATGGCATATACGTTCACTTCTATATGCGAGTTAAAATTTTGATCCATACATTGGACATTTGCATATGTAATTGGACTTGCAATAATGACCCGTGGATTTAAAAACAGAAATAAAAATAAAACAATTAACTATATTATTTTATATGATATATTATTTTTATTGGTTGAGTTTACGAATTACGATTTCAGGACCAAGGTAGTTTTTGTGTGTTAAAAATATAACGTTTAGATACTTTTTACTTAAACGTATATTTAATAATAAATTGCTCTGTCATAAAGCTTAGTAGACATACATATTTTGGATATAAAAACAGAAGTTGTGTCAAATCACTTGGTACTGCGATTATTAATTTTAGAATGATTTCAAAGTGATACGTTTGACAATTTAATATTTATGTTTCCATTTTTGGAAGTGTTTAAATAAGATAGTTGGATGTTGCACTAAAACAAAAGTTGTGCAAATTTCATCGGGAAAGAAAATTAAAGCAATCACCTTTCCCACATAATCACTAACGCCTCTCGTTCAGAAAGCTAAAAAAGAGATTGGAACGAAGTTTCGAAGCACACACATAGACATATACACGCATACGCAGCGATTTCGGTAAAATAGAGATCCAATGGAGATGGATGATCGATCCCGTGGGGTGACTGTGTGCGTATGTACGCGCGCGCGCGTGCGTGTGTGAGAGAGAGAGAGAAAGAGAGAATAGTTTAGGGGGATCAATTTCTCTCTCTCGCGCGCGCACCTAAGCCCACTCGAGCATCGCCACATGGCGCACCAAAGGATCGATTGAAGATCGCGCATAAGCGCAGGCAAATCGCCCAGATGGCGTTATACATATCGTATCTTTAACCTCTCGCGCGGTCTTGCATCGCGCGTGGGATTAGTCGCCGCCCGTCGTGTTTACTTTCTCCTTTCATACGGCATTGCAGCGGGTATGCAACTAACTGATGGTCGTATGGTTACGGTCGCATTAGCCGCTCTGAGTATCGTTTTGAAAAGGAGTAACTAGTCAGCGTTCGGCAAGTTGCGCGGTGGCGCGTCCCGTTTCCCCGATGTCGCACTATAGACGGTAATTGAAATGACGTTGAAAGGAAAAGAGCCAACTCACCTGTATATGAGTTTCCGTCTGACGCTTCTCTTGAAGAAGCCACTGCATCCGTTACACGCCAGAATTCCGTAATGCTTGCCAGAACTGGTATCTCCGCAAACGATGCAAATCAGTCTGGAACTTCTGCTGGCCTTGGCGCTCTGCCTGTCAGCCGCTTGCTGCGATTGCCTCGACGATGGTGGCGGCTGCTGCTGTTGCTGTTGCTGCTGTGGCGGCGGTGGCGGTGGAGGATGATGAGGCATTCCTAACATTGGATGACCATTCTCCAACGCCGTCAGATAAGGTGAGCGCGCTGCCGGGAAATCCAAGCCACGACACAGCGGTACTGGACACTCTTGCAACCGTGAACCGTACGGGGTCGAGGCTGCCGCTTGCAGAGGACTGTAACGCTCTGGTAAGCCTGGCGATATCACGCTGCTCTCGCCCGAGTCTGTAAAGGGTTCGTCAATCGAATTTTCATTCTTAAGTAGTACGAGTCAAGTATTCGTGCGACGAGTGATAAATTATTTTTTTCGGCATTGTTTGCTTGTCCTTGTTCGCGGCTGACTATGAGAACATTTCAGTAAACAACGTCATCTCCTCGATACGTAATCACATCACCGCGCACTCAACGAATAAAGTTCATCGCGCCTAACATCATCATCAGATCTAACAAGATTAAGATATTTCCGTCCGTGAACTCGTGCGCGATTCTTCCAAGCTAGCACCTCCCTTTTTCGTGCTCAACTCCGGCGATAAATGCAATTCCATCGAATCACGAGTCCGCCTTAATGAAAAGCGTGACTAATAAAATAAGTGGCGTCGCACTGGGAGACAAGCCAAAGTGCTGAAACTACGCGCGCCACCCTCGCCGAATACGCAGATGTTTGAAATTCGCGCAGTCGTTATATACTTTGATACGGTTGCGGGATTAAAATTACCTTTTTCATCTTCAATACGGTTTTTCAATTTGGTTATCTCGAAATATTGATGTACCTACGGAATTATTGCAAAATATTTTTATGCTACCTTTATGCGTGAAAATAAATATGATAGGTATATAAATAAATATGACAAGCGAGCAAGCAACAAAAGAAAAAAGAGACGGAGTGTCGAAATTGCGTTTAAGAGCTTTGTATAAGTAAGCTTTTTCCGATTTTATTTTCTGATGTAAATGCCGTTTGTCAAACGGCGCGACAACTAAATCCTACTTTGAGCTCCTCATTCGGAACAGGCAGGACGATGTAATTTTTCGACGGGATGTCTCATAAGAATGATTGGGCTATGTGATCGTTTGCTTTGTCCTTGCGAGTATTTTATTAGATGAGATGAGACATTTTTATTGGATGAAAAAATCTATTTTTAATAGCATTTGTTGGATTAAAAAAAAAATCAACAATAGGAAACAAAAGGGAAAAAAATGAGTTGCGGCACTTAGTTTCCAGCAAATAGACTTTGGCTTTAACCTCATAAAACCCTCTAAGCCGCCACTTGTCGGTGTCTCTCTGCGTTCAAGCGCAAGGATCGTCATAAAAGTGTTGCGCGTAACCCCCTCGAGGGCTAATACGATAGCGATTAACCACGGGGTAAACAGGTCGGGCTCACGGCGCCGTCGTTTCTCATTGCAATTTATACGACCGTCGCTGCCGCTGCCGTTGCTGCCGGTGATCCCATAATACTTGAGAGGGTGGCGCAGGTGGCGCCTGTGCCCCGCCATCCGCCACCATTGATATGCTAATGAAATTTGACGCCCTCGCTGCTTTACTTTTTTTTTTCGGTTCGAGCTACCACTTTGCGATATTGACAGCACGGAAGATCGATGCTGCATACATGGTTTATATGATTTTTATTGATCGAATGTACGAATGATTTTGGTTTCTCGGTATGATCGAATTTTCTTGGCGGATAGGTGACAGTGACACGAATTAGAGAAAATATTACTTGGATGAATCTACTCTAAAATTACATAATTACATTTGCTGTTTAGTTATTTTATCGCAATTATCAGTCAAAGAACTCAGCATGCAAGCTACAGCATGCAAGTACACAATTTCGACAGCGATCTATAATAATCTGGTATGATATTTATCGACTCTGGCAAAGTAAAATTTTTAGCATCAATGGCTAGATTTTGCGACAGCTACAATTATACGGCATGTTTTATAAGATGCGAGCGCTTTGTCTACTGATCCAACAATGTCTTAAGAAAGCACTCCGTTCAGTTAAATATTTTGGAGCGCGCTTTCTTGATTTTACGAATATCCGTTAAAAGAAACTATTAGTGAGAGCGCGATAAGTAATCCATCGTCATCCTCTCTTTCTTATCAAGCTCATGCACTTGCTATGAATTTCCATTAAATGAATCCTCAACGTGTACGTACTTGAAGTAAATCGCGCAGAGGTAACATTTTAATTCAGTTGTGTATAAACTTAACGCCACTTCATCTTTTCCGCTTCTTCTGTGATCGAGTAGGTTCTCGTATATATAGGCTTTTGCCCTCGAAGTCCCGTTGCACTTTAGGGCTGGGATTTAATTTGTCTAATGGGCCAGAAGCGTTTATGGTTTGAGTACGCGTTACGTATTGCATTGTAACGCGCTTGTGGTGAGAGTAAACGATTTGTGATTGACTGAGCCAATAATATATTCACTCTTCGCAGCTTTCAGATTAATTTATTTCCCGTTGACATGTAGTGCGAAGTAATAAACATTCACGAAGCCCTTAAACGAGATGTGTATGTCAGCGATGTTCTAGCAGAACCAATCAAGTTGATTTTTCGTGATTTCCAGATATTCAAGTTTTCAAGTTCAAGTGAAGACGTCAAATCGGTAAATTATTTTTGATGATATATGACCGATTATGCTAATAGATTATGATAACAGATGAACGATTTGACTATTAGAGTTTCTTTGATTTACTTGGCTGAGATATCGAACTAGGATGTATACACTAGGTTACGACATAGCACTAACTGGTAATATTATAACAACAATTAATTTATACATTTGATTGTTTATTTGAGTTGGCCGGTTTTGCCAGGAACGACTTTTACGAAATACACCAATCTTATTGTACATTGTGATTCTATAGGATCTTGAATTGTTTAACCTTTTTTAAAAATAAAATAACAATTTAAATAAAATACGTATACAAGTATGAGATGTTTCGAAATTTCGTATATATTCAGTTAGAGATTGAAATGAACTTCATCTATTGTACAAAAAATTAGTTTCTATTTATTACGTGAGAAACTATTGAAAAACAAATTGTCTTAGATAGCAATCAAATTTCCGTGAGTTCGCAAATGCTAATCCTGAAGATGAAATCGCGGTAAGAGTGAGTAAGCGTGACCGTACACTATGCAGTTGATTATGATGCGAAGGGAGAGTCGCGTGCCCATATACAGCACACGGGCTAAAAGACGCCACTTGGTATGTCGATCACGTAACTTGATTTCGAGCAGACTTTACAGCCTCCGCTTCCGACGCGCTAATTTTCAAATTGACTCTCATGTATTTCATTGATGATAGCTTCGCAAAGCCTGCCTTATCGCTAATCGTAGTTTGTGACATGAATACTATTTGTTTGAGTTGAAACTATTCTTATTTAATTGATTTGTTCGTTTATTTTTTGCAATTTTGATATAAACATACAGCTGTTACGAACTGTTTTTCCGGCTTCTGATTTACTATATGACAAAATGATGAGATCAATCGCGACAAGTCTAGTTTTAACTTGAAATTTCTCTTGATTTACATTGCAATATTTTTCATTTTTCGAATATGAGCAAACGTCATCGAAGATCGATTGTGAACGAGGCACAAAGTTGTCGCTATTTGAAGTTGATTAAATGTTCAGATACATCCTCTTGTTTAAATTTAATTAATGTATAGATCAAACACAGTTTAAATTATTCAGCTCAACTCTGTTTATTTCTCGTTCTCTTCTCTACAAGTAGAGCCGATCGAGCGCGACAGTAGAAATTAGCCTCCAATAAAATGAGTGAAAGTTAATGTTCACTTCCCCTATAAAATTATCGAATGTACAAAGTTCTACTTACCGTGTCGATTGCTCATGGGACTGGATGGACTTCTCGGATGATCCGAATTACTTTCGTTTTGAGATTGAGAATGATGAATATGATGTTCTTCCGACGATCCCATAGTGGCAACACCATTCATGTTCTCATTTACGCACTCGAGTGAAATTACAGAGCTAGAAGTTAAATTTTTGGTTTTTGATTCTAGTTACCTTATCAAACTAAACCTTCTCTTATTTTGGTTCGCTTCGAGATCGTATCACAATAAGATGCAGATGAAATAATTTTTGTTGTCGTGTCTCACAATACCGTGAGCGTAATTTGTACTCTAATATTGCTAAATGTTCATCATCACATATTGCCATAAAATATTCGAAATGACTTTTCGAATGGACCTACCGCTGAAGTAACATTATTCTATGATTTTTATTGGTTTCAAGCGTTTAATCGTAAAGTTGTATACATTATTACTTTGCAATGAATGTCAAGTTTATTGGAATAAAGTGTAAACGCATACAAAGCCAAGTCCTTAAACACTTTAACAAGGCGCACTGCATGTAGCAATCTGTATTGCCGCGGAAAAAGGAGAACACTGTCAGAATGGAAATCTGCAGATGAGCAGAGATTGAGTGTGCAGACCCGTTGGGTGAACGCTGGCGAACTGTGCAGTGTTATCTGTCTGGCTGGATGGGAACTCGAGACGTCAAAGAATCACAGGCGTCGATTTTCGGGGGGCGTCGCTTGCGAGCAAAGCTTTTCCCGCAGCACGGCGCGCGCGAAGAGGCGGGGGGATCAGGAGCCAACGCAAAAAAGACGCGGCCCGACGGGGATTTAACCTATGACGCGCTCGCACTCGCGACGAGCTTCTCACTCACCCCCCCTCACGGCTGCGCATGCGCGAGTCGCCGTGCAAAATCATAGCGACGCTGCCTTGCCGCCCCCTTGTCTCGGAGAAGAGTCGGGGATGTTCTCTGTGCCTGGTTAAAGGTGAAAAATAAAATACTTGTCGGGCACGATAGACCTTTTTTTCTCTTTTTTTCTCTTTTTTTCTTTCATCGTCTATATGGAGGGGTGTTATCGATTGCCTTTCTTTTCCGATAAATTGTTATTGAGAAGCTCGTGCGTTTTTTATCTATAAATCTTGGATGACGTCAACTACAAGACGGCGAAAGTTATTGCCAACTTGGCATCATCGTCAAATGCTTATTGCGTTAGGGCTAATAAAATATGTACTTTTCTGCTCCTAACGCATTTGCCGATCGCTCGAATAATTACAGAATTGCTTGGAAATTTCCGGAGTCGTTTGTAGTCGATTGTGATAATTTATTATTTTGTGGGTTTACATTAGTCAATGATAAAGTATTCTATAAAATTCTCCTCTTGCTTTCTTCCGAAAGTATCCTTAAAATTTTCATCGGTTAACGGTAGATTTGGAAAATACATTTTTTACTGTATGTAGCCAAATGGTTTCTTTCAAAACTGACCGATATTTTGTTCTGATTGAAAAAACGATATCACGATTCTACCTTCATGGTAATCATATTAATCCAATGAAAATCAAAGTACATGTTATTCTCCAGCGTCAATCAAAATAGCATTTACCAAATATCCTCTTTCGCCAATCAACAAATGAAATTCTGTCGAAATGTATAGTCTCAAATCCGGGCGCGGCCTGTCTCTCTCATTGAGTAAAGTCTAAGAGAGAGAGAGAGAGAGAGAGAGAGAGAGAGAGAGAGAGGAGGTCTATGTCGCGGCTAATCGGCGCCAAGGCTTTTCGCGGCTCGCAATTAATCGAAGCACTCCCGACTCCTGAATTGCGGGTGGGATATCCGCCATGTTGAGCTCGACGGCGCTTCTCCCCCGAAACGACAAGATCGAAGGCCGAAAATGTAGAAGGGAGAGCGCGATAAGGGGAGTAGGTACGTACGGTAGCGAAGAACGCTATATCTGCAGCCACGCCCCTCATGCGCAGTTGGCAACGGCTACTACTCGCTCGAAGCTGCTCAGCCGTCCGCCAATAGGATTACCCTCTGATACTGCTCTTTCCCGGGGCGAAAGCCTTTCACAAGCTCGCCGCCACCGCCGCCGCGCCGTCACACGGCTTTTCAATTTCCGCCGCGCGCCACCCGAACCGCCACCCAGGATACCAATATATATATATATATATATATATATATATATATATATATATACACACATACATATGCTACATACATAGCAGTCTGCCTTTTTCTGTCTGACGAGCTTTCAAAGAGCTTGCGACTCCCTCCCTCTCTCTCTGTAAGATGCGTATGTGCACCACAGTCGTGTGTCTCGCTCTGGCTTCTTTTGTTTTCAAATGATGGATGGATTCTTTTTCTTTTTGATCCCGCGGATTTTACGCGTAGCTAAACTTTTTAGCAAAACAATTTGCAACCGTATTACTTCTTTTACCTTCACTGATTGAGCAAATTGAAATTGCTATTGTAAATGAGTTTTCAATGTAGACACATTAAAGATGCATTGTTCTTTTTTTCATAAATTATCCTATTTTCACGTTGCCACGCAAACTTACACTCAAAATCATTTCTGATCGTATCTGTCGACGTAAAGTTTAAAAAAAATGTAACGCCTTTACCATTACTCAAAACCAAAATATACGTCTGAAGCCATGCATGCTACTCACGCACATTCTTTAAACTAATAATCTAACATTCTTTTGAGATCATGTTAGTCTTCTTACTCTGACATGGTAAGTTTATTTAATGATAGGTCAGCTATTGCTATATATATAGGCACGCAGAAGTTTCAAGGTAATACGTTCAGTCGGTAGGACAGTTTACTATTTCAGTAGTCTACGGTAAGCTTATATGATAGCTCACACAAAATCATTACCACATCAAGCTATAAAGTATCGAATATTTATGTTGACAATTATTATAATCAAAACCAAAGTGATATCTATATTGGTTCTATGATTACACGCAAGTCATAGTCTGTTTACTATAAATATATAGATGCGCATCTATAGACATTATCAATTACATAAAACGTTTTGCATATTTGTCAAACTGCTATTGAACAAGATAAATAAGTTGCAAAACATAATTGCACGATAGTGTTACGGCGAGTTTATAATTAGATTATGATTTATAGTAAACCTGCTGAAAAATATCAACTTCAGTTTTTTATGATGTGAATTCAATTCTTCATTCAAGGATAATGATACGTTATGCTCTATAACGTGCTTGCAACACCTGTGAGGACACTATTTTGTAATTCGATTAAGAGACACAATCACTGTTATTTGTTTTATTTGTATCATGTACAATTTTCGAAAGTGATTATAGAATGCTGGAAAAAAATGTAAACATTAAAAAAAAAACACATGTAAATTCTTTCTTTAGCCAGCTTGTTCAGTGACCTATTGCGTTGCATTTGCTACTCACGCTATCGAGTACTTGACGCTAACAAAAAAGTTCGAGTTAAATGGTTAGGCAAATGTAAATCTCAGAATGCTATTGCCTGACGAAAGTCCTACTTCAACACGTTATTTGTTCAGATTGTTTGAATACCTACCGATGTCTTGTTCTATCTCGTTGACGTTTAATGTAGTCATGGGTTTCGAAAGCGAACTGGTGTCTTCTTTTAAATAAAGTGGATTTTAGATATTTTCATCGATTCCTATTAAAAAAGAGTGTTTTTAATGTACTCTTGTATTTTTGCATTTTAGTTTTTGACCGTTGAAGTAATCATCTTGGACATTATTTTATGTAAACAGCGATCAATGCGATATATACAGAGTAATAATCAGGTTTGAACAGGATTATTAATTTCAGGAAAGATGAAGGGTTGTTTATCATAAAACTTTTTAACCAATAGGCATAGTGAAACAGTGTCTTTATTCATGGACATTTTTAAATTTGAATATACAGTAATCGAGTGAATTTGGCAAACCTTTTATCTAAATGATAATTTTGTGTGTGACGGCGAAAAACCTGAATGACCAACGCAAATTGCTAGACAAAAGAAAGAATTGCCGATGGCGCTGCATGGAGTAGTCTCTCACTTGTACTGATACCTATAGGCTCAGTATATAGTCAGAACTCATGCAACACGAGTCGTCAGTTCAGCTCCATACCTCTGCTACTGTGTTACCAGATAAAGCAACAAAAAAACTATAGAGATCACTTCGGTTACCAGCTTATCATTTGAGTTGAATACTTACGATAAAAAATTTTTGCGGTTAATGATTTTCAATAAGAAATCAGTGAGTGCGCGGTGTGTAGCGCACAACATCAACTAGAGGAATTTGTTAGTAGGTTTAATAACATTGTTTTTTGAAGAATGAAACCTTTTGTTATTAAATCATCATCTGAATTTGCGTTTGTACACTAATATTTCAAGAGCGCCGTGAAGAATTTTGTCGAAGTGTAAAAAGTAATTTTCATCGTGTGAATCCTATTGGAAAATATAATTTTGAGTAGTAATAATAATTACAAAATCATCACTCGCGAAATAACTTAAAACTTAAAAAAATCGACCAATGATTATTATATAAAAGCTTTCTTTCATCGTCACAAGTTTCGCATTGAAAACACAATATTTATTAATCTTTTCAGCGGGTTTTTCCTCCTGTACGGGTAAGCTTTTGAAAGAACCATGTAGGAAGCTGGTAAGGAGTTTGGAGTGGTAGTCGAAAAAAGAACATGATAAGTAAGTGGACGGCCGAAGAAATGAAGTGGAAGCACGAATAAAATCCAAGAACGCGCGATCAAGGAGTTTCTATTCCGCGTCACATATATTTCTTTCTGTTGAATATTAGCAGCTCTCAGGATGCCACCACGGAACTTATGCCGTGTGCTTGTATTACTGCTGACAGTAAGTCGAGATTTCTTTTTCTTTCCTTTTTTATCTGTTCTGTGTAATGCGCTTAGATTGCGCGTCGCTTGACCATTCGCATGCGTTACATTACAACGAAAGTGAGTTTCATTTAGAAATTTGAGCGCTTCTTTAAAAAGCTCTGGTTTCTAATTTTTTTGCAATTTATGCTTTTATCTAGGAAAATTTTTATTTGACATATTTTGAAATATTTTAAAAACTGATGGTTGCTTTCTTCAAATAAAAGTAAAAATTTCATCAGTAACGTTTCAAAAATGCGATACTAAACATTCGACTCATTATAGAGATACGAGAATAAGAGTTTGGGGCAGAGTGGATGTCTTTGAGTGTAATTACGAAGATATGGAGCGCGTCGGGCCGCGGCACTCCTGGTCTTTCGAGATAAAAATGTTCACCGGACGAACGAATCAAAATCCAAAAGCATTATACATATTTTTACTTACAACTCACGAAGATATTTGATCGTTTGATATTGATGGGTAAATTTTATTAATTAATCAAACGTCCGTTGTTCGCCAGTTAAAAAAGTACGCAGCCAATTTAAGGAGCATCTATCATTTTCGAGTACGCTTGTTTGGTCATATGTTTCCACGAGATTAATTCGGTCCCGCTGCAATAACTCAGTCGTCGATATTAAACGTAGTCATCTCTTTCGTTCCAATGCCTCGCGCCGAAGCTAGCCGGAAGTTGAATCTTAGCGTCTCTTCTGACCGGAAAAGGAATGCGATGTGGTAGCGCGATTACGAATTGTAATATGTATCGATTGCTTGAATATGCATCTGTCAAACTTTCACGTGGAATCCTTTCTAATGAAAGAGTTCGTAAAAAATCGTAAAAAATACATTTTTTATCATTTGTACAGATACATTTGAAAGCGTGTCAATTTTATCAATTTGCCATACCGAATGAACAAGCTACCGTCATTTTCGTGAAAAGTACTGTGATTCGAAAGAAAAAAGAAAAACAAGGAAAAAAATATCCTTAACAAACATAAGACGCCTCTGAACTATCACAGACGCACGATTCGTATACGATGGCAATATTGTACCAAATGCAACGTCTCGAGGAGCTGGAGAGTCGCGCGGGTGAATGTTTTTCTGTCTATGTCTTCACTTTCAATGAATAATCGATCAGCTAGCAGAGGAGCATCGTTGATTATATCGTCTATCCTCGCTCATCGCGCGCCACGAACGAAACGTGCACGGTGTTGACATTTATCCCAAAATTTGGGGTCAACGATTGATAGCGTATTTACCGAGAATGAAGCGCGATTCCTGGATAAACTCAGCTTCGGGCTTACGTTACGTTGTGTCATCGGATCTTGGACATTCTCATATAAACGACTCACAATTAAGTCTTGGACATCCAAACATATCGAGTGTCATAAATCACAGTGTGAGTGAAAATTATTACGTCTACGCGCATACTGGCAGATGTGCTGGAGATGTGGGAAAAATTATCGAAATGCACGTTAACGAGGTGTCGACTATTGATAAGCAATGCCACTTAGAGATAGACATGCGTCCGCAAAATAATGTGTCTGTGGAGGACTTTCAAGCGCTTAGCAAACGTACAAATAATGTATCTTGTACGTGGAATATGCAGTTGTGCACTTGACCTATACGGCTGCGACAAAAGATTACTTAAGACGGGTTTTTCGACCGTAGGAATTGCGCGCCGACGTATGTACATACTCGCCTCGAAAAGTTTACCTTGCCAAGCTACAATTTTTCTTTGTTGCATTCGTCGCGTATCTTCACGTTAATCATAGTACTGAACGCTCGAGCAATAACTTTCGATCATTCGCCCGTACACATCGACACAAAAAAACTGCATTATAATCCTAAACCATCGTGAATAAAACACAAGCATGATACTCGTTGAGCGCACGCGTCGAGTGCATCGGACAGGTAAATATAATCGAAAGCAAACAGTCGATCAAAGTAAGGGGCAAGTCCTACATAATGCGCACACGCGCGCGTCAGCTTTAATCACATGCGCAAGTAGTGTGCGACGTCGGCGCCGAAAGGCATATATATGGGCGCGACGCGTTTCCATTCTTCCTCATTATCGCACTCATTGGCGCTTGCGCGTTTTGTTTTCGTCTCGACTCATCGCCCTCCAAAATCGCGAACGCTCATCTCGTCACACCTTCGTTGGCCGCGCGACCCAATCATTTCCCATTCGTTGCAATTGTGTCGCCTTCTTTTTTCTGTTCTCGCACATTATTATTGAAATTTTTTTTTTTTCGCCATTCTACGAACTCTGTCACGGATGATTTAGTCGCTATTGTGATTTATAGACGTTTTTGTGTCGTTGTTGTTATTCCAATTTTTCTTCAGTACCCAGTGGTGTTTGGAGCGGTGAAGGATATCGAACGAATTTGGACGAAAAATTTGAGTGATCCAGGTTACTACGCGATCACTACTATTCCCAAAGGAGCTACGGCTATTTATGTAATAGATCTCGCGGAACAGGGAAATTTTTTAGGTAATTTTCGATCGTTTAGCATCAGTCCCAGTAGAGAGGTGCTTATTACTTTGGTGTTTTGTTACAGCGGTAAGGTTAGACAACAATACGTACTTATTCAATGGGAAATACACCATTAATAAATCAGAGAAATACAAGGGAGCTGGTACATTTTTTGTATACACAAGGCATAATGAACGTATTGCTGAAAAATTCTATTCACCCGGGCCTTTAGATTCGCCTGTTGATGTTATGGTTTGTTTCGATTTTGAATAGATTTTCTGTAAAACTGGTTAACAAAGTTATTAGAGTGTGATCATTACTTTTTGCAGTTGATCTATAATGGGATCCTACCAAAAGTGAAGTATCAATATAAAATACCCGATAATCTGAAAAGTGAGACGACTACACAAAGAAATTTCGGTAATTTTAGTTATTTAATTCCCTCACAAATGAATAGCTATTTATTAAAACAAATATTCGTAGCTGAAATAACACCGTCAAATCTTCAATCTCCTTCAACGGCACATTTTTTGAGGTAAATTTTTGTTTTTTCCATTCCAGCAAGCTACTTTTATGTAGTATTGCATTATAGTTGAAATTCTATTAATTTTGCAGTACAATCTTGCCTAACGTTATACCAGACGACAACGAACAATCGTCCACACCGATTCCAAGAATAAAGAGAAGGAGAAAATTCACGTGGAAAGCTGCTGGATTTAGCAAATGTAGCAAATCATGTGGCGGTGGTGAGTAATTATTGCGTCACCATGTCAGTTCTCAATTCCATGAATGAAAAATCAACATTGAAATATGGCCTCTCCTTGGCAAAGGTTACCGAACTAAAAAATATGTCTGCGTACGACGGCGTGGAGACGAACCACGGCGAATATCTGACAAAAAATGCCTCAACGCCAAAAATCTTCAAAAGCCTAACAATGTGACACTCCCATGTAATAGCCAACCTTGTCCACCACGGTAAGTTCATCATAAATGACGTTATTTCGTACTTTTGAGCTTAATTTATTTATAAAATTCATTATAAAATTTAAAATTATGAAAAACTGCTGTCACGCAAGAAAATCATGCATACAAAGCTTTATGATCCTACATTGTCTTTTAACATTGAAGTATATATATATCAAAATATTTATCTCCAATATTTTTAACTCATATTTAGATGGGAAACCGGCAAATGGAACAAGTGTTCGACGACATGTGGCAACGGTATCAGAACTCGTCAGCTGCTGTGCGTGCAAGAGATGTCGGATAAGTTGAGCACAAACTTGGATGCTAAGTATTGCCCTGCAAAGCGTCCTACTACAATAACCATGAAAGAAGTTTGTCACATGCCCAGTTGCGAAGTGCACATGACCACGCCAAAACCAAGCCTCACCACTAGACAATATATTGGTTCTATCCCACACTGGAAGGTCGAGAAATGGTCCTCTGTAAGCAAACTTTTGTGTTTCGTTATTTATTTGTCTTGAATAATGCCAGAAATATGTTTTGTATTACGCCAGTGTTCAGTAACGTGTGGACGAGGTCGGAGAACTCGAGTGGTCACTTGCATCACGGCCTATGGAAAAGTTTGCAATATGGTCGATAAACCGGCCAGCGAAGAACCATGCAACGTAGATAGTTGCATCTCAATAGCTCAGATTGAAAACGAAATTCCTGAAGCTCTTGTAGATAGTCCGTGGTTGTACAGTGCTTGGCCCAAGGAAGTATGTATACCTGCGATATATCATTTTTTCTAATTTAAATTATAACTTTGATTTTTGGTTATTGAATTGTAGTGTTCTTCGGAGTGTGAAAGAGGAACGCTTACGCGTCGATTGTATTGTGAGAGTTTTTTGAGAAATAAGACTTGCAGTCTCGACAATATGCCTCCCATGAACAAAACTTGCGTCAGTAGTCATAACTGCGGTCAATGGTTTTCTGGACCTTGGACGAAGGTATGAGTAATTTCCAAAGATTTTAATAATCTGATATGGTTTCTACAATGTTTTTAACTTTTTACAGTGCTCGTCGTCATGCGACACTGGCATCGCAACACGGGAAACCGTTTGCGTCTACAGGTTACTGGGAGTTCTAAAAATAGTTGACCCTGTCAATTGCTCCAGAGAGAAACCAGAAACTATGCGATCCTGTACGGGTCCGCCATGCAATGCTACGTGGTTTACGTCAGATTGGACTCAGGTATTGAAGCAACATTTCATACAAAAGTTAGATTTTTAATCATAATTTTTTTAAGCGAACGCACAAAAAATCCAATGCGTATCACTTATCAAACTAGTCAGATAGTGAACTCGGTCGTTTAAACAAAACCTCATCACGTTTAGTGTTCGCTAAGCTGCGGAACAGGAACTCAAAAACGAGAGGTCAAATGCATTAGACCAGACGGCATGCCGATAAATGCAAGCGAACTGGAGTGCGACGGTGAAAAACGGCCGCCCAGCGAAAGAAGCTGCAATGACGCACCGTGTGAAAAACTAAATACTGAAGAGACGAATGCAATTGCTAATATGGAAAATCAATAAGTCTCTAGTGAGTACAGATCATGTATTTATATAAATTTTCTTGCAAAAAGACATCGCTCATTTCCAATAATATTAGGTTCACAATTATTATTGGAAGATATGTGCTTCTAAATTACATATATAATGAGCGTATAAAGTAAAATTTTCTAGTTTAGTTCGCATGTTTTTAGAAGATACCTATCAGAATATGCCGGATTGCTGGAAAATTCTATGGAATAACGAGTTAAAGCAGAAATGCCAGTTTCAACGTTACAAATGTCGTTGTTGGTAAATTTGCCGACACTATAATTTAATTTATACTACAACTGTAATTTCCTGAACTAAAAAATGAATATTAATACATACCAATCAATCATTTAATTAATAATTCATCATTCACAAGGTAAGGTTTAAATATTTTATAAGTATACATGTCATTGTAAAATTTTTTGCTATGCCCATTAAAAGATAAATAAATTTTAGAAATTTTATATGACGCATTTATTAAATTTAAGTTTTGTACAACAAGGTATTATAAATTTATTTTATATTTTATGACAATAAGCACAAACTTATTTTGAAGAATGTTTTTTAATATACGTTTTAGTTATTTTCTATTGCAATAAAAGTATCATGTGTAGCTTGAAGTCGTTTGCTGTTATTTATTTATTTCCTTTGTAAAATGTTTTTAGTAACTTATCTATTATATCTTCAATTACGTAAATTTTATTATTCCAAAATTTACTTTCCTGATTACCAACTTATCGCAAATAAATTTATAATGCATAATACTGTTTACGTAGAAATGCAATCACTTACAAAATCTTTCAATACTTTTATTCTTTGGAAAACTACAGTCTATTCACGATTATTATTTATATACAATGTACTGCTTTTGCAACTATATATGTACTATATGTCAGTATATTCTAAATCTCAAATAAATTCGTACATTTTATAAATTAACTTTTGCAAAATACTAGAACGTAGTATATTTATTTGTACTTTCTTCTGAGAAATCCAATGTGAATCTCATAGATAGATACATTAATGTAGGGCTGTAAAACCAAAAGTTTCATGCCATGCGCATGGATTGGCAAAGTTTTCTTTCGGCTCGTACAACAAGCACATCGGTGTTTTGAGGTTTGCATAAATTATGTAAACACCAATTACGATGACCGCAAGCGGAAATATTCTAGGAGCTTGTGATTTATTAAGTCGCAATACCACAAACATGCGGAAACACACTCACCCTGGAGAGCTTAGCACACGGAGAAGTTTTATACATAATAGATCCGAGAGCTCGAAGCACTTACAGCCGCAGTTGTACGTTTGCGCTATCACGTTAGTGTCAATCCGAAAACCATAATATGAAGATTTTGGGATGGAAAACTGGCGTTCAAAATATGCCATCAAATTTCGAAAGTAATTTTTAGTTTGCAAGTTTCACGATATTCTTAAGGTTTCTAGGGATATTAAATACTTGAAACATTGTTCACTTGACAAACAGACAATACTACGATGTCTTTTTCTCTTGTTTGATTCATAATAAAATTCAAAGATTAGTAGTTCGCAATGAATGTGAATTTTGTCATTTATTTATTTTTTTTGTTTTCGTGATAGAAAGCACAGTCGCAAATGGCGCAGACGATAATCTTAAATCTTATTTGCACTTGAACATCAAGATGCTCTTAGCAATGAATATACTCATCGACTTAGAAGACACAAAGAACTTTGAAAAGTTTGGTATATTTGCCAAAGTGCCAGTATTGACAATCATCACAATAATAATTTCTGTAACGGGCGCTTTCGGTCAATTTGTATGGATGGTTCAATCGTTATCTTACGATAGGCAATTGGCTACGACGTTGAGCACAAACATATTTTCTAATGTTAGCTGTGTTAGTAAGGTATAATTGTCAATCATCAACGTTTTTTTAAAAAAATTTTAGTTATAAATTGACGCAATAAAAAGTTTGTTAATATTCAATATTTAAGCGATTTGATCTAATATTTGAAAAAAAAAACTATTTCAGGGTTTTTGTCTGTCGGTCGCAGCAAAAGATTTACAGGCAATATTACATGACATTTCAAAAATGTGGAATAGTTATCGGTCAGAAGGTGAATGTCGTAAAAGAATTATTAATCGTGCTAAGAAAACGGTATCTTTCGTGAAAGGTTACATTTGGATGACAGTCGCACTTATTGCTAATTTTGGTGTACCGCCTTTACAGTGAGTACGTGTGACTAAATAATGTTTTACGTAAAAAAACTAGTTGCAAGTCTTTAACGCTAACTTACGCTTATATCACAAGTAAATATTTTTATCGTGAACTTTAGATATATGCTGATACAATATATCGGACATAAAACATCAAACACAACGTTAGATTATTCAATAAGGATCTTTCCTTTAAGATATCCTTTCGACGTGAACACTGGATGGATTTATTATTTAATTCTTTGTCATGAATTTTGGATACTTTTCGGTTTGACTTTATGCTGGGTCTCTTGTGATACCCTGTTCGCTTCATTGACAACGCACCTATCTATTCAATTCGAGGTATCGATACAAGCTTTATTTAGGATATATTATTAAATTCAATGTTTTCATTTGGTTGTCAAAAGATTTTAGAGCACGACATTAATAATTTAATTAATCGTGAAACAAACGAAGTACGTCTGAAAAAAAATCTGTTCACTTTTGTAAATAGACACCGTGAAATTTTAAGGTACGTTCATAGTTTTATTATTTTTATCAGATAAGATTTTTTCAAATTCAAAATATTTTATAGAGTATGCAAAGAAGTAGAACGTGTTTTCAGCCCAGTAATTTTTATAACAGTTGTAGTATCATCGATGAATATCTGTGTCAATACTTATATGGTACAAGAGGTGAATATATATTCCAATCTAATAATTCTACAGTTAACATATACATAACACAACAGTAGCAATATATTTACAGTATGTAGCCGTAGGCAAATATTTTGATGGAGGTTATCATTTTTTCCTTGCTGCTAACACGTTTTTGCAGATTATCGTTTACTGTGTATATGCTGAAACTCTCACACAACATGTAAATTTTGACTCTTATTATTTTCTTACTATATTTCACTAAATTTTATTTTGATAGGTTTCATCGATATCCAATGCCATATATGATTGTGAATGGTCTGATAAAAATCAAGAATTCAAAATATGCGTTCAAATATTATTGATGAAAACCCAAAAGCCATTCTATTGTAAAGCTTATGGATTTTTTATATTATCTCATGAGCAATTAACAAAAGTATGTAATATTATGATGATTTTTTCAGCTCATTATGTTCACTTGATAGTGACGTGTGTAAATTATATTATATTATTAAATTTGTCAATTTTTATTTTCCAGATTGTTAACACTGCTTTATCTTATTATATGATGCTGCGGACTACAAGTGAATAATGATTCAACGATAAAATAACGTATAGAATAGTTATATTGGACATAAAAAATCATTTTATAAAAATTCACTAATTGTATTTACTTTTTTCTACATTATATTAAAATTTAAAAATAATATTGTTCTTGCTGCATGGTATATATACATTACGGCATTGGCTTGAGTTACCTCAAGCCGGTTAGGATTCAAAAACGCTGGAATACAAGTCTAAATTGCTAATGTCGGACTTTAGTCAAGTAGGGCTAGCTGTAACCAAGCATGTGTCGCTATTGCTGTTTGTTTATATATTATTACGTTCTTATTATTAGTAGTTCTCGCACACGCCTTCTTTACTAATGCTCTAAGCCGTCAAAATAACAAAAGTTAATCAAATGAAAACCAATTTCAATGAAGACCTGCAAAAATTAGTCAGTGTTAAAAAGTGTAATAGTATTTACATATCTGCCTTATAGTATGATGAGTTAATTGATTCAGATTTGGAAGCATGAGAAATCACTGTTTTTATGAAATTACATGACGACGTTTGAAACGTTATGACGTTTGTTTAATAGACATTCACAACTTGCCGTTCTCGTGAAAAAAGGTAAAGGAAATAAATGACTTTAGGTTAAACTCAGAACCTAACTTTCGTAATTACTAGTAACTTCGAGAGTAAATCATCAATACTACACTACATTAAAAATGAAGAAATGTTTGTTATATTGTATGATCTGACCACAAAACAACTAATTTTCTTGATTTATTATTTATGTGATTTTTATTTATAGTGAAATCAATATCAGTTACATGTGTTTCGATAAAGCTTAGGCTGGATTAAATTTGGTTTTAGCCGAAGTTGATTCAAAATTGTTGGCTAGACCTAGCCGGCTAAGACTAGCATTAGCCAGAGTCCGAATTTGAGTCGTAACATATATATCTCAATTCTAGAATTACTTAAGAATTAATATGTCGGCTTGATGTTTAGTACGTAGAATATGGAATCTCTATGTCCAGTTGGTTTTACTTTAAACATTTTTTTTATTTAGTCATACATTTGATATTCAACTGTTTATCAGAGTACTTAACTTCTTCGGTTACTTTTCTGCAATATGCTCCAATTATTTTTAGGTTCAGATTGAAATTCTTCGATCCTGTTATTAATTTTGTGTATTGTGAGATGATTTGGGTTCAATGTTTTTCAATATTCATAAACATCATTATTTTAGATCTGATTTTGCAAAAGTTTTTTAAACAAAATTAAATTCATTGTGACACTTACGCTACAACCGTTTTCATATATATTATAAACAATTAAACATACTTCATTTTTATTCTTTTCTGCTACGAAAAAAAAAAACGCTGCGATGTCTCAATAAGTGAATAAAGTATGAACATCGTGTGAGAAAGTATCAATTTTCTGCAGATGTATACAAAGTTTTTATGGAGCATAGATGTAAATAAATGAACAGATAGATGGGTATTTATGCGCTTAGGCGCTGCTATTCCAGCAAAGTGGACAATCAATTATATAGCAACTGCTTATGCTAGTTCATCACTTCTTCATTTTTTTTCAGTATTGTCGCAGTAAGAAAAGTGAAACATGAAGGTATTTGGTGACAAAGGTGACGTAATTATATTTTAGAATGAATACTATCAAACTTAAAATAGCTTTGTATTTATAAAATTATTCGTAATGAGATATTATTATGTGTCCATAAATTATTATCACAATGATAAATTATTTATATTCTACCTCAAGTTTAACAATTTTTATATTCATAGACTGATTACGAAAATTTATAGATAAATTTAACGGGAGTGACAATTGCTTTATTGTAGAAAAAACCAGAAAATATACAGTAGATGATTTGGAAACATACTTGAATGTGAACATAACTATGCTGTCATTAATAAATATATTTGTTGGATTGAATGGCAAACAAGATTTCAAAAAATTTGGACTTTTAGCCAAGATTCCCATTTTAACCATAATTACAGTAATGTTTTCCGCCACGTGTGGCACTCTACAATTTCTCTGGAGTGTCCGTATATGGTCGACTGACAAGGACACTGTAGCTCTTATATATACAAATATCTTCTCCAATATCTGTTGTGCTAGTAAGGTAAGTTTCAGAAAATATTTTTATAATATATGTCAACACTATTAAACGTTATATTTTGTGACGTCCTTTTTAAATTTTAACGAGGAAACTACTCGAATCTAATGTGAGTTCTTTAGTACAAATGTTATCGATAAAAAGTTTTGTTAACAATATAAACGTTGACGAATGACAACAAAAAAGTCTTTAAGTAATTTTTGAATTTTTTATCAAATTAGTGATGTCGGGTGCTCTTCGCTCACTCTTTATCATTTTTCTTCATTTCTAGTTATATTGATTAACATATTTAACACCAATACTTTTTTAAATGTAGATTTTTTCAATTTTTTTTACAAAACACATACCAAAGCGGAAAAATATATATTAGTCAACTAGTTCCACGCTTTCATATTCATGATTCATCATATTCGACACTGCAATAAATAATAATCTTTTAGTTCTTTCCAACTACACGGTTCAAATTATTTTTAAATGTTTATCCTACTCTTTGTATAAATATTGTGACATATGTATTTTAATATTACACATTCAAAAATCAGATTGTCGATTAGTAATATAGAAAATAATTAAAACTAATTCAAAGCATAACCCCTTGTTTTTACAAAATAATTTACTCGCTGATAGTTTCATATAATGAGTGTTAAAGTAATAATACTGTAGTCTACTTTTTATAGATTTCATTTTATTTTTCATTGTCTTCAAAATGACCAGAATTAATTATGTCAATTTTTATTACTAAAAAAAATATGAATCAACTTGAATCTATACACACGCTTGTTCGATGCCACATAACAATATATTCCGTAACATCTCAGCTAACCAGATCACGAATAAAATGCTTCAACATGACATCCATCCCATTTTTATAAGGGAATTCAGAGAGAGAATGTTTATTTTAGATTTGTTTTTTTTATTTAATAATATGTAAGTACAGATATTTCAAAAACCTTCTTTAAGTTTAGGGCGTTTGCTTGGTGCAGAATAAAAGTAAAGTGCAAATTTTGTTAAATAACCTGTCAAAAATGTGGAATCTTCATCGTCCGAAAGGGGAATGCCGTAACAAAATTATCAAACGGGCAAAGAATACTATGATATTCATCAAAGTTTATATTTTCATGATGGTAGGACTTACTGTAGCGTTTGGTTTTCCACCTCTACAGTGAGTACATTCGATTTAAAATAACGCAATGTGATTTTGTTGTAACTGAACATATAGTTTGTACTACATATTGCTATCATAAAATTATTGTTAAAATGTGTTTCCTTTATATTGTATGAAAGAAAAATTGGAGAAATATTATCACTATTTTTTTTATAAGCATGATATTTGTAGCCTTAGATTTCAACATACCGCTGTATTAATTAACATTTTTATCTTTTTTATAGGTACATGCTCTCTCAATATTTAACTCGAAAGTCATTAAATTACACCTATGATTATTCAGTGAGAGTATTCATAATAGAATATCCATTCGATATTAATTCTCCACTAATTTACTGGCCTATTCTGTGTCAAGAATTCTGGATACTGATTGGTTTAGCCACCTGTTGGGTCACCGGTGATACGTTATTTGCTTCTTTGATAACTCAGTTGACTATACAGTTTGAGGTACTTTTAAAGCTATATAAATTATATTAATAAATAAGAAAAACTCAATTCTATTTAAATAGATTCTGGAGAACGATATAAATTCTCAGGTAAAGCACGATACCAACGAAATAAATTTGAAAAGAAATTTAATTATTTTAGTACATCGACATCGAATGATTTTACGGTACAGGCATTCAAAATGTCATGTGCATTATAAATGGATTTATTACAACAGAAAAAAAAATAATATCTAATTTTTCAGTGTTACTGAAGAATTAGAACGGATTTTTAGCCCAATCATCTTTGTGAATGCTATAGTTGCCTCAATGATTATTTGTGTTAATGTATTTGTAATAGAAAAGGTAAAATATTGTACATAAATAAAGAATCAATTTCTGAAAAAAATATCCTTTATATATATATATATATATATATATATATATATATATATATATATAAAGGATATTTTTATACTGGTGTGTGTGTGTGTGTGTGTGTGTGTGTGTGTGTGTGTGTGTGTGTGTGTGTGTGTGTGTGTGTGTATATATATATATACCAGTTAATATAAACAGCAGGTGACTGCAGGAATTTATATGGAAGCTGCATATAACACTTTTATAACAATGAATACATTTTTGCAAATAACAGTATATTACGTATTCGCTGAAACCTTAACGCAAACGGTCCGTATATTGTATGTGTTAGCATCAATTCTACAAATTCATATTACAAAATCTTTGAAGAATATTATTTATTTCAATAGTGTCTATCCATATCTAACACAATATATGAGTGTGGATGGGAAAATCAAAATCGAGACATTAGAACGTATATTCAAATACTACTGATGAAAACACAAAAACCTATTTACTATACTGCTTATGGATTATTTACCTTGACACATGAACAGTTGATTAAGGTATTTATTCTATTACGACATACAACTTAATTCATACTTGTAAGCAGTATAAAAAATTGAACATCTTAGCAAGTTTAGATTATATTTGAAAAAAAATTTAGGTCGATCTTAGAAACTGATATTGATCAGAGAATAATTTTTTTTCAGAAAATCTCATTTTTTTCTAAGAAATTAAAAATTAGTTATTTCCTTGTATAACAACCTTTGTTCTATTTCTTTCCATTAGTCATACTGTTTTTGGATTCAAATATGAATGTTATTATTCATGTCTTTGATTTATTTCAGATCGGGAACACAGCTGTGTCTTATTATATGATGCTACGAACTACAAACCAAAGATCAGCTAGTTTTTAAATTTTTTATCTGAACAATTTAGCCCCTACTAAAGATTGCGAATTTCGTGAAATAAATCTGCAAGTTTATCGTTTATAAATTTTATTTTGTAATGTTAACATGTTGCAAATATAATCTAGATAATAATTTGATATTCTAGAGATGTTTTTGTAGATGTTACATTGTTGTGTTGGTCATAAATTTGCAAAAGTCTCTCTATATTTTTTTATTTATATCATCATCAGAAAAGTAGTCTGCTATGTTCTTTGATTATAACTACGCTTACATATTTTCTCAACTATTAAAACGCATAAATCGCATTGTATTTATTTATAAGCCGTATTCACGTTTTACATCTTTTCAAGCCTCTTTTCATTTTAAGAAGCAAATCAAATAAATTTTACTTGGTATTTTACGAGGAGGTGGACGGAAACTGGTACGCAAACATCCGAACGCATGCAGCTCGTCAGTCCGAGCTGATTTTCTCGCGAACGACACTTGGTCGTCCATACATTACCCTTTGCATGCGCTGGGCGTGTTTGAGTGCGAAGGTCGTAAAAATTGAAACTTGAGTGAAAATGGCGTTGGCGCATGACTGTGAAATACATAGAAGATAAGGGAAAGAAAGAAGTATGAAATGCCATAGGTAAAACGTTTTATTTGGCGCACGTCCTATTTCAATTGTTTCTTCTCTGTTATTGTTCTACTCTACTTCGCTTATTAACCGCCCAGAACATTATTTTTCAAACCATGCTTTTAAAACATCATTGATTGTAGAGTCATCCTAAATAAGAAAATAATATTTTTGAGTTTTTCTACATTGTGCACATTAATATTTTTAAGATATTTATATGCGCACTTTTTCATGCTAAAAAAGTTTGAATAAACTTTTGATAAAATTTTATTTTATTTATCTATAGGTAACTGGAAGATCACTTGCAAGTATATTTCTTGGATATTAACAGTATTGATATTCTCTGAAACCCTTTTACAAATTTGATTTTCAGAGCTCCTGTTGACTAATTTTCTGATCTAATATGTTGGGGTTGAGTTTCATGAAATTTTAGTTTAATTTCATTATCCTTTTTCAATTTATCAAAAAGTTTTTCATTAATTTTTTATCTAACTTTCTAAACGAATATGTTTCTTGTTCATCTTTTTCGTTTTTCAATGTACAAATCGCATATAATTCTCTTGCCATATCTTTCCTTTCGATTCGAAGTATCACAAAGTTTTCTATACTTCTATTTTCTTGGATATAATAGCGTCCGTATTTTCGCATCAAAAGAAAGTTTTCTGTCGCACAGAAAAAAAAGGAAATTTCTGCGCTGCAGAGGAGAGACAGATACAAGATAATAATACACATCGATGTTCTTGCGAGTGTTGAATAAAATATAAACTTTTTTTCTAGCAAAGGTGCAACGATGTTGGAGCTACTCTCTTGTGAATAAATCACCCGTAGGATCGCAAGTGTGTAAGGGAGCGTACATATGGAAGTACCATTTGCTAGCGGAAAATATGCGAGAGCATCATTATAGTTCGCAAGTATCTAGAAACATGGTGCACTTGCAACGATCTATCGGTGAGCGTTGTCTTAATTATTCACTAATTTTCTGCAAACCTAGGCTTCGTGTTGAAGGGACAACAGCAATATTGTTACGGAAATCGCAGCATAAACATCTTCGATGCTAATAGTAATGTATTTCTGTCTTAAATACACTTTTTTACTATATCAAATATATAAATTGTATTTTTGTGACGTGGTATTCTTTACTCGGGTCTCTCAGTTCTCATATATCTTTATTTCTTAATACATGTTGCGTCATTACGAATCTCACATTACAGTCACTATATATATCATTTACAAATTCGCTTTTTGATTTAACAAGTTTTAAAGAGCATCAATTTAAATTTCGTAACATTCTGAAGAACTATATTTTGTTCCTATACAGTACCTGACCGCGCGACAAAATTAATGGACGCGTATGCTCTGTATGCAGAAAACTCTATTGTGTTAAAACTAATATTACATCATTTAACGAATACTTATAAAAATCAAATTATGATTTTTGATGAGCACCTCACAGTATGATATACTTTTGATAATAATTTGATTAATCTATAACTAACTAATAACATTTTGAAAGATCCAATTCAGAAAAAAATCCTTTGAAAGAAGACGATTAGTATTTCCAGTGGTTTTGAGGTTCGCTGAATTTGAACTTAAGGTCCGCTTGACTCAACTGGTCTAGATCACATTAAACTTAAAATCGAATCAACCCGAAAAATCATTCCCACAAATCGCTCCAAGGCCATTTCAATCACAATTGATATGTACACAATTCGTTACACTTTTATTCTGACAGATCGAGCTTCAGCTCTGTAATATCTTTATAGAGACAACGGCACTCCAAGGTGAAAGCAACGTTTCGAGATAATAACAATTTAAGAACTAAGAATTCATCCTTTTTTCCTGTTATAACGAACCCTTTTGTCTTCAAAAGATCTGTGCAATGCATTCTTCTTCCTCTCACACATGCCATTTGTGAGCACCTGGATCCAGCTTGTCACTAAAGACAGTCATCATAAAAATGATGGGAGGGGGGAGGGAGGGCATTGAGATGCTCTCTCCAAGAAGGTGCCTTTGACACTCTTTTTGAGGGCGGCGGCTAGAGGTACGAAGTCAGGAAGTCAGCTCACCTGCCAAGAAGCAGCAACGAGGGGGGAACATAAGCGGTCACAAGAGTAAGTAGTTTTACCTCTCTTATATTAGAGTACTAGTTATTCAATTCGCTTCTTATTTCCCTCTATCTGTCATTATGGCGCACCCTACCAATCTTTTAGTTACGCTACATTTATGGTATACTATTAGAACTTAATATCACTACGCGACGGGAGCTGTTGATCACAGTATAGGGGCTTTCATAGCAGTCGATCAAAGTCTGTGCCGGATACCAACCGAAGATATTACAGTAGACAGAACGTTGATCTCCCATGCGGCGGTCCTCTGGAGTTAGATTCACAATGGGTACTATGCTTGGAACTAATAGCGAAGATAGTTGGCGAGATTCTCGAGTCACGCTTGCTATGTACTTTTTCGTGTTATCACTCTCGCCATAACTCACTTATCTAACTCTCGACGAAAGGTAGACGCCAAGGAAAAAAAAGGTAATACGAGGACTGGGTGATAGCAGCTATTTATTTGTTTATATCCAATTTTACAGAAAGATATGACCGACAGAGGCAAAGGAGAACTTCGTGGCTGAGACTAGGCTGGCATATAGAGACACTGACTAGCTTTGATGCTCCACGCACCATGGTTACACTAGTTTGATGCTGCTGCAAGAGCAAGAAGTTAGAGAGGGGAACAAGCGCCTGCTTCAGAGAATGCTGTGCTGAGACCAATTGGTGTACCCCCACAGTTACTCCCCCATTAGAGACAAGGACTGGTTGAAAGAAGAACAAGGCTGAATGATAGGAATGATCGGTTGACTTCCCTGTGAAGGTGAAGCGGATTGTTGGAGACTTTGGAGTGTCGACAGGCTACGCAGTTCTGAGTCCAGCGACCGATGTCCTTATGTATCCCGGGCCAGAAGTATTTCTGCGTGGTGATGCGAATGCTGGGTGAGGCGAATGCTGAGGTGAGACAGACCGAGGATAAAGTTGAAAGCTTGTTCGCGAAAGTGCTTAGGACTGTTGGGTTTGATGAGGTTTCTCTCGGTCGAGGAGTGCAGGTCTCGGCCGTCAAGGTTGAGCGTTTGCAGGGATATTGTTGGTAAGATAAGCAGATGAGGAAAGTCTGGTTAGAATGCCCGATGCTGAGCCAGCATTGCTAAATCGAGGACAGTAGGTATCGTGATCGTTTCGATCTTGGAGTGTGTCAGTCACAACGTTATCCACTTCTTTGGTATATGTCAGAGTAATAGGAAGTTGGGAGATGTATTCCAGCTGTTGTTACTCTCTCGGTAAAGTCTTTTGTAGAGGTTGGTTTACTGCGAAGGATAGCGGCTTGTCATCCGTGAAGAGCTGTAACGAATTTGGTGCGCGGAATTGAAGGAGCTCACGAAGTATGCATAGACAAGCTAATGAAACCAGTGGCGTTGGCGGACAGCATGAATACTACTGTAAAGACAATAACCCAACCCAATAACTATGAAGTGGCGATGAAAGTCTATGACAAAGTTGATCGTGCGGCATGCGAAACTATTGTGAAAACGATCGAGTCAAAGGTAAAAATTCTCATGTAGAATTTTCGACTAAAGAGTCCATTTCTTCCTCTACAGCGCCTTTTCATCTATGCTTTTCTTTGGATTACATTGCTTCTTGATATTTTCGATTCTCCATAGGCAGTTTCAGCAATCATCATTTAAACCAACCGCCCAGGAGCTTTGAATTTCACGTGATCCCGCAGCACTCGTCTAAATGATGATGGTGAATCCGACTTTTCGGTTTTCCGGAAGTCCTTGGCCAAAAGCATCATTCGTGCTAAGTCAACAATCGTCCTGTTCGTGCACTCCGCGCTATCATTATATGAAGACGTGTAGGGGTTTGACATCGCCAAAATACTTCCATTAGGTAACATAATTTTCCGCACTTGATTGTTATCGAATTCCTTGCCACCGTTATAGTACAAAACATTCATTGGTTTTCTAAGCTGAGTTTCCATAGTTGTACAACTTGTTCAATTTTTCTGACTGCTTCTGACTTTTCTTTAAGGAAATAAACTATTGGCAGTTTAGAATAATTACAAGTAAAATACAAAATTTTTTGCTTCGCTCAAGGAGTTACATTCCATTGGTCTACATAAGTTTTTATGCATTATTCCATCAGACTCTTTAGCATGTTATGTGCGCTTATGATAAGGTTGGCTGTATTGTTTATCATCTGCGCAAGCTTCGGAAAAAAATCATCGTTGATATATAAAAGCAATTATAATGTTTCCTCAGTAAAATATTCATGTGAGCTTTGTTTTGATGACCCAAACTTTTCTGCCAGATCTGCAATGTGTTCCTTGAAACAACATTAACCCCGTCGATGTTCGATCTTTTCGGTTCTTTCACTTATAGATCAAGATCTTGTACGACGGTCCATTGCAAACATCTTGTGCTTTGGAAATAAATTGCAGATGCTCTGATGAAGCCATTTTCTCGCTGAAGATTTGAACTTTTACGCGAGCAATTAGGTTTATCTAAACGATAAAATATATTCGTTTGCTTGCTCAACGTTTTATAGGAAATGTTGGAAATAAAGTATTCTAATTGATGTTTTAATTGTGAAGTTGCTACATATTGTTTTGCCAACTGTTTTTTATTGATTTAACATCGGTCTTTTTCTCCTTCGGATTTGTACCACCATATTAACAACAATGCTTTTGAACATAAAATTTACATTATTTTTAATTTGTGTTCATCAAATTAATTCTTTCTCAACAGACCTGATAAATTTTTTTTACAGATTTGTAACGCGCACTTCTTGTATTAAGAGTCTAGCTGGATAAGATGGCCAAATATGCCTTTGAACCGTCCGAAAAAGTAAATAGATCGTTATATTCAGTGTGTTTAGAAATTTCTTTTGATAGATTTTCAGACCCTAGATTAATCTGGAATAAAATGGGATCCTAGTCTGTGTATTGGAGTTTTGGAGCTAGCTAAAAAGTTTCTTTTCCATTGTGTAGAGTTTTTTCAGTCCTACAAAACTACCTAATCAGAAAAATATTTGGCGTTAAATTAAAATTTTTATAATATTCTAAAAATTTCAAAAAATTTTATTTTAAAAATAAAAAACGACTCTTGTCTGGAAATGCTATGTATTTTTTTCCTCAAAAATGCGCCTATATTATTTTAATATTTATCAAACTGGTGGAACGATCCTAAATAAATAAAAACCTCTTGAAAATAGTATTTTTCGCTTCTAGCGGTTTCCAGGGAGATCCTATGGTAAAATCAATAGCGCCATTGTATTTTGCGTAAAAAATACATCAAAAACATTGATTTTTATTTCAAAGGTAAATATATATATATATATATATATATATATATATATATATATATATATATATATACGCAATTTATTTGTTTTGCAGATTCCTGAAAGTTAGTAGGTGTAAATTATGTAATCACATTGATAAATGAATGCCCTTTTGACCACAGGGATTATGGGATAGCTAATTTCTTGAATAGCTCAAGTCCGCAGGAGCATTACAGCGTGTGATGCATGCGCAGTAAGTCGTATTCGCTGTGAAAAACAATAATTTCATTTTTATTTTAAAACGAGGGCTGTTTCACGTCGATTTTCCGTATAATTCAAATAAGCGCAATCGATTGGCGTGTCCGTTTGTCGAAAAAAAAGCAGCAATTTAAGAGAACAAAAATTTAAGAATAACTTGGAAAATAAAAGATGCGGTATTTTTTTAGTAACAGATATGTAACATGAACTTCACGCGGGATATTTTCGTATATTGTTTGTTAAAATTCATTTTTTAGTATGTTGGAATCACGAAGGTTGTATTATGTCGGTTGTATATTAGATCTAAGGATCGTATCATCATATAAACTGAACTTGGAAGTCGTGTTGATCATATCGAGATATTCGATATTTAGCTAAACTAAACATAACTTCAGATGACGACAGCTGAACGGAGTAAACAATAACAAAGTTGCCGGCAGCGATATTTTAGCTGTCTTAAACTAAACTTATTAAATAAATTTACATTAATTTGTTAGAAAAATGTATACATAAATTAGAACTTTCACTATGAGTTCATCAAACAGTAGTACGAGTAATAATAGTATTAATAGTTTCGGAAAAGTGGAAATAGTTAAATGTATTCCTACTTTTATGTGGACAATAAATAATTTTTGTGCTTGCCATAAAAAAACTGGAGATGCATTAAAATCGCCTATTTTCTCTATGGGAAATAATAACGAATTGAATTGGTGCATTGATTTGTATCCAAAAGGGTTTGATAAAAGTTATGAAAATTTTATTTCCTTGTTTTTAAAGTTAGAATCTTGTGACCAATATGTTGTTAAAGTGAAATATAAGTTTTGTATTCTTAATAGCAAAAGATCCAAAACTCATGAAATGGGATCTGAAACTGACCGTCTGTTCACACCAGGATGTGATTGGGGTTTTAGAGAATTCATATCAAGAGATACTTTATTTGATAAAAGTAACAATTTGCTGCCAGATAATAAGTTGACAATTTATTGTGAAATTGATGTAAATCGTCGTACTACTAATATTTTCAATGAAAATATTATGGCACCACCTAAATTGTCTGAAAGCCAAAGTAAAATAATTGATGATATAGAAGCTTTGATGAAAAGTAAAAAGTTCTGTGATGTATCATTAGTCGTTGGAGATAAGAAATTTTATGCTCACAAAACAATATTAGCAGCACGTAGTATTACATTTTGCACCAAATTTGAAGAGAATCTAGAGGAGAAGAAAGTTAATGTTATTGAAATTAATAATTATGATCAGAAGATTGTTAAAGAAATGTTGCGGTATATTTATACTGGAAAAGTTGAAAATCTCAATAAACTTGCCAAAGACATTCTACCTGCTGCCAATGAATATGTACTTGAGGGACTGAAAAATATGTGTGAAAATATAATAAGTAAAAACTTGAATTTAGATAATGTGGTTGAAATGTTAACTATTGCTGCTAGTTACAATGCACAAAATTTAAAAAAAGAAGCTATAGATTTTATTATATCTAATGGAGAAGCTATAACAAGTACTGAAAGTTTCAAATCTTTAGCTGCATCACAACCTCTTCTTATAGCTGAGGCATTTCGTACAATGGTATATAATAAATAAAATTCGATAAAACTTTTATTATTTAAGTTAAAAGTTATATTATTACATTCTTATAGTTTTAAATTCTATTATATATTATAAAGTAATGCATTCCTACAGGTTACAACGTACAGTAAACCAGAACAACCAGTTAGAAAAAGAAAACATTCTGATGAGAATATTGACAAAGAAGAGTAACAAAGAAGAGTACCAAACAGCTTTCGCTAAAACATACATTTATAAGTTCATAAAAATTGATAGTATATTTGTAATATACATTTGGTACTATTGATATTCATAAATATTTAATAATAATAATAATAATGTTTATGGCCATTATTGCATTAAGTATAATAAATTTATTACATATTATCAGTTTAATTTTTTATAATAATTATACATGCCTATTAAATATTCGAATGATTTATACAATGAGTTATTTGTAAATTATATTAGGCTTGATAAATTTCATCCAAAAAAGATGTTAATAAAACTGAAAAGGTACCTGACTTACTTTTTGTGTAAATAAATTCTCACACGATTTATTGTTACAAAGTGCTGTTTGACAAAGAAATGAAGTAACTTGAGAATGATGTATTGATATATTATTTATTGTAAGTTATATTAAACGACTAATTTTGTCAATTTATTTAATAAATTTACAAAGAAATGACATAATTAATGTTGTAATTGCTTTTGAACCCTAATTTTATTTCATTTATAAATATTACATCGTAATATAAACAATTAAATTAAAAACAATTAAATAATTCAAACTTATTTTTGTTGCCACGAGATGTAGCAAAAGTTCACGCCCCAGTCGGCAATATAGATGCAATATCATCGTTCAATAATTTTGTTTGGGTTAGACATCATCTATATTCACTGTATATATTTGGTTCAGTATTTACCATATTCACTCATATACAACTGCGGTCTGCGATACGTCAATAAATACTTGATTGTAGATTATATCACAATTTATTCAGATTACTTTATATTTTCTCAGCATTTAGAACTTTCAATTATGAAAATAGAATGTGTATTTGAAAAAATATAATTGCATCAACAGTAAAAAAAATGTCGCTTGACCAAACTGTTTGTGAAGGTAAGGATTCAAATTTAGCTATTCAAAGAAAATCACAAATTTTTGCGAATTCATGCTGACAAATAGCTGTTTTCCTTTTAAGCTAACTAAAATGTCAGGTCACGTTAACTGATAAATTATTGTAATTGATTGATTTCAGATTTGAAAGCCTTTGAAAGACGGTTGACCGAGGTTATATCAAGCTTGCAACCTGCTACATTACGATGGAGAAGTAAGTATATTTACATTTATTTTATGCATTATCATTATTAACGGAAATTAAAATCTCTAAATATACTTTTTATCATACAATAAAAACTTGATTAAATTGTATTTTACAAGATTCATAGAAAATTTGTCATAAATAATTGATATCAACTAATAGCATAACTTCAAAATTTAACAAATAATTTACTTTTGTAGTCCTGTTGGGATTCATTTCTGTATGCACTGCTGTTGGTGCTTGGTATTGGCTCACAGATCCAATTACATCTACAGTACCATTTACACAAAGTTTATGGAATCATCCATTTTTCACAGTAGCTAGTTTTATATTAGGTAAGTAAAATTAATTCTTTCAATTGTTAATTGTTTACATATGAAAATTATGTGATACAAGTTAATCATTTCTATTTGTTTACAGTAATACTATTCTTGTTAGGTGTTCATAGAAGAGTAATAGCTCCAAGCATTATAACTCAAAGAGCTCGTAGTGTTTTAGGAGATTTCAATATGAGTTGCGACGACACAGGCAAACTTATTTTGAAACCTACAAGGCCATCTCATCTTCATGATACATGAAGATAATCATTACAAATTTGTTCATAGATAATTTTATACAAAGTTAGTTAGGATTAAGAAAAAATGTATGCCGTTTGAGAGATCTCTTGTCAGCTTTTTCCAGGAGTGAGAAATAGGAATTTATGTGAAAAATGGAAAAACAAAGTCAATAATAGCTTTATAAATTTTTCTTTTTCTTTTATAGTTAGACTGTTCAAATATTAGAATAACTTTTGATTTTATGGCTGAGTTTCTTAATGTTAGATTATCAAATGCTTTGTACATAGTACCTTATAGTCATGATCATTTATTCATTTACCTTTTAAATATTGTGATTAAATCATCGAATGTATGGATGAACTTGTATAAAAAATATTTATGGTGACAATGTTGACACAAGACAATAAATTTAATTGCTAAAGTATGTTTTGATAAATAAATAATCAGTATTTGTGAAGTATTAACATCTTAAATTTCACTGCGAAATACTTTTCTAAGTCTAGAAAACATTCATAGGTACTCATTTTTATAGAAATTTAGGTTTAAAATGAATGAAACAATGAATAACTTTCAAAGTATTTATTATTATATCAATAACTTATGTTTTATTGTTTCTCAACTTTAAAGAAAAAATATTGAACATAATTAAGCATAATTATTTCGGGAAAATAAAATGCTTATACACATATGAAAATTAAAATAAACTTCATTTCCTGATTATTGAATTTAACTAACATATTTACAAGGCAAATACCAAAATATGATAGATTTAAAAACATCATAATAGAAGAATTCTACACAATTTTTGAAACTCTGATATATTACAGAGTGTATAAAAATTGATACAAAAGAAAATTCTGAATATTGTAAGATTATTTTCTTGAAACTATGACATTTCTAGGTGCAAATACTTAATTGTTAAACAATAAACTAATCTTTTATATCAATTTTCATCTACTTTCATAAGTGTTAAAAACACTTGTTTTTATCTTGCAAATCTCATGTATCAACTACATAGTTTTCAAGTAGTGATTTTATATTAAATACACACAATTCATTTACATTGCATGCGTTTATGCCACATGCTAACCGTTTAGTTATTATCGAATTCAATAACATATGCTTTTCATATTAATAGTAGGATCAACCTTTTAAAAATCACTCTATCATCATGGTAAAAATTATATATTTGTTAAAGAAACATACTTCCTTGAATAACAAAACAAAAAAGAGAAAGAGAAAAGAAAATGTAAATAGCTTATACATTTTTGATATAGGGTTATCCCCGAATACGTCATTCAACATTACAAAACTAACAACTTCATAATGAAGTTATACTCAATCAAAGCTACTTAATTACAAAATTAATTTGTTTAATGGTGCAGGGAGAAAAGATCCCCAGCTGAAGGCAATGGAGCTAATCCTCCTGTAACATCTGGAAGTTGTGTTAAATCTGGAAGATTTGAAATGTGAGACTTCACTTCAGCTCTAACAGCACATATCTTTTTCAATTTTTCCTTGTAGTCCTATAAAAGTTTGTACATTCATTACTTAATTGTAAAAACAAAAACAATAGTTTATACATCGTTTTATAACATTGATAATACTTTACAATCAATGTGCTAAATAAATTATGGAATATTTAAGGTAATTCAATTAATTTATACTTTTTAAATTTTACTTCTTCAATGAATCGTGATAATAATTTGAAAATTTAATTATAATGATACCTCTAATGTTGACTGAGCTTGTTGTAGCAACTGACGCTGTGCTATTGTATAATCTCTAAGCATGGCAAGTAGTCTTCTTCTGTCTTCCATTTCAGCCTGCAATCGACCATTGTAATCAGCAAGAAGAGTTGCTGCTTCATTAACAGCAACACTGAGTTGATCTGCAGCTGAACGATCTGCCAAATTTGCGAGAAGTGATACCTCAGATACTTCAGGAGGTAGGGAGGCTATACGCTCTCTCACAGCTGCATCAGAGGATGCTGTGTTTTCAAGATCCTGTAAATTTATTAACATTAGTATATTAAATTTTGTATCATCTACTTTAAAATGAATTAAAATATACAGCCTAAAATTTATAAAGAAAGAAAAATTATTTAAAAAAGTAATATCGAAACAAAGTGTTAAAAGTACTGAATAATATAGAAATAATTTATTTCCTCAAATTTGAAACAAATATAAGTGATTAGCTGTATAATAATTCATTAGTTTCTTTATATCCTAATATGAAAATTAAAAAAAAAATTTTCAATAAAAATTATATTAACCATTAATGCTTTGATCAATTCTTCTGTCTCTGGTGGGTCACCACCTGGCGTTCTAGGACTCAAAGTTACATGTAATTCTTTGGTACCATCCACTTCTACTTCAGTCTCTGACTTCTTTCTTTCTTTTTTCTGTAACATATACATATATTAAATATAAAATATCCAAGGTGTGAATGATATTATATCAGTAGACGATTAATAAATATTAATAAGTACCTTTTCATTGTCAATTTTAGACTTCTTTCTAGGTGGAGGTGTTCCAGGTTTTCTGTTATAGTCCCTCATAGAGTTAAACGCTGATTTGATAGCAGTTATTTGTAATTTGTCATATACACCTCTTTCTTCCCATATATGTAAAAGTCTACCAAGTTTTTCTTTTGTTTTATCATCAAAGCGTTTCATATGTTCAAATGCTTTTGGAAGTACAGTCTCGAACTCTTTACCAAATTCTGGACCTTTCTTTTTGCTATTTTGTATAACATCATTTGCCAGATACATGAACATGAGCTTCCGGTTATCTTTGGCTGGAAATAGAAATATATTTCATTATGTTTTTAATATAATTAGAAAGTTATTTAATATTTCATGTAGGACAAACCAAATTAACACTTCTATGATTCTAAGAGTAGAGCATAGACATTTATAGGTTTTCCACAATAATTTTTAACTAATTAAATTTTAATCTGAATATTGTCTAGCTTTTAAATATAATTAATCATTGATTCTCATATCATACAGCATTATTGAATGTTGATCATAAATAAAAATTCTATCAGTCGTATATTTTGAGCTTTATTAGAACATTTAGAATGTTTTTAAAAGGTATAATTGTACACATAATATCCAAATAATTCGAAAATTTGGTAAGTCACATAAAATAGAACCATAAAATGGAACCAAAATGTACATCAATACTTCAATTTTATAATCATATTTCCAGAGTTTAACCTCAAATCAATTAGGAGTTTAACGACGAAATATTTTTTAAGAAAAACGTATTTACTCTTGAAATTCATGAATAATACTTTCAATGAATTGGAAAACATATTTGTATCTGGAAATGAAGCAAGCATCATAAGTAAAGAAATAAAATTAACCTTTACAAAGCTCCTTGAACCACACTTTGACGATGGTTGCGTGGTGTTTTCTGTGATGAATTAACCAAAGCGATAGGGTTTGTATACTTTGCTGCGACGGATTTAACTCCATCAATTTTTTTACAAGCGCACCTTCCGTAAACCCAGCCATATTTTGGCGTTGTTTATTTCACAAGGTCTGATATAATGACGTATATAGCAATAACACGACTGAAAACCCGAGGCAACCAAACACTGATTACTTTGTGAAAATTTGATTTTTTGGTTTCTCGCTTGTTTGTTAATGATGTTTTGTATTCAATAATCTTTCCTGTAGTTCATTAAGGTGGAATGAAAATTTTGCAGTACAAACGTTAATGTTGATAAGCCAACATTCCCTATCGTTGCTTTTTATTTACTAATCTGTTTGTACATATAAGATTCACTGGAACACACGCGGAGAATGGATATGTAATTTATACCAGCGTCCGATAATACGCATGGTACTGGACATTAGCTATATAACTATAGAGCACTTATAGAAATTTTGTGCACGATACGTTATATACAGTTGATTTGACGATGGCGGGAGGGGGACGGTAGAAAGAGAGGAGCCTGTATTAGTTGCCGGCGAGACTGAGGCCAGAGTAGAAAATTGCAGTGGGATTTTATGTCATTTACACAAGCAATGTCGCCATGTTTGATTTGTGTGAAATAATACTACGATGTATACTTGAAAATTGTAAAATCAGTCGATAATTATGAGAAATAGTCATCTGCTTTAACAGTATTCTATCAATAATGATTAATATAGTCACTTGAATGTAAAAACAATTCAAATACGGCGCCCACATGGAATTGTTCCGATATGCAGCCGCCAAAAATTACTATCTGAAATTATGCGCCTTTGCCCTTGCCAGAAAATATATCGTCTTAGTATAATATGCCAGTAAGCGTGCGGATTATTTATTATTTAAATATTATAAATTAAATACTTTTTTGAATAATAATTTAGGAAACCAATACTTAATTTAAATATTATATATTATATATTATATATAATGATTATTCAAATATTTTAAATTAATACTAATTATAACATTACAATGTCAAATTTTTAATTTAGTGTATATATTGATATTTTATGTAAAAATTAAAATCTATTATACATATTCTCAAAACTTCATTTGTATACAAAACTTGCCAGCAGATTTTCAAGAAAAGTTTCCACTTGCTTCTATAGCAGACAACTTTGTTCTTTCGTGCTCAGCATATATATATATACACATTCATACATATACATACACCTACGCCATATGTGTGTGTTAAGATTCTTGATCCCGCCTTTTTACGCTCAATTGCATACAAGATTTTTCAAAATACATAGACGGCATATGTATGGACACATCGCAAATAAGCATATCAGGTCATGATGATTTGAAGGGCAGATAACGCCGAATTTAGGAACACTTCGTTTTTATTTTCAATTAACGTAGTAATTATTTATTCAAAGTGAAAATATTTGTGATAAATTATTATTACTATAATGTAAATGTCCTACGTATTTTTCTATATATACCTTATAAATAAATTAGTTTTTAAAATAGTCTGCGATTTACATCAAGGAACTTTCCTGTACATAATGAAATATCGGACATCGGCCATCAGACATTTATCATGGTGATAAAAGATAGTGAATGGAAGCGCACAGCAATGTTGTAGGTTTTCTGCGGTTTGTTGCACGCGTGATTGATTGGCCACAAAATCAATTAGTTCGGCATTTCCCGTAAGAGACAGAGAGGTCACTGACATACTTTTCCATCGTGTACATCGCTCCTCTTTTCCGCTGTACGTTTTGTTGTTGTTTTCACATGTTCATGATGGTTGATTATGATATTCTTGTTATTGGTTCTGCGGCTTTTTAACAGAAATTTAATGTCGATCGTGCAAGAAGTAAAAGTTTGATGTTATTTTTTTTTAATAATATTTGTGTGTGTAAATATACTCGGTTTCTTTTAAATTTATAAATTAATTAATTACCGGTTGCAATATTACATAACGAAATAAATTTTCCAAGACTAAAACCTTAGAATGGCTTGTTTAGGAGTATTTAGGAAAATTTGATTTTTTATTATTAATGTTATGAATATTACTTATAAAGGGATAATATTCCTGATTTCAAATCTAAAAATAAACCTGAAAATTATAATAAATGATTGTTAATAAAATACAAATTTTTATTCAACTCTGCTCAATAATTAAATAAGTGTCAATCAGTCGATTTTGCTTCATTAAAAAAAAGTATTTACATATTTTCTTGCTGACTATAAATTTCTTTCTAATCGGGTTGACTGCCCTCAATTATCAATGCTCGCGCTAAATTTCGCGCTGCCGCTAGTCGGAAGATATCAACTTTATCTTCGAATTTCGGATCTTCACCGTGTTTTTCAACAGCTGCTAGCAGTTCATAAGTGTCTTCTGAGGTAAACACGAGATCGTCAGTCTCGAGAAGGGGGATGGCATCTGTTAAGAGTATTGGCCAGAAACTAAAAAATGTAAAATTCAATTAATACTTGTATTCAATAAATTTTGATAAAAAAAAGAAAAGTTATTAAAAACAATGACTTACTATTTAGGTGTTAGATTTGATACAACGAGAGAAATAAGTAACCTTGCTGCTTCTTTAAATTCTCCAATACCATACATTTGGTGAAACTCGCAATATTTGCCTAAACAAAAATATAATCAAAATAATTTTCATTGATTGATAATAAACAAATTGAATGACAGAATTTGAACCAACCAAGGAATGTAAGACGATCGCTTGTCAGCATGCAACTTCCCAAATTTTCAAGCAAATCCCTACATTGAATATCAGCATGATCAACATAATGTTTCAGAAAACAATCAGCAATATAACTGGCAAAGTAACTATCTGGTGCTTTAAGAGCCCAAGCAAGTGCATTTCCTAGCCGTCCTTGTTTTATACATTTTATTCCTTGGATTTTGCATATACTGGAAGCTAAAAAAATATTTTCATTGAAATTCTGTTTTTTATAATTAGTTTTGGTTACAAAATTTTGTTTTTTACCAAGCTTATTCAAATGATTTTCCTTTGCAACATTAATAATTTTTAAGACTCTAACTTCATTCCCAAGAGGTAAGGTTTCTAAGAGACATTCAAGTCTTGACATTCCCTGATCAGAGCAATGCACCAAATAACTTGCACCACATTGCCACAGAGAATGATGGCTCATTAGTGTACTTCCATAGTCTAATATCAAAGACTCATGGAGTAAGTCTGTAACACTAAAATGACAGAATGAAGGATGACACATTTCTGTATTAGAGTTAACAAAAAATATTTGGTATTTACTTGACTTGATGCTTATCCATTATATTCAGTCTACCACAGTGAAACAGTAAATCTGTGAGATGAGCAGCAAACCATCCATTATCATTCATATATTGAATTTCTTTGATGACTTGATGCAAGTCACTTTCCATCAATGCCAAAATAATATTATCCAAAGTTAACAGTGTAGATTTTTTATTGGATTGCCACTTTACTGCAATACTATTAGCATGTCTTGCAAGCTCTGGTTGCTTACAGCAAGGAGCAGAGTAAAAAAGTTTAGCAGCAAGAAGCTCATACCATGCATCTGTGTATTTAGTAAACTCCCAAATTTCATTTCCAACAATTAACTGTATTCACAAACAAACAAAAATTAAAAACTATTTTTATTTAAGTTCCTAAAAATTTACCTTCATAAGTGACTCTAAGTTAGGTTCAATAGCAAATATTTTACTATCAATACTTTGGGATAGACTCATTTGCCATTGTTTCCATCTTATTGTGAATTCTTTTACAGAATAACCACCATAAACATTGTATACAGGCATATTTCTTAAAGCATTTTCTGCAGCTATAAATGCATTATGGTCAGCTTTGCTATGTAATGCAAGAAGAGCTCTAGCAATATCCAATTTTCCATGCAAAGCACAGCCTATTACTGCTTCCCAATACTCCATACCCTCAAGATCTGCACCAATTTTTTTCCTAGCAAGTATTTTCATAGCCATTATTTCCCTAGAAGGAAAGTGAAATCTGACCCAATCAAGTAGTTGAGGTAAAACAACGTCACCTAAAAAACATTGAAACTAATAATTTTAGCTTTTTTATTTTTTTTAATTTTCCCCAAATTACAAAGGATTAAATAAAGTTATTACCTGGAATAACATCAACATAGAGAATTTCAGTCAAATGCCATACACACTCTACATTGTAAAATATTGTTTGAAAATTTTCATACATTGTTTTTTTTTCTGGTGTACTTTTCTCTGCAAGATCTTGGAGTTCTTCTACACATGCTCTGAGAATAGAGCGATACTGTTTACTGTATTTAAGCATCTCTGGTCTTGAATCATTAGCTGTAGGTGAACATCTGATCTTTTGAACAGATAAGAATACTCCATTGCTTTCATTTACTAATTTACGAAGAGATGGTGAGAATAAAATAACTTCTGGTCGGAGAAAATGTACTTTTGCTTCACATGGAGCAAAATTGCTTTGTGTCCCTGTAAACCGATTGTTTATTTTAAACTTCACTTTTAATTCTAAAAAATATAGAAAACGTTAAAGAAATATAAATCACCTTTTGAATTAATATTAACGTGTTTGTATCCAAAAACAGCTAATTTGTTAGGGCCAATCCATGTTGCTGCTGTGCCTGCTTTTTGACAAATATCATCAGGAATAGCCTGAAAAATTTTTGAAACATAAAATACTTATTTGAGAACTAAAAACTATTGTATTAGTTTTATATAAATTTGTAAATTAATTAATTTAAAAAATTTTAAGAACTTACAATCTATGTAAATTTATACTGGTTTTTAAAAATTTAGGTTAGAAATATCTTTGAATAAAAGTACGACTTACAATAATTTTTGCAGTATTTCTATCAGCCATGTTTCAAAATTAATAAAAACAATTTTAAACTAAATAATGATCTTTCACAAACATATAAATACTATTTACAAATACATCTTATTTAACGGCACACATGCCGAATTGCTTGCAATGCTTGTCGACACAGAAAATACTTTAGTTATAGCGCGAATCAGCGCAGTGGCGCCAAACAGTGTACAACTTGAAAAATTTCACCGAACCTAGTGATTTCTAGTGAGGATATTTGGAAAACGGAAATGAAAAAACTTGATTTTTAATGACACATTTTATTGAAAAACAATATGCTATGTAAGTATCGATTCACTTATCAGAAGTGTACTTATATACACGCATTCAACGAAGTAGTTTGTATTAAAAAATAGTTTTTACAAAACAAACGTTTGTGTATTTACAAAGTCACATTTCAATAATTAAAATAGATTAATCTATTTTTTCTTGAATTCCTTTTTCTTTACTTTATCAGTACTGAGTTTCATTTTTTTCGTCTTATACCTTGGAGCAAACGAACGAGGTCTTTTGTTTCCCACTGTACTTTGGAAAAGTTCTGAAATAAAAAGATTGTTATTATAAGTAATTCCTTTTGTAAACTATACTTCAAATTAGACTTGTCATACCTTTATCTGGTTCTTCTCCAACCTCTTCTCTATAATACTGAGCATCATCATCTTCTTGATTGGTGGCTTCAGCTGATTCTTTAGCATATTTTTGCATGAGAATATCGTTTTCTTTCTTCTTTTTAATGCCTTCTAGAGACTTTTGTTTCAATTCTTGTTTTTTGTCTTCTTTTTTCTTTTTGTTTTCTTCTTGTATCTTTTTCCTTTTTTCTTTTAACTTCCGTTTCTTTTCACGCTTTTTCTGGATTAATAATTTTTCCTCTTCAGTTTTACTGATGAGTTCGTGATATAATACTTCACCATCCAACAATCCATCTTCCACTTTTATCAACTGCAAATAAATTATGATGATGTCAATATCATGATTCAGTAAATTACTTTCTATTTATGTAACATAGATATACCTGCAATGTAAGTCTGGGCCCCAATTCATACAATCTAATAGCACTGGTGCTTTGTTCATGATTTCCTCTAGAAGACAATTTTTGTGGTAAAGTTACATGACTTGATGGATCATCCTCTGCTTCACTTTCAGACAAAGTTGGCTTTGTCATAAAATCAGAAAAGTCTTCACAGCGAGCCAAATTTGGTATTTTTGCCTGGACTAATTTCTTTACACCTTTAGATAAACCAACCGGAACAACTTTGATAGCATAATGTCTGAAATCTATTAGTTTAGTTTCAAGATCATAATTTATACAAACACAACGTCTAAGATTACTCAAATTGACCTGGAACAATAAATAATTTAGTAATGCATACGAAAAAGTAAGAAAAGCTGTCAATGCGAGCTTCACTCACTGTAGCTAAATTGATAGTTGGAAACATATTTTGAAACATTGTAGCCATCAGTTTCAGTTGCATTCCCTCTCCACTGAACTTATTCAAAATGATTAATGGTGAGTGCTTAAAAGCTTCATCAAATACAAGCTGCTTTTTCATTGTTGAAATAACATCTCTAGCTAAAGCAAAATTGTGAATTTTAAATGTCAAAGTAGGACCTCTTGGTACTCTAAAAATAAAAAATAATATTTATAATTACATTTTTGCATAATAATAAGATATCTGTATCCTGAAATAATCGAATAATACCTGCAGAGTTTGAGATACATTCCAAGTTCAGTCTTTGTAAATATAGACATGTTTGTCACATGAAACACTCCAGCAACAGAAATAAAATCTTTGATAGTGTTTCTTTTACGTTCTTTTAATTCACTAGCAGTAAATGGCTCCATAACTCTTCGAAAATCTTTAGTTAGTTCAATTATATGTTCCCCAGGTAATCCTCTATGAATGACAAACGAGTGAGGGGCTTTCACATACTCTTCTTTTTCTAAGTTATCAATTTGCTTATTTTTTCTGACGCATCGTCCCTGAAACAAAAAAAAAACCATTCACAATTAAATATTAAAAAATCTCTATCACGAAAAGCTGTCTTTATTTATGTATGTTACCTTTTTATGGCGACCCATTTTCACAGATTAACTGTTGTTTAAATAATTTAATTTACTATAAAAACGGCAATCATTCAGGTTGTTCTCACGGCGTGATCTATGAAAACTTAACCTCCCCGCATGAACTGCGGAGTGCAGTACACGCGTTTTTACGACACTGTTTTATCGACTGTAAGTGTGAGTTGGCGCTATAGAATGCACGAAAGATTTGAAAAATATCGAATATTAATTTAATTTATACCTTCATAAAAGAATGACTGACATATGATTATTATTGACCATTGCAGTGTTTTCGAATTACTTTACCATCTAGTTATCAAGTTCATATGTTCATTGTTGTAAGAAAGGATCATTGGATTGATATATCGATTGAAATTCCATCTGCCCAACCAGCAATGAACTCAAATGTAAGAGCCGAATTGGCTTTTGGTGCACTAAGCTAAGTAGCATAACGTAGACGCAGATGGATATTGTCCTGAAGAAGTCAAATAAATGGAAGAGCAGAGCGTAAACGGAGCGGAAACAATAACGCGGTGCGCGCTATCTCACGCGGGCGAGCTTGCGAGTCTTTATTTTACAGGCTTTTACGAGCCCTATCGCTTCTCCTCTCGCGCAGATAGCTCATTTCCTCTTTGGCCGAGTAAACGCAGTTCTCTCTCTCTCTCTCTCTCTCTCTCTCTCTCTCTCTCTCTCTCGGCCGCGAGCAACGTTACGGCTACAGCCGCGTTCCCTGGTGAACCGTAACGAACGCCGCTCGATCCCTTCCCCCCTTACGGCCGAGAAATTTGCAAGAGCTACTTCGTACGTATCATATACGCCGAAAATCCTCTGCGCCGATTTGACGATTTATCGAGCGTCGCTGCCAATCGACCGCGAAAATATACACCCGATGTATCCTTATCGCTTATGGGAGCTTTTATACACTTTTAGATAGCGAACGGCGACCCATCGAACCTTTACCGTGATGAGGTTTACTTATGCAGCAGCACGTGCGATAGTCCATTCTTGCGCTGCGCCTCTTTTTTTTCTCTCTCTCTTCTCTTCTTTTTTTTCATTTTTTTTTTGCGGGAGCGATGGACGATATTGAATCGATTTTCAGTGTATATAGCGCTTTGAGAGGGCATGCTAAAATGGGAGGCACTACACTGAAGATACGCATACATGCTGGAAAAGCTAAGGGAGATAATTTTTTTTATTTAAGGCGGATAGTCGCGATTCGAGTATCCCTGCCCTTGCGAAAGTATTGTATTGAGCCCGTGAGCGTTTCGAATAATTGAAGAGAAATACTTTATTTTTCAAACGTAAAGGCTTTGTATGCAAAGTGCTTGGCTCAAAAGCGCTACTAAAATTTTCACGTTTTCATGGATAAAAATAAAAAATAAATTCGTTGCTTGGAAGTCTGATGCCGATTTCAAAGTATACTCTTTACTTGCAAAATAGCATCACGAGTATAATTCAACTGTAAACAGAGATACTGCAACATCAATAAGCAGCACCATAAAAAAGAGTACGCAAGCAATAACCGTAATACTTAAGAATTATTCGTTGTATGCACGCACACGGCAGTTTTATAACTGTAAATGGAAGCTTTTGCGTGAAATGTATGCTATAGTTTTAATTAAGGCCGAGCGCATATACTTTCAAAAGAGAATTTCTATTGCTAACTCGGTTCATTAATACGCTAAAGCTCCAGCGTGCATCCGATAGGCAAATTAACCAGACTATATATATTTATAAAAGCTCCGACGAGTATAGCAACTCCGCCCCCGAAATTTCCACCGTCTGCGGAATTGCTAACAGCTTTCGCTTTGCTGGCGTGAAATTTCTAAAACTCATGCTTTTTTTTTCGTTCTGATTCATTAAGCATTCGAGAGAGATAGACTTACTATAATTTTTCGCGGGCGTGGCTAACGACTTTGTAAGGTAAACCTCGCGGATAGTTAATTTTGAGAATCGATTTGTCTCCAAATTTGTTTGTGTATTACACGGGTAATGCGTTTGCACGCGAAATCGATTATCGATTAATTGTCAATAGTAAACAATCTTTTTTTTAACATTTCGCTTTTCATTTGCGTCACCTGTAGTTGGCGTAAAATACTGTAAATATAAAACTACGTTGATGAACCTTGACAGTTTTTAAAATAGTGCTCGTATGTACCAACTGAAAATAAATATATAAATGAAAATTTATTGAAACTTGCAATTTTCCCCACAACTTTTAAAAATGTATCAGTCTCGATAATTAAATACGTATATTAATTAAACAAATTCCATGGCGCGTGCGGACACGCGAGTAAAACGAATAAATCGAGAGCTTTTAATTAAAATTAAATTCGGCATCGTACGCAGCCGCATGAAAAATTTATCCAAACGTTGGGCAAAATGAAAAAGCAGAGTTTTTTGCGCCCCATTGAATAAATATATCAAAGTTGAACCCATTTGTTCGACTGTCGAGCAATGGTGAGGGAAACAAACTTTTAAATTACTCGCCTGATTTGGAACAAGTCCGTGTGTAACTCCGCGGCAGAACACAAAGGCGCTGCAAACATAGCTTTCGGGAAGACAAGAAGCGTTAATCTAAAATTAATACCTCGAGCTTACATCCATCTGCGGTGGACGAAGGGCCGTATTTGCAAGGTAAACACGGCTGATTTACTACCGAGCGCAAAGTGAAATTCAATAGAGCTCGGCGTTTCGCGAAAGATAGTCGGGAGGGGGGAGGGAGAAAAAAGCTAAAAGGCGGCCTGCAATTGCGGCCTCGCGAAATTCAATTCATGCCGATTGAATTAATTAAATGCAAATTAAACGAGAGCGAAGCACGGGACAGAGTTGGAACTTAGAAATTAATGCCGAAGAAGCTTGCAGAGGCAAAACGCGAGATGCAATAGCGCGTATTTACCTCAACGAAAGGTTTCAAGACGTTTGCGTCCAACTTTTGAGAAAGTTTTCTTGTTGAATAGCTCGCTCGCTTCGCTGAGAGAGAGAGAGAGAGAGAGAGAGAGAGAGAGAGAGAGAGAAGAGAGCGGTGAGAGATTTGCGACGCTTTTGCGCTTCGACTCTCTGATAAAGCGAGAAAGTGGCTTTACCGGAGGAACCGATAATCCTCGTATTGTACTGCGAGATCCTGTGCAACTTTGTATTTTCGGATAAACTTTTCTTATATAACGTATAGCTGCTTAGAATTAAACGTGATTTTCATCATTTTCTGAAAACGAATCACACTTAATTTAATTCAAGAAAATCAGTGCTTATATATATTTATTTCTATTGTTAAGTGTTTAAGTTAATTAGCGTTATTCGATACACGGAAACGCGTTAAACACATTCCTTAATCGTTCTGTTACTACGTAAAAGTCAGGACGGAAACCTCGCGGATTCAAGCTGGTCGGCCATGGCGATTATTATATTCATATCAAACAGAACGGGATATCCGAGTATTATACTCTTAATTTCAGCCTGCACGTTAAAGTCTTGTTTGTCGTTGCCGCACAAAGTAAAATCACATTCAAAGCACACGTACGTCGAGTAAAATGAAATTCTTCGTTGGACTAATTACACGCGAATACACGCGCATTTCATAAAAATGCTCTCGTAATTGTGGTTGAAATATTCGAACGCGAAAGCGTACGATAAACAGCGTCCTTCGCATTACCGAGCAATATTTTATTTCTCCGGATAGGCGCGACACGCGAATAGCCTCACTGTGAAATGTAGGAAAATAACGAACGTGACGATCACCGTCCGTGCGTAAATAGCAAAAATATGCGATTGACAGTGCCGACCCGCCTTTGGTTTCCGGGCGAAGCGGTTGCAGTGGAAAATTCACGATTTTTAATGCGTACAATCGCTTCACGCACCGCATAACTCGGCATCGTGGCTCTCTCTCTCTCTCTCTCTCTCTTTCTTTTTTTCCGCGCTGCGCATCGGAAAAAGCTCGCCTGCCTATGCAAATGGACTTTCACAAGTACGCCCGAGAACAAAGGGAAAAAACATAGAAAGCATGAATTTAAACTATTTATCTTTTGGCTCGAGTAATTCCAGGGCGATTTCAAGCGTTATCGCGCAAGGGCCAGACAGTACAGTGCGCGGCGGTGGCGCGCGCCGGGCGAACGTGTGCCCATGCGCGCCTCGTATCTTTTCGCGACTATCTCGCGGCTTTTATTATCTGGCGGGCATCTCGTTCGTCATTTTTCTTTTTCATTTTGCCATTGGTATCAGGTGCGCGCGGGCTCGCGCAACTCTGCGCCTTTCTATTTTGTAGCGCGACGCTTCTCCCGCGCCCTTGTTTTCGCCGATACAAAAGTCTGTGCAAATGTTCATAACGAGCTCGAGGTTTTCATCGCGAGGCGTCCGTATTCTGAAGCTTGTATCACTTGCTCATTCGCTGGATTTACGGCTGACATTAATATTATATTCGAATGCTACCGATAAGCTCCAAATTCAGGAAAAATTTATTTTTCGAATGATCAGATAGCCAAGTACCGTAATAAAACGTATATATTTTTTGGGAAGCTCTTCTATCGATACGACTGCTCAGAATGCTACCTGTGATAAGCGTAATCGTTTTTTGCATAAAATTTTCAAGAGCCCAACATGGGACCTGACATCGATCGGTACGCGTCTTTAGCCCATCGTTACATAAAACAGAGTTAAGGCAAATCGCACTTTAGTATACATGGGCAGCATGACGCAAAGCCGTGTTTTCATATGAAATATTAAATAATAGTGAATGAAATATGCCAATGAACTTGTCTGTACTTCAAGCAAAAGCACTTAGTGAAAAGTAGATGGTTGAAGCCATTTTTCTTCATTTTTCTTTCTGCTTAACTTCAAGCAAACATTTCTATTTGAGATAGGCATGTGTTCGTTAGCACATCTTTCATTGCTGTCAATATTTCGTACGAATGCGCTATACTTTATTTCGCCATATATGGTATGGCCATATGTTATAAAGTACATATGATTTCATGACATGTTGACATAACCCCTACTATAATGTCAGGTTCCGAAACAAATGTTCGCATATATTTATACCAAATAAATTTTGTATTTTTCGATGAGAATGATTTGTCGTGCATTGTTGCAACTAATCGCGAGGTTAATTAAAAGATAAATTAAATTTCTCATATGAAATATGTAAATTAAGCGCCTTGTTTAAAATACACTACTAATCCTATTAATATAATTACAAATATACGCATAAATGCCAAGCAGATCATTTCAATTGATTAGAAAGGTAATCTAATTGAAGGTATGGCGTTGTATGTATTAATTCTTATCTTCTATAGCCACTCGATAAGGCGCTCTGTTAAATGGATTTGAAACAATTTAACTACAATTTATTCAAACGTGATCTAGATTTCGTTTAAATGACTTGTTAAATTTGAAGTAGCGCGCAGATTATAAATGTCAGAAATACTTATCGAGTATGAATTCAAGTAAACAATGGAAAAGGAATATTATTTACATATTGCTACTCAATAATAGCTTTATATTATTTTACTATATTTATTTATTCTTTTTTTGTTATTCGTAAAATATTCCTACGCTATAACATCGGCCATATAACATGAAAAATAAATCAATTATTTTCTAGCGGTTTTTTTTTATAAAAAAAGAGTTAGAAGTTAGGGCGTGACCATATTGGCTGCTAGAAGCGGCCATATTGAATAGGTCGTTATTCTATTTCTGATTGGCCATTGGAGGTCGAACATTCGAGCATTTTAAACGAAAACTTTTTTAATTGTTATTGTTTGGTCAACTCTCGTCAGATCATATTATTGTACGCAAAATATTTAGTTGATACATTTATAATAATACTTCAATTTTATCTCGTTGGCTTTCATGCTTGTCTTGTGTAAAAACTGATATACTGAATTCAAGATGTCCGACGTTAGATGTTCCTTAGGGACTTTTTACATAAAAGAGGCCACAGGACGCTGGACTTGCTGGAGGCAGAAAAATAAATTATGTGTTAGATATTAGCTTATTAAACCAGCCTTGCAAATTATTGGTTTAGACGAGGACAAACCCTTGACAAGGAAATGATAAACGATCAATATATTTTTCCCCTTCGTACTCATGTGACATCAGGTGACATCAGATCAGATTAGGAAGTCCTTAATTCTATTTTCCTGACGTCCAATGTCTCCTATGTAGGCAGCGCCTAATATTACGGCAGAGACATCTACTGGTACTTTTATCGACAATCATAATACCAAATTCTCATTCTGTAATAGACGTCCAGCAAGTGCGAGGTGCTAAAGAATAGTGTAGAAAAAACTCTGTGTAAGTACTTAAATAAATGAAGCTTTTATCTCATAATCAAATCATGATAACAATCAGCTGCAAATAAACGTTTACATGAGCAACTGGAGTTCACGTATCGCGTTTGTTTACAGTTACTTTTGAGATTGAATAAAGCGGAACTTGAAGACAATGGCAGACATAGACCAGAACGCAAAATGTTCTCTGCGTCCTCTTTTGGAACGTCAACTTGTCAAGGTCTTCAAGTTATTTCACAAAGATGACATTCGCCAAGCTTCTAAAGATGCCGTCGTTGATAACACTATTAAGGAGATCTATCAAGTGAAAGAGTTACGTGATTGTTTGGACCTAATAGATAAAGAAGACAATATTCGTGTTAGGTATCTTAATTTACAGTACTTTGTTCGGGCAATTATCGAACCCGTCCTTGTAGCCAACGATGATGCGATCTACTGCTTTAAATTTGATGAAGATGGCAATATTCTAGAAACTGAGGATTTGCATAAATGGTGGAAGAGTGCTGCTTATGGAATCTGGAAATGCATTAATGTGAATGTATGAAATATTATATTTATTTTCTGAATTATCATTTTTTCATATATTAACATGTAAATAAAATATTTATAAAAAGCATTAACTATTGAGATTTATTCGCAAATTCAATTGATAAAATAATTAGTTTACATCATAGTGAAAAGTTTATCAATTACTAAAATTTTTCATTGTAAAAAAAAAGATCTGTTGTAGTACGATAACTGAAATATACCTATATTTTCAAATCAGATTGTGTAACTAGTTGTCCTTTGTACAAAAATAAAAATTAGATAATAAATTTATTATGACAAAACTTTTGAAAATTCAATTTGATTTATAATAAGTTATCTCAATGCATATAAATATGGAATGAAATCTAAAGTTCTAGTTACTGAATGAAAAGATAATAAAATATAAAATATTGAAAAATATAATGGTACATAGATTTGAATGTGGATAAACTGATGACTTATGAATACTACTTGTTTCAGCTTATTGTATCGTAGGGTAAACTTAGACATTGTTCCGATATTTTATTAAACTAGAATAATTTCAATTATCAAACTATAAAAATTATTAAAGATTTTAGAATGTTGTATGTTTACTTTGAGTCACTGATTAAATTATAAGATTTTAATAACTTCAATTTGAACAACTGTTAAATAAAATAATGTAAGTAATTATAAAGAAATAAAAATCAGCATTTTATTTGTTAAAATATAGTTGTTGAGGTAAAAAAAAATGTAAAAATTATTTTATAAAAATTATACGTAACACACTTACTGAAATTCATAACCAAATTTATTTTATTGCTCTATTTTTCGTTGAAAAAGATGTTTATTATATGTAACAAGTATTATACAGAATTGATAAGTTAGCTATAACACAAGAAAGTAGTACAAATTTGTTTTAAATTATTAGTTTAATCTTTTGATGACCATAGATATATTACAACATGACTGTACGTACATTTATCAAGCAGAACGAAGACTAAATGTAGGCATATTTTGGGAAATTAACAGTAGTTTAGTGATACAAATACTTTTATATTGTTTACATTGTATCTACGCAGTACAAACATTACCACAAATGCACTGTAAAACATTTTTCAATATATTAGTAGTAATTCACATAAGTTCAGGTCTAGGTCTTTCAGAGCTATCTTCTGTAGTTGTTTTGAGATCTTCTACAATTCTTGCATCTCTTTGCTTTTTAATTGATAAGGCAAGTGAATTCAAAAGATCTTTCAATGCTTTTTTACATTCAGGTGTGAAACATCCATGACGATCAAACTTCATATGCGTTGATATCGCACGACTCACTTCGATGACCATATATTTGATTTCCGTGTACCTTATAAATTTGTTGGAAATTTTTTCAAGTTCATCTACGAGCTCTTGGATGATAGGGATCTCTTTAATCAATGAAAAAATAGTATCAACCGCGATGGTTTCGGTTATGAGATCACGGGAACTACATGCAGACTTGACTTTTGCGAAGAATCGTTCGTCGCGCAACTCACGCTCGAGCAGATCTTTAAATGTAACCTTTTCTTTCGATGGCGACGTCATGATTTGCTAATTTTTGCTGGATGCGTTGTAGAGACTAGCAAATTAAACAGCTAAAACGAAATAAAAAAGAAAAATGACTGTGAACCCACGATAGCTTGTATTAAGCAACAGAACTATTACATAGACGTACCTGTTTACAGCAACGAACGCTACTCTACTGAGTGAAGAAAGGTAAGCTACAGGAACATTCATCTCAGATGCGACAGCTACAGTACGATAATCGAAACAATGTGCGCGCCTGGCTGTGTTTCGAAGGGCCAGACGCTCTATACTTTGTATAGACAACGTAAACAAAGCGAATGCCCTAATAATTTTGAATTTTACAATCTAAATAAATACGACATCTATAATAATAAGTCTGACTCACATATTTTGAAATTAGTGTCTTTGTTGCGATATATTCTGCATTTCTGTGAAAAAAAGTTTATTGTCTAAAAACAGATTGAAGAGTAAGAAAAGAAGTTGCAGAATAAAAGGCTCGATAGTTGTAGAAGCAACTTTGTGAACACAATCGCCTTTCGATTTTAGCTGAAGATCTAGTTCAATTCGTGTATGGCCTATTTGCAGTCAAATTCTATGATCTTTTGTTTTTAAATTCATTAAGAGCTTGTTTGTGCGAGTTTTTCCGCATCACTACTGAACACGATTAAATAGATAGGTACGTGGAATAGCGAGTCTACCAATAAATTTCAACACGTAGTAAATAAGTATTGTATAGACGAAGTATACGTGATTACCACGAGTACGCTATTATATGGAGAATATATACATATAGTAATTTTTCTTGCTTTTTCATTAGCTATGCGTGTGTGCATATTCTAAACACAGTTGTCTGCGTCATACAGATAGGACTGTTTTGGTTGCTGGATTTCTGACACTAAGCCATATATACATTGCTTTAAGAGTGTAACCTTCGTTGTTGACAAGTGCGTTAGATTTGTGCGATGTCTAGAAATCGAACAATCGCATTTATAATTTGTACTCATTTTTCTTTTCTTAGTAAAGCTTAGTCAGAGGTTATAGAAAAATCTACAGGGTATGGGCAAGAGAAATCATCGATCGTAGATGACTTCTACTGATCATATTACCATCTAAGGATGGCGACAAAAAAGAATGCAGTATTTATGAAATAGATGCCTTTATAAAATGACCTCAGCGCGAACGGAGCTGTAGGTGTTCGAAACCGAGGGAGCATTGCACTCCCATAACACGTCTGTAAAATTGTTTTCCTTCAGGCGGCTTTCGGAGTTCCAGCGTACACTCGCCAACGCCCAGTGTTGAATTACTGTCGCTGTGTGATCACGAATTCTCTTTTCGATCGATATGAATTTGAGTGATGAACCCGGGGAGTGGTTAGCCAAATAAGTTTCTGAGCAATTTTACTGAGGATATTCAATTTCGTTATCGCGTCAAGTGATTTTCGTTTGCAAAGTCCGCACGAGGAAATTTATTATGTGGGCTTTGCAAGCCTTGAAGAAAGATAGTTGATATGGTAATTTTTAGAAAACTTTGTTCTTCGGAAAATTTAAATAAATTAGCTTTCGATTTTCCTAAAATAACGGTGCTAGTCTATGTGATCTTAGAAATCTGCCACTTTTAAGTGCCAGTTTCATTCAGTGGCTAAATAAATAATGGCACATGCAATCAATTTAAAAATACATCGTAAGTGTAAATATAGACAAGTTTGTTTGAAAAATGTAAAGTATTCATAACGTTTAATTCTAACTAGAAATGATTGAAAAAAGTCTTAATTATCGCATGATCGAAGATGACGTATTTCGATGGCTCACGAGTTTCTTTAAATATTTACAGATGTTATCTCGTTTATCAAATATCACATTTCGGACGAAAAAATGCGGAGTTTCATGAGTTTCTGGATAAACTCGCTTGTATCCGAGCAATGCAATTAATATTTATTACTATTACAATATAGCCCAAAGAAAGTTAGCTTCCAATGAGAATTTTTTACCCTTCATTTGTTCAAATGCTGTGCAATTAGGTATTTGCTTTTTAATAACGCCGAAGCGTTAAGATGCCGACGCGGCTGAGGAATTCGATTTACGAGAAACAAAGAACATCTATAAGACCAGGGATTGAAAGTATTGAAAGTCAACTTGGATTTCCTGGCACGCAGAGCTTGCATTCTCTGTTTCGTGAAATCACCAACATTCGCAAGTGAAAGTCAATCTTTCCGAGCGATCGTCTGTACGATTTTTCCCCCAACCGAATTTGTTTCAAGATATTTCCTTCGATCACTTTTGACCGAGGAATTCTCAATCCCCAACAGCTTGTAAACAGGCAGTTATCGTTGAATGCTTGTTTATCCCGATTCTTAAAAATGGCGCGCATGAAATCGTTGTTCGGACAAACAAAATCAACAATGCCAAATGAAAATGAAAAGAACGCGAGTTGTATTTCTTCTGCGATAAAAAAGAAAAGAAGTTCGTGCCACTCAACTGTTCTCGTCCAACTATTTCCGTGTAGTTGGAACCAGATAGCATTGCTAATTGAAACATTGCATCATAGGGCGTCTCTCTCGCTCTCTCGAGAACATTCGTTCTCCTTGTAGCTGGAAATTTACGCGTTACCCGCGCGCAGCGGCAGGATACATTTTTCCTCGATTCCTCGCTGCGCCGAGGCGTTCGCGTGAAAGCATTTACGTGTATTTCCAGGAGCGAGCGTGCGCGCGTGCCCACCGCGCGAATCCTTCGTAATTTATTCGCGTCTAATTCGGCGGAACCCGGATTTATCGGCGTTCTCACTCATCCGCAAGGAATCTAAGCTATGCGCCTTGAATCAATCTTGATTCTCTCTGATTCGTAACTGTTACGGCGATTCGATTAGTCTGCAGAATGCGATGCTTACTTTTTACTTTGAAAATTACGGAAATTCGGCAGCTATCGCGCAACCGTTTCATTTGACATTTGCGAGCGTGATAAAGTTGAAAAATTGATTTGAAATGAATGACAGACTTATCATCGACAATAGAGCTTGGAAGTTGGATTAACTAATACGTGTCGTGATAAGACTATTTAATCCTTTGGAGATTTGAGCGCCGCTCAATATCTCTTTATCTTCGTGGCTGTTCATATTTGAAATCTCTCTTCTTGCTGATTTGAGGGGAGATTTTGCCAAGTGCGGACGAATGATTCTCTCGAGTAATCGTATTAGTACGCAGTAGTTTATCCGATTGGACGAGATAGATCACAGTTTCTGCGATCGATCATTATCTACGTTTATGCGATATTAGCGTTAATATCCGATTAGTTTGATCGATAATCGCGATTGTTAGCTTGCGAGCTTGCGGCAATGAAATTCTAAATATTATCGAGCGGATATTCTTTGCTGGGCAGAGTAATAAGTTCGCTCCAAGCCTGGGTAGTACCTGTCATTGTTTTACATAATAATTTTTGTAATTGGTTCTGCCGAGCTCGTGGCCGATTGAAAATGACGACGTTTACTATTTTTCGAACGCTAACTAGCCACGGTGCATGCTCGCCAATCGTCGCTGCGATTTACAAGCAGCCAAGCGATAAAACTTTGCTCTGGGAAAACTTTTCCGCACCTCTAAAAAAAGTGCGCTTACTGCTAAATGTTTCCTTTTTCTTTTTTTGGAACGTTTATGATACTTTCCGCTTTTTCTTTTTTTCTTTCTGTCGAGTAGTCCGCGTATATATGACAATTATTTTTGTGCATTGAGCGTACGTAAAGCGATTCCTTTAGATCACATAGATTCAATAAAGCGTCTGACCGACATTTTCACACAAATACCTCGTGATCGGACTATTGGCATGTACACGTAGCAGACTGATTTCCGCAGGTTTAAAAAAAAGAAACTTTGTAACGTATGTGGAAGCGCTCTGATGGAAGCTGCCAATATTTGAAATCAATCGTGTCTTATACTTTTATTGTAAAAAATAAAAGTCTATACTTTATTCCAGAGAAACAAATCACTTATTTGAGTTGTTTAAAAAATGCTTTTCATAGCTTACCGTAGTAGATATTACTAACACGAGTGCGTAAGTAATTGCAAAATATTTTTGCAACGATACCTCGCGCGATAGTCTTCCACAAATCCCAGTCTATTTTGTGAAATCCCGTCACACGTAGTATATGCAGCTAATCTCACAATCAACGTATTCATCCCACCTCAGTGTTTGCGAATATAGTTTCCGACTCAATATACTAAAAACGCTGTGCGTTCTTATCATCTACTTTAAATTTTTAAATCTAGATAACCTTCATAAGAATGCACGGTTCGTTCAATTCTCTCGTAATATCTACGAATACTTGGTCATTTGCGTTGCGTCGAATTACTCCATTTCAATATCCTTTAGTCCTTGAAATAACTTTTAGTTATAGTCAAAGACTCAGCTGTTTAGTGTCATATTCAAAACTGCATTGTTATAATAGATAATATGTAATAAGACGCTTGTAAACTATTATATAGGAAAAGAATGTATTGCATAGTCTGGGTACTTATGTCGATTCATATGAAGAATTGAAAATATGTTCATCATTCTTTTATTAAGTAATAAGCGCATTTTCTGCCACTAAAGTTAAATTAGTATTTTTACACTTCGCGGCATTTTTATTAGCAACGGATTATATCTCTTCTTGTTAGGGGCAAAAATTCTTTGACGTATTTGTTGTAGTAATCTTACATTTCACGTTGCTCATTTAAGTGGACGAAATTAAATTGCACATGAAACGAATCTGGCTTTTCAATAAAAAAAATAGTAGGCAGAATCTTACTCTCGCAATTAACACTGAAACATCTGCAAAAAATAAATGCTTCGTTTAAAAATGAAATTTGTAACTATAACTCACGAAAGAAAAAAATTAGTCATACGAAGCTTTCATATACATACCAGTAACAGAAAAAAGAAAAGGATCATGGGCCAAAAGGCCACTTTTAATTGCTCGCCGAAAAACTCGTTTCTCGCGGCGTTGGCTCACCTCGTCAGCATTAATTCTGTCATAATGAATCGCACGCGCACCTGGATTGTCGCTCACAAAGTGTGCACCTAGCAGAAAGAAAGAGCAGAAAAAAAAAATGAAGAGTCGGGCGTGAAGGGAAATGGACGAGAGAAAAGCCCAAAGAATTTTCGCCGACGAGGCTGCTGCTGCTGCCTGTCGCGTCTTTCTTTTGCCGCGTGTCAAATTAAAAATTCATGTTGCTCCTGTGTATGCGCAGTGTATTGTGCGTTCCCTCGGGACAGGCTATGCGATTGTGTTATTTCCAAGAGAGAAGAACGTATGAGGATGGAGTAGAGAAGGTACAGCAGGATTATTTTGCGAACAAGAGTATACATTTCTATCAGAGGGTTTTTTTTTAATATTGGGAGTTTGGAGGAAACAGTAATATCAATGTAAAAGCTGCGATAATTGAAAGTATTTTATCGCTAATTACGCAGGAAAGATAATTCTTAACTCTGTTTTTTCAAACAAGTATTAATAATAGAATATAGGAACGTATAAAAAAATCATGCAAGTGCAGGTACAAGCAATGAATTTTGCGATAAAACATAAAACTCTGATTTCAGCAGACAGTAGCGTCGCTATTGCGTATGCGATAAAATGCAAAAAGAAATGATACGAAACGCTTATTGCGCATTATACTTAGAGAAACGTATACAGTCGTAAATAGAAGTACGCAGCTTAACGAAAGGGACCTTGAATGACATACGGACTGATTCGATCGCGACTTGCGCGCAAATCTCTTCTTTTTATAA